CAGAAAGTGTTATGGTGGTGGAGTTGCCAACTAGAAATACAATGGAGCGAAAGAATTGGTTTTCGTACGAGTGTCTAGTCACGAAGGGCAGGAAAGAGATCATGGAAGTCAAAATGTGCCGGGAGGATCAGATCTAAGTATTGAAAGACTTCAACTTTCTTTCGCAAGCTCTCCTCAAAGACTTGTTGATTTTTGTGCAATCAATTGAGGGAAGAAACCACCCATCTTGATATTATCAGATTTACGAGCCTGATCAATGAAATCCATCAGCCCCTGAAATTTAGCCATTTGACTAAGTCTCGTGCTGTTCTTCCCACCAGATAAATCGTCTGCCTCATGCGATTCCTGATGAAGCCAGGAAGCTTTTAATAGGAGTTTCACCGTTTCGAGGACCGTTTCGGAGAATTTATTGTTCAAAATGATGTCCTCCGATCGTCCCTCTCTACTGATACCTCCAGGTAAGAGGTTGAAATGGAGGATTGTCAATAGATCTCCACTGGGCTGCAAAACATCTGACTTGGAGTTCAAAGACAAAACCTGCCGAAGCATGAAGTGCGGGAGGCTGTGCTAAAGGTTAGCCGGAAAAATCCACGCCGCAGTAAATAGAATATAAGCAAACGTACTACGGAGCGAGCTGACGCTCTTCACGTTCAGAATTGATTGAGCTCAGTGCTTCAGTAATCTCTGGCGTCTCAGGGTACACTTTGAAGAGTCTTGTCTCAGTCTCAAGCCACTGTAGATAACCCCCAGGCCCTATACTACAATCAGCCAGGTTGTGCTTGTGAGATCGGAAGTGGGATATTCTAACTCAGAAGCTGGGTTGCGTTGTCAATGACATGAGAGAAGGCTTCTGGTGTCAATGCATACGCAAGACCGCGCATGTTAACAAGGTCAAACTTGCCAATGTAGCTGGGATCAAATCGTTTAGTGCAGTCATGCTGAACCAGTCGTACGTTATGGGTTGGGTTCGGCTTGAAAGCATGAGCGTTGACATCAAAGCCAACGAGAAGAGGGGAGCTTTCATCCGCTGTATAAGGCTTGCGGTCGGCAAACAGCGCGCCTGCTACATCTTCTAGCCAAATACCAGTACCGCAGCCAAGGTCAGCAATAGATTCTGTTATCTGTGACTTTGGAATGGATGGATGTATTAAATGGCCTTCCAAAATGGCATGTGTGATTCTGTCGTGCTGGGTGTCCAGGCGACGATCTTCTTCAACGTTGTCCCGGCGATATGAAAGAAGATACAAATCTTCTTGCTGTTGTTGCATCGTCATGGAGAGATAATTTCGTGATCTTCAAGTCCTCAAATCGAGTAATTTTGAAGTAATGAAGCCTGGGTATGTATGCTATCATGCCGTTAGAGCCACTGGGAGACGTCTGGGACGGCACAGCACGGCTCGGCAGTTCGTCAGCCCTGTCTGTTATCTCACCTTGATGTTGTCAAGATGTTCTTACAGTACAGTGCAGTACAGTACATGTTCCTGGTGCCAGTCTTGACAGCCTTGCCCACTCTGACTGCAATTACCCCACCACAGTGCGCCATACGAAGGCTCGTAAGAAGCTCCCAAACCAGCTCTATCATCCTGTCGTAATCTGTCCTATCAAGAAGCACCTGGTACATATCCTGGTTCTTTGAGATGTACTCCGGGCACGTACTTGATATTCCTATTTGGCTAGATCCACAGCTAGTCACTCATACGTTTGCATACAGGTTAAGATAGATATCCACTAGGCTGTACAGTAGCCATGCAAAACAACTCCGACGAGTGAGTGCAAGTTGCATGAAACGGGCAGTGGCAACCCACGATCACGATGGCGATTTGCTACAGAAGCTGGTGGGTGCCCTTGCAAAGCAATGCAATATGCCAGGTGCCCAGTGGAACGTTACGGAAGGTGGTTGAACTGCACGGCTGTGGCATGGATGGGAGTGACAGGGAGTTGCAGAATTATATTATTACATTATATTACCTTATATTTCCTATAGGTTGATGTATGTTGGTGGTTGTTCATCCCTGTCCTTTAGCCCGCTGAGAGCGACCCTAGCCGGTGATGCCTGATGCCTGATGCTGGTGTAACGGTAACGCATAAGTAGTGCCGGGCATAGGTACGGTAACGATTTGCTTGCAGCCGATGCAACTGTTGGGTTGGGTTGGACCACGAGCTTCCGATAGGTAGAGCACCTGCGGTCTCTTGTTATTATTATTACTATTAGACTCTTCCTAACAAGGTTATTGAAGCCTCATCTCAGTCTCATAAGACATACCTAGAGCCATCCATACCTCCCATACATACCTTACGGAGAATAAAGCCCTGTAACGCATGCTACAGTACTGATTCTTCCGAAATCAAACAACAAGCTAAGGACATCATCAGCAGTTCACATTCATTTGCCCAAAGCACCACCACCGCGAACATGGTCGTCCCAACAATCGTCGTCGTCCCTGGTTTCTGGCTAGGCCCGCGCCCATACGACTTGCTTGTCGACGAGCTGAAAAAGGCGGAGCCTTCGCTCACGGACATTGTCTTCGCCCAGCTTGCCTCAACAGGCACGCGCAGCCCCGGTGCTCCGAATATGTTCGACGATGCGATGGGCATTCGCGCAGTTATCAAGCCACTCGTGGAAGCAGGGCAGCGGCTGGTGCTCATCGGTCATAGTTCTGGCGCGTTTCTATCGGCTATGGCCACGGAAGATCTCGAGGTCGGCCAGAAACTTGCTGCACCGAGTGGGGGCGGTGTTGAGCGGTTCATATTTATTGCTGGTGGTCTTTTGCCCGTCGGAGCACCGCATCCTCCCACGAACTGGGAAGCTAAGGCAAGTCCGCCTCATTGCCAGCAGCTGATAGGTACCTTGAGATCGCGGATACAGTACTGACACGAAAACTCCTATGCAGGACGGCGAAACGTGGGTCAAAGATCCGGACGACAAGTTCTTTTTTGATGTTGATCCGGCTGTCGCTGCAAAACACTGCAAGCCCTTCATCAAGAGCCAACCCCTGATGGATGATTGGAGTGTCGAGTGCACATATACGGGATGGGAAAAGGCTCCAAGCAGCTATATCCTTACAGAGCATGACCGCACAATCTCACCTCAGGTCCAGGAGATGTGCTCTGGACTTGCCAAGTCCGAGGTTATCAGAATCCCTACGGGACATATGCCGATGCTCTCTGAGCCAAAATTGCTTGCCGATAAAATCATTTCTTGTCTCAAGCTAGATCACTGACTACAAGAACTGACCGCAGCAACGCCACGCAGGGTTAGGGTTAATGGGTTTGGCGGCAATGAAGGATGAGGGGCATGATGTTGAAAGCGTGATTGTGGTTTAGTGGAGTTTGCAATTAATTCTGAGAGGAAAGGGAAGGTATTAGAGTTTCTGGGTTCCTTTTAGGGGTAAGGAAATTAAGAATGTGTAAGCGTCTGAAAGACTCTTGCGTTAGTTTTTAGAGATGGAAGCCCCTATTCATACAGCTTTTCGTCTTAGCGCCATGCCAAGCCCTAACAGTCACGTGACATTCCTCCTTTTCGATGATGTTCAGAGAGCTTGTCCTTGCCTAGTGGAGTAATCATTCTAAAAGACTCGTGGCATTTGAGAAGCTAGTTCCAAGCATTTGAAGCTACAATTAGAAAGTACAGAGTACGTCCTTCCGGATCCTGACAGCTTTTATCTACCATTTTACTTGATTTATACCACAACACATTAGTTGATAGGGCCACGTTTTTGCCCTATAATTTTGTATTATTACTTTCGCGTAATTTCTTTTGCGTAACTAGTTACTAATTAACCGTTAAGTAGATCCATATATAGCTTAATATGCTCTACCTAACTTTTGCTTTGCTCAAGTTAAATATAATAAAGAATATATCATAGAGTATTTAGTCCGTGTAGCTGACACACATCTAGGAAGAGGAGGCGCACTTGACGTGCTTGACAAGAATTGCGCACGATTGGCACTATCTCTCGCAGGAAGCGCTGAACAGACCTCCTGGGGGGGCAGCTCCAGATGCATGGGACGTGGTGGGGGAATGTGCATCATTTGGAGGGGTGGGACCATATTAAGGGACGGAAGAGAGAAGATCATAGCATTCATAGGGAACTCTTGTGTGGACTTGCCTTATGTGCATATCCACAGGAGTGTAGATGCCGGCAGGTCTTCGAATTGAAGACTACCCGAAAACTCTGACGGATGCAACGCTCTGAATATCTTGGACGAGGTGAAGATCATTTGACAGGCGTTAGACGACATGTGTGGCGTGCACTGCACAACGGTTCAGATGATGTCGTGCTGAAATAAATCGCAGGAAAGTGGTCTGTTGTTATTGGTCTTGGTATTAGTCCATCAAAGATTCCCTGTTGATGTAAGATATGACTTAATAGACATCCTTCCACGATACTAAGCTAATGATTCATCTCTTTGTACAACAAGCAAGATGATGTAGTTTGGAGGTCCTAACTTTTTGACAAACCTAAAGCTATCACCTCAGACCTTTTCAACTTTAAACAGGCACTCCTCAGTCTCCGGGTGTTCATGAAAGATGCAGACTGCCATTTTGCTGGGGCTTTGAGCGGTCTTGCCACTGGATTTTCTCAGGAGTTTCTCAGGAGTTTCGTCACGTCCATGACTCTTTCCTCACCCACTATCAAGAATGTGCAGATATCCTCATTGGACCAAATTGCTTCAGAGCACGTTGTGACTATATAATGTACTGCTAGCGACATGAATTTCCTCATAGGAGAATGAGAGGGACTGTTTTGGTAACCGAAAGTGATTGGCTCGAATGCAGGGAGTGTGCCGTTCCGAAGATTGCTAGAAAAGATCATGGTCATTGTGTAGTCCATGAGATTCGGAGACACAATGTTTTCTGCAAAGCAGTACAGCTTAACGCGTTCGAGATAAATTTGTATGCGTTTCCTTGTTGCTAGGAATCGGGGAAGGCGGCCAGCATAGAGCCATTCGAGGAAAAGGCCAAATGTGACCGGGTCGTCGTCTGGCATCTTAGCCGCCTAATCCGAAGCTTCTTTGAATCCGCCGTTGAACATCTTATGAAAGTAGGGGACCTTAGTACATAGCAGGTGCTTGTGGACTCGGAAAGCCTTTTGTTCAGGCCCAACGAGAATGTCGACCATGCCAATCCCAAGCTCCCTATGGCATATTAATACCACACGATAATCATCCACAGTTCCTGAGGCACTCACAGTCCAAATTTAGGAGCAACATTTGCGTCCGCATCGGGAGATATTGACTTGGTAGTCATGGTAGAAGCCCTTGGTGACAATGATATTCTGGACAGGGACATCAGCTCATATTCCATGTATGAAGCGCCAGGAAGGAAGACTTACTTTCTGAGCCTCCGAGAACCACTGCTGATCTGTCAGAGGAATGACGAGGTCGGTAGCGAAAGGAAGACTCCACGTGCTGAAGATGTGCTGTAAAGGGAAGATGGACAACGAGATTGAGATTGAAGAAGAGGTGTCTGCTCCGGCAAGCTCAGGTGAACCTAGATCCCCCATGAGTTCTTGATTCCAATAGGCGCTAGCGTATTTATTGGAAACATTCATGAGTAATACCCTCACGTAAGATATTACACATTTATAAGTACGTATATAGAAGTCTGGAGGCTCTTCACTTTAAAGCCAATCGCGTAAGGGTAAGGGCTAGACAAGAACTGGGGGTCAAAGGCAACCTCACACGTGACAAAACAGTGGTCCAAGCAGAACAGAGCGTTCTGCGACAGAGATATAATGTTTTCTGAACTCGGCCCACCACTATATTGGAAGACTCTTACAGTTCATTTGAAGTGGAACATTGTCTCAAGATCTCGGAGTCAATGCTCGCCTTCACCGACTAGGTCGAAATACTGTACATACATACACTTACAATACAGCCACCATATACAGAAGCAAAACAGAAAGCCAAGAAGAACCTCAAATATTTAAGCACATATATCGCCATATTAAAGTCAAAGTCATTTTCTTTAAAAACACCATAGCTTCTACGTCTGTATGCATAACGGTGAAACTTTTGTTGAGCAAATCCATTGAAAAGATATGCTCCCCAGCACCTTAAATGCCCCCGCCTACACCTCCATGCAAAGCTCAACGAAAACGATGTGTAAGATCGCTACTGAATACACATCCATCGAAGGTGAACCCTGCCCTGCTCAGTCTAGTACGCAGAGGCAGCGCGGGATCCATTCTCAGACGAATACCAAGAGTGCTGGGAAACAAATTTCTTCACTCAGCCAAGCCACCATCTGTACCAGAAGCGTGGTCCGAAGGAATGTGCGAAGACGGAACCCAATTATCACTATGCGGGCAGGGAGATCTGACACGAGAACATCCCCGGGAACGGGCTGGTTGTGTGGATCCTTGGCGGCTCGCCCAATTATCGAGGTATGGGCTGACGCTGCGAGTTTGACTGGTGCTCCTCCAAGTATGTCGAGAGCCATAGCCAGCAGAGCCGGCGAAGGATCCGTAAGGGGTAAACGAATACTGCTCTGGAAATCTCCAAGCTCCTGGACACGTCTCCTTTGCTTCTTCAGAGTGCACATGAAACCTGCAGAGCCCTTGGATATAAAGTGATGAGTCGAGAGACATCTTGGCCAGTGTTGGCCACAGATCATCACTCAAATCCTTTATATTACCCGCTATTTCCTTGTATTGCTGCCAGCCGTGTACCGAGCCCAACAATTCCCATGCGAAAAGGCTCACATGAAAGTCTCGCAGCTTGGAACCGGGTTTGGTGTGGTTGTATGTATAGGTGTAGAGAGCTGGCATGATTTTCCCGGTGTTGCGCTCGTATTTAGAGTACAGAGCAGTCATAACGTCGTCCATCAAGGAATTTCCACCTAATGACTCGGCGAAACCATACAGACCAATAAGACCGAAAGCGGACTCATATTCTAGCTCGGTACCGGCATTGAAAAGCCATTTGATGAGGACACCGAAGACATGGGGTTCGAGGTCACGCAGAATGACTGTATTGGGGGTCTCCTCCCTGAGGTACAGATCAAGGAAGCGAGGAAGCATCTTCTCGAGGAGCTTCTTGTAAATGAAATGCTGGACCATTTTTGATCGTCGCACTTTTCTGAACCACCGACGGAGATCTCGACAAGGTCACTCCCTAGGGTCCTAGGTGCTGTTAGCTTCAATATTAAGACCAAGGCTTGGTATGCTTACAGGAGAAAGTCTGAGTTTGTGGAGGCCATTTCAGAACGACGAAGCATTCGTAGCTGGTATTAGATAGTAACGGGATGTGGCGAGTGAGTTGCAAGTGATGACAGATTTATTTTGAGTAGTAGACGGAAACAGGAAGTGCCGAGGATTGTTGTTGAAAAGAAAAGAGGTATATGTTTAGGCCAGTGCTTAAGCTTTTGTAGACAGGCGAAATCTCTTGAAAGTCCAATGATTCCCATAAGCAACCTGAAGGACCTGGTGATTCATTGACCGACCATCTTGTGTCAATGGAAGTGTGTCATGAATCACCTACATGAATCATAGGATATGAGCCTCTAACTGCACTGTAGGAGCACTCTTAATCCTCATTCGAACCCATTTGAAGCAGAATAAAGACAAAACGGCAAGGCCTGGATAATCTTGATCACTTGATAGAGTATGAAGGATGAACGTCTGTTAAGCTGGCATATTGCCTGCACAAATCCACAGGTGGTTGAGACAAGTCTTGATCACGTAGGAGAAGTAGACATGTAGTTGCTAGAGTATTCTCTTATGTACAAGAACGACAATGAAAACTCATCTATAAGGAGCGTCTGCCCTGGCTGCTGCTGCTAATTCCGGCTCCCATTTATCTCCATTTGAAAGAAGTTTTTCCTATATCGAGTCAGCACTACATTGCATTAGATGAGAGTCCAAGGTTACGCACCTTATTGTACAAAAGCTCTTCTCTAGTCTCAGTGGCATATTCGGCATTCGGCGATTCAACGATGGCATCAACTGGGCAACTCTCTTGGCAGAAACCACAGTAGATGCACTTTGTCATATCGATATCGTACCGGGTTGTTCTCCTGCTTCCATCTTGACGCTCTTCGGCTTCGATCGTAATGGCTTGGGCGGGGCAGATCTTGAATTTAATCAGCGAACGAGTTCATGGGTACACTGCGGAAGACCTACGGCTTCACAAAGCTTGCAAGCAATACAACGCTCTTCACCGGTTGGGTATCTTCGTAGAGCGTGTTCACCTCTGAAACGGGGGGAGATGGGGCCCTATGTCCGTAAGTATTCGCCACTTGCCCAGAAATCATTCGTTATCAAATACCTTCTCGAATGGGTAGTATATAGTGTATCTACAGTGTGTTAGCAGCTGTCCTCGCGATTTCGAAGCTCAATGGCGAGACTCACGGAGGTCTGAAGTAGTTCTCCAGCACCACGTACATCCCCCTGGCCATCTCAGTCAAAAGGAAGTATTTTCCTGCCTTGTCTAACGTCGATTCCTTGCTCTGATCCCATCTCTCAGGCTTTGGCAACCGGAAGCCAGCGGGTGGAGGTCCAGCAGGGGTCGCGCCGCGAGGACCAGTTGTCGAGAAAGCTGCGAGAGAGCTAGAGGTGGGTGAAAAGATGCGCGCCGTATTCGAGAGCCTTGCCGTTGGTCGGCTGCGAACCACGAGCATAGTTAAAGGCTTTGCGGATGCCATTGATGGGGTTGCTCGTGGCAATTGTTGTTGAAGAGGGGATCATGGATCCTGAGATTCGGAGTTCTATCAGCGTATAAATACGGCAGCGTTGATTGGCCTGTTTGACTAAGCTCCAATTGCCACCAAAACAACTATTATTGGCCTTTACTTATGTTAAATAGTTTACGAAATGAGCTTAATAACTCAGGCGTTAAAAACTAAAAATAAAATTCAGCGCTGAGGCTGATTTTCAAATCCCAAATTACTTGAGATCACGTGTCAAAAACGGAACGGAGCTAAGCTTTCGAAGATGTGCGAGCCCGAGAGCTTCAACATCATCAATCTCTACCATTCATCCACCCAAAGCACTTTTTGTACCTCAAACCACCCTCAATATGTTGCGAACAGTTCTCCTTAGATCAGCACGTAGTGCTACTTGCCAGGCAGTCCGAAGATCAAGCCCAATCGCGCGCCCGGCTCTCGCAAGCTCTTTCGTCAAGCAGTCACAATTCGCCCCATCCGCCTTCCAAGCTGCGAGATGTTACTCTGCTGCCGCTGGCCTCGAGAAACCAGAAGTTGAGGGGAGAATAATTGACCTCCTGAAGAACTTTGATAAAGTGAGCTTTCACCCTTGCTTTGAGAGAACTTATGCTAATCAAAATCTCAGGTTTCTGACCCTACAAAGGTACGATATGAACCGAAGCTACGATTCATACATGGCATTGACAAGATATAGCTTTCAGCTTCTTCCCACTTTGCCAACGATCTGGGTCTGGACAGTTTGGATACCGTCGAGGTTGTGATGGCTATTGAAGAGGTTAGTTTTCGGAATCTGGGAACATGCAGGCCAACCTCTGACTTTGAGCACAGGAATTCAGCATTGAGATTCCGGATAAGGAGGCGGATGCCATTCACAGTGGTAAGTCAAGATTTGGTGTCGCTCATATATATGTGCAAAAAGTCTAATACGTCCGACAGTTGACAAGGCCGTTGAATACATCCTTGCACAACCAGATGGTAAGTCCGTACACTCATTTTTATATGCATGACAATCTAACTTGGGACATAGCTCACTGAACGCTACGTATGTACATTAAGGAGAGAAGAGAGGGGGTATTTGGGGTATGAACTTGATGCATGGCAATGGGGGGATAAACCCAAGGGGAAACTTTGTACAGACTCGATATGTTCACCACAGCATATGGATTCTGCGCACCTGTAAAATGACTAGACAATCTTACTCTTGGCGCTGTCTTTCTAACATATTGACATGTTCTTACCATTCACCATCCACTAAAGTACAAGAGTACCTGGCCTGGCCTGGGTAGGTGGTACTTGTAGCCTCGTCCCAAATATGTATGCGACCCACTAAAAATGTAACATCCCTGCCGACAAACCTGATATCGCGCGACAGCTTCATTAAATGCCCTTGAATCGTCTTCCAACCACCAACAGCGCCCCGCAAAGCATTTGCGACTGCGAATAGTACGAAACACACGATTCTCCGGAAAGTCTGATTCACGCTGTGTGGGACCCCTGGAGTCTGACGAATTGGGGTGAATAAATGGGAATTTGGAGACCTGTCCTTGTCCCTGTCTTACTCGCATGCCACTGAGGAGGATCCCCCCCTTGTCCCAACACTTCGATTTAACAACGACGCACAAAGCACAGCAACCCTAAAATATGTCATCAGGACTCACGCGAAGAAGAGGCGGCGGTGCAGGAGCAGCTGGAGGCGAGAATGAGAATGGAGATTCGAGTCGTGTGGCCTCTCCTACGCCCAAGGCTGGCGGCTCCCGCGACACTAGCGGACCAGAAACTTCATACGAGAACAGCGAGAATGGACACAAGATTGCCTTTGACCCTAGGGATATAAGTGAGAGCGCTGAGCGGAGCAAGCAGCCTAAGCTCACGCTGATGGAGGAAGTGTTGCTGCTCGGATTGAAGGACAAGCAAGTAAGTTAGCTAAGGGAGACGCAATTCTTTACCTGCGCAACGGCCTAACATATGTAAGGGCTATTTGTCATTTTGGAACGATAACATATCATATGCGCTTCGAGGATGTATTGTCATCGAGCTTGCTTTCAGAGGGCGCGTGAGCATGCAGAAGGATTCGTCAAGGCGGCGGTTTCCCCTGGCCGACCGAGTAATTGAGGTTATCGACGATACATTGACTGGGGAAGTCCTCCTGGATGAGGCGCTGAAGATGATGAAGGCCAGCGAGAAGATGAGCGTCAGTTCGTGGATTGACTTGATGAGTGGTAAGGCTGCCTAGCCCTGAAGAATTATTTTCTCTAGGGAGCAATTGCTAACTGATATACTTATTTAGGTGAAACATGGAACCTTATGAAAATCGGATACCAATTGAAGCAAGTCCGGGAACGACTGGCTAAAGGACTGGTAGACAAGGGCATCCTCCGTACAGAAAAGCGAAACTTCCTCCTATTCGACATGGCAACACACCCTGTGGCAGATGGAGGAGCTAAAGAGGAGATCCGACGAAGAGTTAGAAATGTCCTTACACAACGAACCGTCGTTCTTCCCGGAAGTCAATTCCTCCCTGAAAATCTTGAATTTAGATACACCCGAACGATTGCGATGGTGTGCGCGGCGTATGCTGCTAATGTGCTTGAGAATGCACTTGCTACTTTGGGTCATGAAGCTAGAGAGCGTGCTTTTGCTCAGGTTGACGAATTGCTGGCAGAATACAGTCAATGGCCTTTTGGAAAGAGGACGGGTGGTGCCTCTGGAGGAGTGGGTGCGAACTTGGGACAAGTCATTACAGAAGTATGTGAACCGCAAGAATCCCGATTTTTGACCAAAAATTTATACATAATCTTGAAACATATGCTAACATTACTCATAGGAGGTCACCAACGGCAAGGACAAAGAGTTGCAGCTTGAGGTAAGCACCCCCTATCCTAATACTCACTCACCAGCAGATACTAACATCCTCCCAGGTCGTAGCAGCATGTCTGAGCGTCTTTACACGACTGGACTCTTTGCTATAGCCGCTCATGATATTAAGTAAGTGCTAGGGATAGAATGGATCGGTGGGTATGGAGCAATGACCTTCTATATTGTCGTAACAAGCGAGCAAGAAAAACACAGACAGTTACCGTACATTGCACACAAAAAGCCCTCGGCGTGGGGCTGCAAGCCTTTTCTCTCTTCTTTGATATTTGTGCTTCGGGTGTACAGATAAGATATATTGTTGGTGCGTTTTGCTTGCGTTCTCTGTTTGGGAGTATGATGAGGAATCTATATCTACTGAATTGGTCTGTGCTCTGCTGTGCTGTTAATTGACCTTGCTGTGAAATTGATGTTGATGTTGAGAGCGGCTCTTCACACGGGTTGAACACTCTTTTAGTGCTGTTTTCGTTCTTGGGAGATATAAGAGCGATTCACGTTCGTTAGGGCTTTTGTGCTTGTCGGATTAAATCGAAAGTCAGAGGAAACGGGATTCAAGCTAAGCACTGAAGGAAATACTTCCTCGTGCTTACTTCTCAGGGTAGTGATAACTATGGCAGCTCTGCCTACGATGTAAGACTCGAAATTCGCATCTTCGTGACCATTATCTCACCTCAGTGCACTGTAAGCGGATGCATAAAACTCGTAACATATTCCCGGCACGTTGACAAATTAGTAACAGAAATAGAGGGTTCGGATTCAGACATTTTCATTCTGGTATGCCTAGTAGTATGTGTGTGATCGCTCAACCTACTCAGGCAAGAAACATAACCGCTAGTAACAAACATAAAATGGCAGCATATATCTATCTGCCTCTCTCACTTCTTCTTCCCTCCAAAAGTGCCCTCAAACCCCGGTCTACTCTTCGGCTTACTCTTCTTCCCTGAAGACGAAGACTTCCCCTTGCCCTTGCCCTTACCCCCCTTCTCATCTCGCCTTTTCTTAAGATTCTCCTCTCTCTTCTTCTGCTTCATCGCCTGACTCTTGGCAACTCCTTCTTTCCGTTCCTTCCACTCACCCTCGCTCTTCTTCTTAGCTTTCTCTTTCCGCTTCAGCGTTTTCTTCAACAGGGAATTGTCGTCCCGGACTCGCTCGCCGTGTGCGCGCTTCTTGGCGTTCAGCCAGAGGTCTTTCTCTTCGATATCAGCGCGCTTCTCGTCATCGAGGCCAGCTAATCGCAGGCGCTTCTTCTCGTTAGCTAACAGCGCGGTATTCACGTCTTGTGGTCCCTTTTTCTTAGGCGCGCTTTGGAGTGTAGAGAGGTCTTCGGCGAGCTGCTGGCCATCTGCAAAGGCTACGCGGCCGAAGGAGAAACTGTGGGGCGGGGAGTGGATGGAGGGGGACATCATGCTCGATGCTGGGGAGTCTCGGGCTGACGCTAGAGCTACTTCGCGGCGGGCGTCTTCTTCTGCTTTGGCTATCAAGCGCAGCTCCTTTTTATGCGCTCGTCGCTGTTCTTCCTTTTTCCTCCGTGCTTCCATGAGCTCTTGGCGATTTCTCGCAGGGGCTCCATCGGGTCCGTCGGCTTTGCGTGCTGCTCGGAGGGCTTCTATTCGGGCTGCTAATCTCGATCGTAGGAGTTCTGGGTCTGTGGGGAGTTTGATGTGTTTTGGCGCAGTTGCGGGTGGGATGACGGAGGATGTGGAGGTACTGGCGCTTGGATCTGTTGGGTGGTCGAAGGTTGGTGAAAGGGGGTTTGGACTTGGAGGTGTAGAGTTTGGTGTGTCGGCCTTCTCTTCTTCCAGTCCCTCGGCCTCAAAGTGACCTATTTCGCCCCCAGGAAGATCCTCCTCATCCACCTCAGCAGCTTCTTCGCTATCTTTCTCACCATTTACAACTGTCTCTTCGGTTGGCGCGTCTGTCGATTCAATCGCTGGAGGAGCTGCTTTCTTGCTCCTATCTTTCTTCTGCTCTTCTTTCTGTTTCTTCTCCTTCTTCCGCTCCTGCTTAAGCCGCCGTTTATCACCAGAATTTAACTTTGCTTTCTCAGCGGACTCCGGCTTGTCTTTTGAAGGTTTAGACGCATCTGCATTATTCGCCACCTTCTGCTTCTTGGCCTTCTTGTCTTGTGGCTGCTTCAAGCCCTGCATGGGCTTTTCCTTTTCCACGCCCTCGATGTCCGACTCGTCCATCTCTTCCAGCTTTCTCTTCCTTGCTCGCTCTCGTTCATCCATGACATCCTTTGCTGTTTTTGAGGATTCGGAATCAGGATCGAGTTTCGCTCGTTTCGCGGCGGCAGCTTCTTCTTTGGTTTGCTTCTTCTTCTTCCATTGATCCTAGGGCGAGACGAATTAGTCGGGATTGACTGAAGAAAAGACTGAGACTTTTCGGATTTAACATACACTATTATCTTTTCCATAGTAGTGTTTCGCGGGTATGAGAGACAAGAGACCGTCGAAAGCTTCGGCGTGCTCCCGCAATCGATCCTGTAGAAAATTGGGTCAATTGCATTCTTTTGAAAAGGCGGGGAAGTCGACGAACTTGGAGGGAACTCTCTGCCATAGTGCAGGCGTTGGTGGAAAGGTTTCGATGAGAATAATTAGTTATAAACAGAGTATCGTTCTGTCTCTGGTCAATTGTAGCACAACGCTGTGCTGTCGAAAACAATGATTGCCGCGCTCTATAATAATACCAAGCTCGAACTTTTAGAGGTAAGAATATTTCTAGTAGTGTGATGGAACTTTTCGACATCGCTTAAACTAAGCTTGGCGCTAAAATAGAGTAGACCCCTGAACGATAAGGAGACCCAGCCCAGCCCAGACGCCTCTACCCTCACAGTGCACACTCGCTCATAAAATAAATACTACTCAGCCTCAGATATTACGCAGCATCAAGATAACAATACATCCAAAGCCGACCCTCTCAGCCCCAACAAGCGATATATTCACAAACTCTAACTACGTATACAATACAATAAGTAGAATGCATCGTCGGTGAATGTTTCGTCGCTGGACTACGAGTACAGTACAATGGCCCGCGAGTTCAGACCACCGATTGCCACGCCTCGTTTGTAACCCAGAGCCCTGGCCTGGGCTGAAGCACCACATTCGTTAAATCGTTGCCTGTCCCCCAGGTTCAAGACAACGCATTTGAAACTCTAATACTAATACAAGACTCTCTCTCTTCCCTCATGCTACGGGAGCAAAGCTCTCTTCATATGTCCTCTACCATTCTTCAAAATAAAACCTTGGACCTGGACGCCGAGGCCCCCGCCCCCCCCCCCCCACCATGGAGGCGAATTCGCTCTCCGATATTACACGGCTTGCTTCCAACCCACCCAAATACCCTCGAAATCCAACAGAGCAGCAGAGGAAGCCTTTGACTCTCTACCTTGAAAGGGTTCCTGGCACCAGAGGTAGGTCACTCTGATAAGTCCTTAGTTTTGGGTCACGGTGCTAAGCACGTACAGATATTATTCTCACAACACTCAGACCGCTGCTGAAAAATGTCACTGCTGAGGACATTGCTAGTTCTCTTTACTATCTACATCTTAATACTGAGGATGACCTTCGTTTTCTTGAAGAGGACGATGCTGCCATACCTGAAGAGACGCAATCTCTTGCTGCGTCTTTGCAGAAGCCATTACTTCGTAAACCAGTGCCAGAGTCTGCTCGATCGTCACTTGACCAGCCGAATCCACTGGCAAAGCCTTCAACGAATCTTTCAAATCGAGATGGGGCAACTGTCGGTTTGACAGCAGATCGCCCACCCGCCACTGAAGTAAAACAGTCAATTCCACGGCGGCCGTTGGGACCTCGCCCGCAGCAGACTGAAAAGACCTTTGAAAGGAAGCCACTCCCTGGTGCCGAGAACACACCGCTAGGGACCTCGCAAGACCAAACTCTCCACCCAAGAGTCAGTAGGGAGAGTGCAAGAAGCTACAAGTCTCAGGATCCAGTCTTCGAAAATGCTGGCAAGCTTAGACAAAGTTCGTATGATGTTTTTTCAATAACCATTATCCGCCGTGATCCATCCTCTGGTGCTCAGTGGAACGTCGGAACTGTCTCTGGCCGACCAACTGTAGATGATGGAAATGATCGACAGGGAAAATCTTCATCTCCATCGAAGAAGCCATACTATGACATGTCGATCCAGCTCACAAGTCCTGGTTATACATACTTCCGCAACCCACAACCTGTTGGCTCTCTAGGAGACATGACTACAATGAGGGGACAATCATCTGTGTCTAATTCTATAAGAGATAGTCTCGAGGCCGGTGGATCGCAAGCACTACCCAGTCAAAGCTTCGATCGTGAGATACGTATGGAGGGTTCTAGCTTCTGGACTCGTCAACGCCAAACAGGAGGCTCCGATGCGTCCAGCAAACAAGGTGCCCGAGGCAGAAGCTTTAGTGGGAGTTCTTTCACCGAGGCATTGGCAAACACTCCTCTGGGACCTGGTGGAGATCCAAACAATTCTTCATCCAAGGGATATGTCTTTTACAGCCCCTGGAACGGCCGCTGTAAGTTCTCCACGGGTGGTGCTGGTCGCACAGTGCGTTGCAAGCATTCTCTGCCGAATCCAACTACTACGACAGAGTCTTTGGCTACCGCACATTCATCTGCAACTGTGAGTGAGCTGCGCTTCAATTTACCCGCTGCAGCCGTCTTCGCCTCTGCCAAATCCGCGATCAAAAAAGAATTCAAGGATTCTGGCTTGTCAGCAAAGATAGGTCATATTCGAAACAAGCTATCGTCAGAAAAAGCATCTCTCGATTCTACGCCTCGGCCACACTCAACTTCGTACGCAGCGACGTATCCAAGTGATGATGACGACGAACGTCCTCCACTTCCCCCTCGGCTGAATCATGATTCTTTGGTGACAGATTCAAGTGATGAGGGAGAACGCCCCCCTCTTCCGGAACGACCAAATGCAACTTCATATGCAGCAGACTCGTGGGTGGGAGAAGATGATAGCCGTCTTGACCTTAGCCTTGGACAGGAGAAAGCCGGAGGGGGCAACAGGGGCAAGCGTGCAAAGCTTGGAAAGTTAATCATATACGACGAAGGGTTTAAGATGTTAGACCTCGTAGTCGCGGCAAACATGGGGATATGGTGGAGTGTGTGGGTGGGTTTCCCTCGGAGCGATTTCCAGAGTTCGAACATCTCATATTTACCACGATATTCTACGAGGAAAAAGCTAACTCGACCAATTTTACAGGAGTCTGATCATCGGGAGGATATCAACAGCCCACAATAACCCGGTTTTTAAGCATATATCAACTAAACGTCGGCGAAGGTTTAGGCGGAGAATTTTAGGAATGGGTATTTCGGCGGCAAAGATACCTACACCTACTATAGACTACATGACCATCTTGTGCTACGTTTACTATGGAGACTGTCGATTATCCCACAGGATATCGATATGAATCGAAGCTCGTTGCCTAGCTTTCATGGTACCAATATCAGCCAGCTTCTCTAAGCTACTTTATCCCAGAGTCTGGACCGTGGTTTCCTATCTAGATCCCGAATTATATCTTCCCGCGGATGCCAGTTTGACAGAAAGCAGCTCTCGTAATATTCATGTCTGTACCTGCCTCAAGATTCTATCTAGCACATGTCGGCTCATGTCAACGAAGCAAGTGCAACATTACATGAAAGCTATCATCGCCGAACGGGGAGTAGCACGCACTCATGATATTCAGAACTTGCATAAAACCTCTATCACAGTTCTCCTCACAGCAAGTACGACTTCGAGCCCTGAGAAATGCAAGGCAAGCCAGAATCAAATCCAACACAGCATGGAATGGAGAGCCCCTTTCTGTTTTCTAATTTCTCGCTCTATTTGCCTGCCTCAACTACTTTTTTAATAGCAACGAAAGCAATTAAGTACGTAAAAGCGTAGATCCTTTTTACAATCTTGTGCTTTTACGTACTTAATTGCTTTCGTTGCTAGAACTGTACTTGAGTAAAAGCCGAGTGTCGAGTTCAAGTTCACCTCCCCTGGGTACAGTATAAGCTTCAGAAGAATACTTGGAGGAGCTGTCTCTTCATCATCCTGGCCATATTCTTGAACTTGCCCAACATGAATGAGTGCTGCAATTATAATTTGCTAGATAAGAGTATCGAGATAGTGCATCAGATCACTAGTGTCTGATTAATTACTCCGACCTTTGCTCTGACAGTTTTACAAAGGTGCCAAAAGGGCTCTGCATACAGCATGAATTAGCAATACAAACACAACGAAGGACTTATCTGAAATATATTCCTGGAGAACGACGTACGTGTTCAAACGGTCGGTTTTTGTTTTTAACCCTCATTACTACGCCAATCAGCCTTACCATTGTATTCATGTAGTACTGTATACATCTCTTGCCGCTCCCCGAAACCTCATTTGAACTTGAATATCATTTATAAGGTTGTAAACGCTATGCTATAGTATCACGCAAGAGCTAATCTAAGCAACTGATATCCGATATCCGCGCCATACCGAATACGCCTACGCCTAACCCATCTGACAGAAACCGAACTCCCTTTCTCACACCATAGAGCGATCTAGAGATGTAGTACTCCAATAGATTAATCAATGCGAAATATACTGGAACACAGCCGACACTTCATCCGCACCAACCTCCTGCCTCAACAACAGATCTTGGATGGTCTTCATCCCTTCGTTAACAAAATGGTTCCATGTACTCGTGTCACCATACATCATAGCCGGCGCTTTGATATACTGCTTCCCATCCGGTTTGCACCGCTTGCATTTAAATGTATCGTGTGTATCGCTCGTCGTCTTGCCATGGTACTGGAATAACTCCCTCAGACTATCGAGCGTAAAGTGGCGCTCGACGTCTTCAGCAGAATCCACGACGCAGGAGGAGAGAGACTGTTTGTGGGACTGTCGCTGGAAGATCTTCTCTTCGATTGTACCTGTTGCAATGAAGCGGTACACGAAGCAGTCTTTCTTCTGCCCATCTCGCCACACTCGTGCTAGGGCTTGCTGGTCTGCAGCTGGGTTCCAGTCTGGGTCGAAGAGCACGAGGCGGTTGGCACCGATGAGGTTCAGGCCGCAGCCGCCGGCTTTACTACTTAGCAGGAATATGAACTCGGCGCCTTCGGGGTCGTTGAATTTGTCAACGAGCTTTTGGCGCTTTGTTACGTTCATAGTGCCGTCGAGTCGCAGACTACCATATCCACGGTGGCGGCAGAGCTTGTCGAACATGTCGAGGGTTTGTGTATAATTGCTGATCAAAACAATCTTGTCATTTGTGTCTTGTCGAATTCGAGCAAGCATGCGGTCGAGGACTTGCATCTTGCCAGAGTAGTATGGCCTGATGTCTCGATCTCTACCTCGAGAATCTTTGTGGACATAGTCTTCTGGGAAGAACTCCTCGCTTCCAGGCAGGTCTTCTGGGAGTTTAAGGAGATCCGGGTGGTTGCAAAGCTTTTTCAGCATGCCAATTGCTTTGAGAGGTTGGCTTCCCTTGCCACGTAACAGCGCCTTGATATCGGGGCTGCGGATAAAGTGATTGTACAAATCGAGCTGGAACGGAGCAAGATTGCAAAACACGACATGTTCGTACTTGACTGGCAAGTATTTGGAAAGAATGTCGTTGGTTCGTCTGATGATGAATTTGTTGACAACGGTTAAAAGTTCTCGTAGGCGCTCGGTTCCTTTCTCTTGGTCCTTGTCGCTGCCAGCAGCATCCCGTCCTTTCAAAATTGGAAGTTCATACTTCTTGCGGAATTCCATTCGAGTTCCAAGGAGGCCAGGATTCGCAAAGCTGATGAGTGAAAAGTACTCGGATAAGTCGTTTTGGATAGGTGTACCCGACAAGATGACTCTTCTCGAAACATTCAACTCGTTCAATGCTGTAAAAGTCTGACTGTCGCCGTTCTTCAACCGATGACCTTCGTCACATAACATAAGTCCAATCTTGGTGTTTTTCAGCTCGCTGACGTTCAATCGTAATGTCTCATAGGAAACAATGATGACAGGTCTTGTTACTGCTCGGCCACTTGCAATTGCCCACTGCCGTAATTGCTGAGTGAGCTCTTCCTTTGTAGCTTTACCATCAATTGCAAAAGGTTGGATGGCATCTGGTCCAAGCCATTTCACCAGCTCGTTCGCCCAATTCCTAACCAAACTCGAAGGACATGCAATAATGGCTTTTTGAATCGTCGGTTTGCCCGCATCTGGAGACTGCTTCAATAGGGTCCACATCAAAGCAATACATTGCAAAGTCTTTCCTAAACCCATCTCATCTGCCATAATACAGCCATTCGCGTTCTCTTCAATCATTCCTGTAACGCACTTGTACATAAACTTGACACCTTCGATTTGATGGGGCCGTAGAACTTTCGCAAGTTTCGGATCAATAACCACGGGGACCTTTGGCCGATCTCCCTCCACCACCTTCTTGATTCCCAATATCTCTCTAAGACTCTTGTGCACCAGCGGAGCTTCAATCTTAGGTGGTTCGCCATCCGCCTTCGCCTCTTCAATAGTCTTCGGTTTCTCATCAATCGTAGGATCGTACAGAACAATGGCGAACTCTCCGCTCGGGTCGTGCAATGGCTTTGCGATGAACACAGCCCCCTGTCTCAGTCCCAGTGTGGGTGGAGGTCGATTCGGATTGTATGCTGCAGAGTCCTTGTTGATCAATGGCACCGCAAAGCGTTTTCGGAACATAGTCTCCTTGTCCTTGACTTCAAAGACTGGGAATCGATTCACATCTCTATTCGCCAGTGCCAGCCTATCCTCGTTCGTCCACGGCTTATCCCCATCCTCCTCCTCGCCATCAGCACCGCTATAATTTACTTTTCGTCGTTTTCGCGTTGGTTTCTCCGATGCTCGAGTTATAGTTGCGGATCCGGGACATTTGAAGGGTTGGGAGAGTCGGTTTGCGGATTGAGGAGTTCCTGTGTATCGTCCAGATTGAGTAGCAGATGGCCGTCTTGTCGAAACTGGTGTATTCTCCTTGTCGTCGCTCAAGGTGAGATTGAACGGCTTCTTCAAGCGGTCGCCACTTTGAGGAGTTGCTGCAAGTGATACAGTCCGCTTGGTGCCCAGCACTGGCGTACTCGAAACCTCGTCTGGAGGAGTGATCATCATCTTGATGATCGAGTATTCTACTCGTTACTTTTCAAACATTCTTCACCATACTTTTGATTCGTAGTGGTTGCCTGATGCGACTTTGAGGTTATGTGTCGATGGATGTCAACAGCTTTCGCGACGCGTTAGACCAACGCGCTTGCACGTGCTAGATTCACGTGATTGTCTAAAAAATTGCAAAGAACACCTCGCCGTGAAATTATCGTCATGACGAATATTTGCAACATAAATATCTCATCCCTTTTAATTTTCTCTTCATCCTTTTTGTCCTAATATATGAGAACTTCTAGACATTGACACTCGTTTCTAAAAAGTTTCGCTCAATTGTTTACTGTATTATTCCCCATATTTTATTTCACGCCGCGTTCCCTTCCGCTACCCCGCCCTAAATTCCCAATGGCCCCGCCTCCAACACAAATAGATTTCTTCTTCGCCCGCTACCAGACTCCAATTCTTATGGGAGCATTCGCAACTCAAATCTGCCATCACCAATATATCAAGCGGACCGAGCCTTCAATTGCTTCCTCGGTCAAAGGGGCAGTCCGAGCTACGAATTTCCCTCGAACGCTGAGAGCGGGTCTTGGATGGGGGGTTGTGTTTCTGGGACTCTTGACTGAGATCACACTCGCGAAGCAGACTATAAGAGATCACACAGATCCAGTCCTTGCGCAGTCACTACAGAAGAAGTGGAAGAGGACATCTGAAGCGTCCTAATCGAGTTTCCAACTTAACATCCCAACGCCATGTCCCAATAATCCCACAAACGACTCCCGAACAACACGTACAATGTCCGCAGACTTCTGGGCGGGCTACATCTCGGGCGCCGCTGGGATAATTATCGGTAACCCCCTCGATGTCCTCAAAGTACGCCTGCAAGCAGGAACAGGCGCCCCCTCCACCCCTTCCCCCACCTCTCAATTCTCCTCCGCAGGCTCCCTCATCCGCGGCGCCACAGCCCCGATCCTCGGATACGGGGCTCTCAATGCTCTGCTCTTCGTAACCTATAACCGCACCTCCGCATTTTTGAACACAAACCCAGCAGGAACACCGGCCGGGTTATGGAGTACGTGGCTCGCGGGCGCGATCGGAGGACTTGCGACTTGGGTCGTCAGCACGCCCACCGAGTTAGTAAAATGCCGCGCTCAACTCTCCACTAGCTCAAGCTGGAACATCACGAAAGAAATTATGCGTGCAGAAGGGGTACGGGGAATGTATTTCGGCGGCGCCGTAACGGCGTTGAGGGATAGTGTTGGGTATGGGTTTTACTTCTGGTCGTATGAACTCAGTACACGTCTCATGATGTCGAGGTCCAAGCAGAGTACCTCGTCTGGACAAGAGGCAGCAAAGGTTCTGCTGTGCGGGGGACTGGCGGGCGTAGTTACGTGGGCGAGTGTGTTTCCGCTTGATGTTGTGAAGACACGGGTTCAGACGCAGGTCAATATCTTCAGAAATGCAGCTGAAAGCGAGGCTTTGCTAGGTGCTAATGGAACTTCAGCGGAAACAAGCCCAGCACTGTCAAAACGCCTGGGTGCTGTAGAGATTGCGAGGAATGCGTATAGGGCTGAAGGGGCAGGTGTGTTTTTCAGAGGCCTAGCTGTTTGCAGTGTTAGGGCTTTTGTTGTCAATGCTGCGCAGTGGGCTGTGTACGAATGGGTTATGAGAGAGCTTGATCCTGAGAGGAAGGCTGGCATGAGAAATGATATACCCTCATAGATGATAGATGATAGATTTAGATGATAACGAATAGAATGAAAATTACCTTGCATCTTGGAGTCTTGAACTGAGTGAAGATAAGGAAGACCCAGTCGGGTACGATTTAAGTAAGAAGTTAAAATTTCCGCGTGAATGCGTACATGTGAGTGAGTCGATAGAGGAAACTGAGCACTTGGATATTAAGTGCAAGTACTAATACATGCGTATTGGTTGATCGTGCTAAAAGCCTTTGGATTTCGTTAAGATATAAGATGAACATACACCACCCATAGTCGTAACAGCATTCAATTCGAATGCATCCACAAAAAGAGTCCTAAGCCGGTAGACAGCCAGAGATCTCATCCCTAACTCCATTCATGCAAAGCAAAACAACATACCCCGAATTCATGATATGCCGCTAATCCTACAAAGCCCACATTCATAACATGTCCTCCCAGAGGCAAAATACAGTGAAGAATGACCCAGTCAAAGAAAAACGTATCAGGAATATTGTAACTCGGCACTACTACTGCCACCTTGCTTGCCACCTTTCGCCTGTTGTTGCTGATACTGTTCAAACTGCTGGAACTGCTGTTGAACCAATTGCTGTGGCGTCTGATACTGCTTCTGCAGCGGCGGGAAATCCTCATAAGCGACAGCGGCATTGTAGCTGTGTGGCGTGCCAGAGTTTGAATTTCTGTCAACGTCGTCTAGTGACCGGTAATGGTAGCCTCCCCCGCGCCCGCCTCTACCTCTTCCTCCCCCGTTGCCTCTACCACCGCGCCCACCGCGCTGGGTGACATTACCACGGCCGCCACGTCCTCGTCCACGTCCATCATAAGACTGGTTGCTGTTATAGTTATTTCGCCCACCGCTTGCGTAGTTCTGACCATTGCCGTGTGAGCCACTTGATTGCCTGAACTCGTCGTCATCGTGTTGTTTGCGTTTCAGCGACTTGTTGGGGAATAAACTCTCATACTCATTCTCAGCTGGGTTCTCTTCTTCTATGCGAAGCAAAACTTTCTCGCCAACAGTGCTCTCGAAAATAAACTGCTTCTCTGGTGGAACAGGCTGCCAATTCTGGATCTTACCTGCATCAATGGGACGAGCGCCTTTGCGGAGAGCGAGGACAACAATTGGAACTGGGTTCTCGGTGTAGTACTGTTTAGTTTTGGGAACAGGCTGGACAGAAGCAGCCCAGATCTTGTTCTCATAAACTGCAGTGCCTGTAATTTCCCAGGCGGTCTTGCTGCCCATATTGCCGACCTTCTCCAGGATACTTTCCGGGGCTGGGCGAGGAGTGATGAGGATATTGTTTGCGAGGAACTTCATCTCAGTATCTGGCATGTTTGGCGGGAGGTTGGCTAGTGTAAGTAGCTTTTGAGTGTCAGTGTTGTTGATTAAATAACCAGTATAGAAAACCGTCTTCTTGATCTGAAGGCGCGTGCCACGTTTCGCTCGGTCGACGTGATCGTTGTGATCATTGAGCATGCGCTGCACTTCAGCGGCTTCTACAACTGGCTCCAGGAGCGTAGCTCCAGAAGCAACTTGCACTACTTCAGCGGTTATGGGGCCGCGAGTAGGCTTTCCTCCAATGCCATTCTGACGCTTGTTGTACCCCTGAAAGTATTCTCTGAAGCCTTTAACGTGCCTAACGCGGTCTTCATAGAGCCTAATCTCTTCAGCAGACTTATACGTCTCCATGAGGGTTTCCAGGAAGTTCTGCTTGAAATTCATGGTATTTGAAAAACGCTCATTGTTTGGACCCGCCTTTGGCTTCAGGGATATCAGGTCGAAGTCGAGGCCTTTGCTCTTAGCCATTCTCTTGAGAAGATCTCCGAAGCCATCCTCACTGCGGCCGGTCAGGAGGACAGTGAGGGCGTCTTTTTGTTGCATACTGAGCTCAACAAGCTCAACTATGCGTTCGTTCCACCAGCCTTCCCATGCGCGAGGCTCTTCTTTCTCTACGCCTTCCCCAGTAGCTGCGAGTATCCTCGAGTCGTGCCACCATCCACCATTCGTAAACGACTCTGGGGTTTGCAAGAAGCCTATGGTTGGACCGTTCCATAGTTTCGAGTTGGGTAGAGGGCTGCTGAAGACTGCAAATATAAGTCAACGAATGTCTGCCAACTGGGCGCAAGGCTACTTACGGGTATTGTCAAAATCATAGACGTGCAATGCTTTGATCTTCTCGGCAGCTAGAGCTTATCAGTCGGTTTATTGCAAAGGAAGAAAACCAGGACCTACCAGGCAATTGCTTGTTGGCGACAGACCAGCGAGCTAGTGCAGTGACCGTTTGCGGCATGTCATGGGGAAAATTAGCAGGACCAGTCATTCTTGCAATGACTATAGGGTCAAAACCGCACAGCTTTCTGAAGAATGGAGACACTTTGAATCAGGCGCAGGATTTAGCTAGAGTGATTGTGTAGAAGAGGATGTGGTGAATGAAGTTGCATTTTATGCTTCAAGATTTCCATCGGCAGCCTCGAGGGTTCTGGAGCTCGCTCTCGCTTGCCAACATTTAATACACCAACCTCGAATTCGGCGCTTAGCCGAATGCATCCAACCTCATCCATCCATCCATGGCCTCACTCGCAATTCGGCACGTAGCCTTGTCCTCGAAATCAGCAAAATCAGCATTAGGCTATATCTACCTAAAATGTCACGTCAAGCCCGGTGCAAGTAAGCAACGAGAAGGGATCGTCTCTATTTCTGAGAATGTCATCGAGGTGTGCGTGTCAGCGCAAGCCAGGGAGGGTGAATCAAATAAGGCTGTGAGAGAAGTAATTAGTAGTGTTAGTTCATTTACAGTTCTAAGTTAAGATAATTGGCAAACTGATCTAGTTGCAGGTTCTCAATTGTCCTAAGTCAGATGTAGAGATCGTTCGAGGCATGAAATCACGTAACAAGACGGTTGCTATTGAGGGGATCGATATCAAAGGAGACGAGGAGAAGTGTATCTCTGGAATTAGGGAAAAGTTCGAGAACGCTGTTGATGATTAGGACTGGACTTTTGATGGCCGGTTGAGGTAAGCTTGTTCTCTCAGTTGCCTTTCTTGACGAGCGTTGTCTAAGTCATAGAGCCTAGGATATCTATCAGCTTTCCAGCCGTAATATCTAACTACTTTATAAAGCGTACTTGAGAATTGGGAACATGAACGAAATAACTGAGTTGATGGGAAGGTATCTCGGGATTTATAGCATATCATTATAGGGTCTAAAATTGGAGTATGAGACTTATGTTCTAGAGCTGCTATCGAGATGAAAAAGATTCCCTTGAAAACGAAAGTCGAAAAACGAAGTACTATAGACACGCTCGTGGGGGACAGAAGGAGCGGCACAGCATCAACTTTTAATGTTCCGCCCCGCTTGCGAGTAGGCTGCGACATGATAAGTTGGCGCCTTGTTTTCGCTCCACCGCGAGACATATAAAGCTCAGGTATTCCCGGCAGGCTCTGGAGTTATGGAGAAGGCACATAGATGTTGCTCTCTCGATAAGATCGACGCAAGGATACACCCACCAAATGATTGTTACACAAAGCAATCGTGCTTTTGATGACAAAATACCAGGAGCTTTGTCTCCGTATTAAGCCGCAATATTGAAAGGCTTTATTATTAGGCTTTGTACAAAACTGTAAATACGTTGTCTTTTCTTTTCCTCCAATACTACGACCAAACACGCGGGCGGGACGGAGGAACAGTCCGAATAAATTTGTAGAGGATCGCGATGCGCAACCACAAGAGAGATTGCGACGAGATACGATTTTTTGCGTAGCAGTCAGTCTACGGAGTATGGTCCCGTCTTTGAACCCTTGAGGCAATATTGAGGAGTGGCAGGCTGGCATGGAGGGACCTCCTATGCGGCGCGGCTAGGGGCTTTGGTGATACCCGGGGGGCGATCAAAGCCCTTTCAGGTTCAGCTAGACATAAAGATCATCGGAAAGATCTGTCTGATAGGTTCGAAACGAACTCAAAGGATGGCAGGCAGGCCGAAATATGTGGGGTTGTTTCCTTCCGATTCCCGAGGAGAATGGAGATATAAAGATATACGAGCAATAGAGTTACAGTAATCGGTTTGAAGAATTTGTTGAATCATTGATACTGCTGCTAATAAAGTCTGTCCGAGACCCCGAGACTGCTTGTTCGGATGTGGCGTCGTAGAATCTCACTGACTGCGTCATTCCCAGCTGGTTGGGATAGGATGGATTGATTTGGTGGGTTGAGCGGGGGGACCTGAGAGTGTCAGTAGGAGGAGGCTATAAGGGGAAAGAGGGGAGCACCAGGAAGTATGTACCGTACCGTACCGTAGACGCCCATGGTTCCTTTTACGGTACGGTACGGTACTGTACAACACTTTCTTTTCCCCCGAGGTAGTTGCGTCGGAAATGAAGATAATCTGTGATAAAAACGCCATTATTGCTGGGCGGCATTGCTACTCCGTAGGCGATCATTGCAGTTTGAAGATCGGATCCTTTGGATATATTTACCCAAGCAGTGTATCTCACCGCCTTGGCCCCGCTGTTGATTGTTGGCCGGTCAAAGTTTGATGGTGATCTGTACAGTAGGTACGGTACGGTACTCGCACTGTACCCTACTCATGCACCGAGTCAGTCCACATTCCACGTCTTGAGGCGCTGCTGGGATGGAGTCCAGATATGGTATGGCCGCGATATCAATACCCGCCCAGCAGGGCCAGCACAAGATGGCGATGGCTTTTTTTGTGGCGCTGTATGGCTTCATAACTTCCAGCACAAGAGTACTCGGTACAAGACTTTGTGGTGGGATGGTTCAATGATTGGAGGCTGGAGTAGTGGATTCCCGATGGGAATCACAGCACCCCTACAGTAATATCATCAGAATTGTATTTACTTGATCAACCTTGTCAACAGTGTGTGCAACATGCTAGTAAAGTAGTCCCGATTAGGCTACGAGCAGCCGGGCGCATTGGATTGCATCCGATTTCATTCCCAAAACTACTTGTCCTGTCTCTTCTCGCCTTGTTTAGATCTTTAAATCAATATCAATCGCCTTTACTGTACCTGTAGAGCACCACCACCAGTGCCAGTCCGAATCCGGCGTACTGTAGCATCGCCAGACAAGTTCGAGACACCACCACCCACACCACACCCCTAATATTCGCCAAGGGATCTTTTGCTGCACAGTGACGTTCGGACGAACTCTTCATCGCCCGTGCGTCTGTCTGCTTTTACCTCATCCATCTTGTCGTTCGCCTTCAACCTTTGCGAATACCACTGTGCGCCTGTAAGATAGGCAAGGAAAGGATAGAATAGCACAGGATAGGATACCATACGACAGGACCACCCCCTGCGACGAAGGCTCAGCTAGCCCCCCCCTCCCCCAAAAGCGCATCACGATGGACAAGGGGGATATGGCAGGTTCTGCCGCGAACAATTCTAGTGATTTTGTAAGTTCCTCATGGTCTAGATCTTCTCTCTTCACGGCGCCACATCTAATCATCACACGAAGGTTCGCAAACTATACAAGTGAGTAGCCATTGTCTCAGAAGAGCCATGTGGTAATATGTTGATGCGACAACTGACTAACGCGCTGGACTAGGATGTTGGAGGACCCCTCGTACGATGCCATTGTCCGTTGGGGAGAAGGGGGCGAGAGCTTTGTGGTACTTGAGGTATGGAATGGCCGCAATCATACCCTATTTGCTGTTGTTGTTGTTGTTGCTGATGTTGACGCCCGCCATAGAACGAAAAGTTTACCAAGTCTATCCTCCCAAAGCATTTTAAGCACAGCAACTTTGCGAGTTTCGTCCGACAATTAAACAAGTATGACTTCCACAAGGTCAGACAGAACAACGAAGATAACGCGCCGTCGCAGTATGGGCCTAATGTCAGTATTTATTTGTTCTGGGCTATAAGTATTAGAGACTAATTATCGACCAGGCCTGGGAATTCAAGCACCCCGAGTTTCAAGCGAACAAGAAAGACTCGTTGGATAATATCAGACGAAAAGCCCCCGCCCCAAGGAAACCTGCCCAAGCCATAGATGATCAATACCCAGCCCAGCAAATAGATCTTATCAATAGCCAACTAATGGCAACTCAACAACAGCTTCAACACCTATCCGAGAGGTACCAAGATTTGGCTCAAGGTCACGTCGTCTTACTTCAACAAGTTGTACAATTACAAAAGTTCGTCAAGAATCATGATGGGGTTATGCATAGAGTGATGGGGTTCTTGCACAGTGTCGACGCGCAAAGGCGCAACAGCCGGATCGAAGGGCCTTTTGGGAACAATGCTGCGCCTGGGATAGGGTCTAGAGAACCGTTGTCAAACGATGGCCCGGTAGATGACCATCCTGCCTCTCCGCTGCAACAGGCGTCTGAACTTCTCGGTGAAATTTCTGTTGATAGCCTCCAGAATAAGGAGCTCGAGCAGTTGTCGGCGGATTTGCAATTCCGCAATGACTATTCTACGCCTCCAAATGATCACAGTGCCACCATGGCTCCACCATCTGAAACATCAAGCACACATATTGGGTACTCAGCAGGCAATGACCTAGATAGTATGGTCTATCCTGTTGGCCATACAAATGGCATCGACCCGATAAATAGCGAGCATATCAACAATATTCCTTACGCACTACCTCCTCATGGCATGATACCTGTTAATCCAATGCCAGAAATGGTGCCCGAGGGAAATGCAAATCTTGGCCGAAAGAAGGGTCTTATGGAACCTATATGGGGAATGAACAAGCCCAGAGTTCTACTTGTGGAGGACGATAAGATGTGTGCAAAAATTGGTTCCAAATTTTTGCAAGCTTTTGAATGCGGGGTAGAGACTGCTGTAAGTTTTTCTTGGTTATATGATAGTTAGCCTCTTGCTAATATTTCTCAGCGTGATGGTCTCGAAGCCGTAAACAAGATTAACAATGGTGCGGGCCAATATGATCTCATCCTCATGGATATTATTATGCCCAACCTGGACGGTGTCTCTGCAACCGTCTGTATACGAGAATTCCGGCCAGATATTCCAATTGTAGCAATGACATCCAACATAAGAACCGACGATATTGATATGTACTTCCGATACGGTTAGTCCACTATCATGGCTTCTAGCATAACTTCTGACTTGAATAGGAATGAATGATGTGTTACCCAAGCCTTTCACCAAAGAGGGCATGCTAAAATCACTTCAGAAGCATCTAGCATCCTTCTTGAAAGGCGCTCAGTTCCCTAATTCAGCGCCAATGCCACACCCAGGTGGATTCGCACCACAGAACGCCCCTCATCCTCCTCTGGGTTTGAACATGGCCCAATTATCCGCAGGGCAGTCTTTGAAAGATGAGACGTCCCCGGGAAAGTCACCAGCCACAGCAGGATCTTGGCACTCGCCGAACCAAATACCAGGCCATTCGCCTGTAGGACACCCGCCTGGTTACATGCAGGCGCCTATGAGAGATAATCCCTATCCCATGACCCCCACACATCCACATCCGCAACATGGGTACCAACTTCCACCAAACCAAATTGGACAGCCGAGAGGAACTCCACAGCATCGGAGGGTCATGTCGGATATGAGCGGTGGTCCTTCGGAGGAGCATCCAGATGTGAAGCGACAGAGGATGTTCCCTCCTCCACCTCCAGGCAGCCAAGGGGGGTTCCAACAGTAGCAGGAAGTATAGCGCAAAGATATAAAGGGTGAATCCCTTGTTCCAAGATGGCCATCTGATGGTTTGCTCGTTACATTTGTATATTTAATATGTGGTCTGCCCCCACAGAACGCTCATGTGCATTTGGTGTTTGATTGATGGGAAGAGATGAGACAAGACATGTTTTCGGCGCTGGTGGAAATATGGTTATTGCAAGTTCGCAGCGGCGTTTGAGGGTAGGCTTGAATTGCATGGTTCGGTGCTTGGTCTGCTGGCGCTGGTGGTTATGACATTTCATCCTGACAAGACAGTCGGTGTGGCCATTATTTAGTCTCGACATACCACTTTATACACTATCTACCTTGACATTTGAGGATATGTCGGGTGAAATATATGCTTCTCGGGCAAACGAAGCAGAGAGGGCAGGATGACAAGCGTAGAAGTTCGCAAAATAAAGAAAGTGTGAATAGGAAGAAGAAATGAAACAGAGATATGCAGAGACGTTGAGATAAAGAGTGTTCCCTCGGGATATAAAAGGTCTATCGACGTCTAGACTCTTATGAGCTGATGGCATGCAAGCAATCCCCTGAAGGGAACCTGGCCTGGCCGGCGAGCCAGCCTTGTCACACTAGCGCGCGGGAGTCGGGTCGGGTTGTGAGTCAAGCTCTAAATATTTTTATTTTTGAGCCTCCAATTCTCACCCCACCTCGATTTACCTCGATTTACCTCTAAATTACCTGAATACTGGTATATTGAATAGTTGAGAGAAAGTTACTGAACGACCTAACGTATTCTGTTATAAGAAAAAGAAATACCGAGACAGGCCGGGGGGGATAAGTGCGCAAGATGTCGCATGCTCAGAAGAGCAGAGTAGCCGCGGGGGGGAAAGGAGCGGCAAAGGCGAAGAAAGCAGCTGGTGGGAAGAAATCGGAGAATGACAGAGAGGATACACTCCAAGCTGTGGTATGTGCAAGCTCAATTATGCCGGAAAAGAAGTATACTAACTCTAGACAGATTCTCGCAGATTCATTCGAGACGCGGTTTAATCCCTTTACACTGGAAAGACCAAGAGTAAGCTCTTCTATTCTATTCATACCCTTGGAGTCAATTGGATAAAAGGAGGATTGCTGAGCAATGGCTAACGCCATGTTTAGTGCCTCCTCCCTCTAGCAAACACGCCCCTCATCGAATACACGCTCGAGTTCCTCGCTATGGCCGGTGTAGCAGACATCTTCATCTACTGCGGCGCGCACACCACCGCCGTACAATCCTACATCCTCTCCTCCAAATGGCACCCCAGCACCTCAGCAGCATCGCCCTTCAACACGCTCGAGATCGTGAAAACTACAGCCCGCTCCGTAGGCGACGCGCTGCGGGATTTGGATTCGAGAGATATGATTACAGGGGATTTCTTGCTGGTGCATGGAGACCTGGTCTCGAATTTACCTATCGATGAGGCGTTGAGGAATCATAGGGACAGGAGGATTAAAGACAAGAATGCTATTATGACTATGATTCTAAGAGCTGGGGGACTGGGGGAGCATAGGACGAAGGCGAAGGGAGTTACGCCTGTTTTTGTGGTTGATCCGAGCAAGAATCGGTGTGTGCATTATGAAGAGATGCATCCACTGCAAGCACACAAATATGTGGATCTGGACGAAGAGCTGCTGAAGGATCATAAGGATATCGAGGTCCGGACGGATCTGATCGACTGTGGCATTGATATCTGCACGCCGGATGTGCTGGCGCTGTGGGCTGAGAGTTTTGACTATGAGGTTCCGAGGCGGCATTTTTTGCATGGCGTGTTGAAGGATTATGAACTGAATGGGAAGACGATACATACGGAGATTGTGGATGATCGATATGCGGCAAGAGTCTTCAATTTACAATCATACGACTCGGTTAGCAAAGATGTGCTTGGGAGGTGGACATATCCTCTCGTTCCGGACAGCAATCTTGTGGCAGGGCAAAGCTACAAGTTCGAAAGGGGCTCATTATACAAGGAGAACGATGTGATGCTGGCTAGGACGTGCAAAGCGGGTAAGAAAACCGTGCTTGGGAAAGGAACAAGTGTGGGCGCTGGGAGCGTGGTGTCCAACAGTATCATTGGAAGGGATTGCCAAATCGGGAAAAACGTTACTATTAAGGACGCCTACATCTGGGACAACGTATCTATCGGGGATGGCTCCAATGTTGAGAGAGCAATTATCGCCAACGAAGCCGTTATTGGCAAGTCCTGCAAAATCCAACCCGGAGCTCTAATATCCTACAAAGTCGGTATATCAGACAACACTGAAATAAAACCCAACCAGCGCATCACCCGCGCCAAGCGGAAACGCGACGCCGATTCCGAAACAGAGGAAGAAGTTCCCTCGGACCCCTCAATAGTCGGCCCATCAGGCCACGGGTACGAGTTCCGCGACGCTGAAGAATTCTCCGATGACGAAGAAGCCGCCTTCCACTCGTCCCTAATATACAGCACGCAACACCTAAACCTCTCCAACGCCTCCATCTCTACCCTCTCCTCATCCCTCTCCGCCGACGACGAACCCACCGGTCCACGCTCGCGCCTCTCCTCCTTCACCTCCCTCTCCGACGACGGCGACAACGAGGGCTTCCACCACGACGCCGTGCAAGGAATTCTAGACACGCTGCACGAACACGGCGACTTCGACTCGGCGAAACTCGAGTTCATGGGTCTGCGCCTCAGCAACGACGCCACGGATCACCAGATCCGCCGCGCCATCGCCGTAGCGTTCAGCAAGCACATCTCGCAACTCGTCGACGGCGAGGATCAGAAGACCGAAGCCAGCAAAGCGGCCGCGTCGGCGTTCGCTACCAGCGGCGCGGTGCAGTTCCTGAAGAACGTAGCGCTGAGTACGGGGACGGAAGAAGACGCTGTTGATTTCCTGCGCTGTCTGCAGAAAGATGCGGTGAATCGAAGCAGTGGGCCTTTGGTTCTTGCGGCGGTGTGCCAGCGCTTGTATGAGGAGGAGGTTGTTGGGGAAGAGGCGTTCTTGAGGTGGTGGGAGGAGGCGGAGGGCATGGGCGAGGATGAGGATGTAGAGATGATGAGGGTTAGGGGGAAGACGGGGGTTTTTGTGGAGTGGTTGAAGGAGGCGGAGAGTGAGAGTGAGAGTGGGAGTGATGAGGAGAGTGAGGAGGAGAGTGAGGATGAGTAGATTTGTGTATGATGGTTGTGTTAAATAGATGGATTGATGAGTCGCTATCTCGCAAGATTATACGAGTAGGAAAATGCCTGTCAAACGAATTATCTTCTGATTACCTTGAGTGTTTCAATGAATATTGTTGAAGAACTGATATTAGGATGTCCTTTAGAAGACAAAAATAAGCATCCCAGGAAGTTACATAAATCTCCAATTTAGAATGACAGGAGGGTCTGAAAATACTATCTCACACAAACTTGCAGAAAGACACAATCATATTCTCTGGGCCCCAATTCAGGTATTGTTTCTTTCCTGTACTGTCTCTAGTAACTCAAACATCGCCGAGGGCTTCGCGATGCATAGGAAATCCTATATAAAGAGGCCCAACCTCAGCATCTCTTCTCAACCCATTTTCCGCTCCCATTGCAAAGTCTCAACTTCACACCACACCATCCAATCATGCTTCACTCCCCAACTTCCCCTACCCTCATCTATGGCGCAGCAGGAGCAGCCTTAATCTCATCAGCAGCTGCCTCAGGAGCTGGCGCAGCAGCGAGGGGCGCCTGAGCAGCATCAGTAGTAGCCGGGTTCACGTTCTCATTATTAATAATCTCCGCCTTCTTCTCCCCTGCCTGCAGCCACTTCGGGGGCTTCGCCCACTGAGGATCAGTCCAAGGACCCTCATCACTCAGCGCACATCCACCAGCACACTCACAAGTGCCGCCAAAGATCTTGGGCAGGTTCTCAGCAGGGACCTGTGCGAGCAGTTCCTTCTGGTAGCCGCTGCCGAGCACATGGATTTTCTCAACGGTGATGGGATCAAGCCAGCCCTTGACAACGCTGAAGACGGTGCTGAAGCCCCATGGCGCGTTGATCAGGTACAAGCGGCCGAGGCGCTCGGGGTAGTAATTTTGCGACATGGCGGAAGCTTGCTTGACGTAGCCGTAGACGGAGGAGACCTTGCCCAGGCCGACTCCCTTGAGATCCATTATCGTGCAGCAGGTCTCGAGGAGTGCGCCGGACTTTCGTGAGCAGGCGGGGAGACGGGGGTCGCCTACTTTCTCGTATTCGACGGCCAGGTTTTGCAGCATTCGTTCAGAGGTGGTAATCTTGTACATGGCGGTGAGGTCAATGTTGCCTAATTGTTCGATGTAGACTGGTCGCCCATCCTATGCCCTTGTTAGTAATATGTCCACGGTAGCAGATGTGAAGTGGGGATTACCTTATCAATCTTGTGGTAATATTGAGGGTAGTATTCGAATACTTTTTCCTTCTCCGTGTAGTCGAAGTTCCTCACCAAATCGTCGAGGTTGGTTTCCTTGCGCCATGCCTCGCTGTCGACGAACCTGTGCCATGTATTTAGCAGATGTCTCGTATAGTTGGTGAGGGGTAGCTTACATCTTTTCAGCGAGGGCGACATCGAATTTGCGGGCACGCAGAAATCGTAGCTACACCGCCAAGTTAGCCACAGACTTCAAAAATCTAGAAAGGGCAGGGGACGTACCAGAGTTATGGTATCCAGTCGCTCAGTGTATCCATCTGACTCGAGCTTTGTGCGTAGTTGGAAAACCTGGGCATCCTGCTGGGGGGTTGTGTGTCCTGGGTGGCCGCTTTGCTTGTTGGACGATACGGTGGGATAGTCGTAATGATCATACTTGGGATCGAGATTCTCAATGGTAGGATATTCTGAAGCCATGGCGACGGTGGGGGAGAGGAGACGAGAGGAGGTAGGAAGGAGTTGTGAGACGAGAGGAGGTAGGAAGAGTTGTGGGACCTTGAGAGTTGTTCGTGGGGTTGCTGCTTGGGTATTGATATCGATCAACACAAGCAAGGTTCTAGCCTGGAAATTCTTTGGGGCAGGGCAGGGCAGGGGCAATCACGCTCGAGCTCGAGGCAAATACGGAGTGACGATGCGGCAATAAGTGGGGGCCAATCAAATTATAGGAAGGAAGCGAGAAAGGGGTAATTAATTAATTGTCTTTTCGAGCATGTTATTCATTCAAACATGGCCAAGATTAGTTGATCATACGAGACAACAATCGCACAATATTCACATAAAAGGGTTTGTTTGTTTGCACTATATGAGTTCAATTAAGCTCGTCTTTTTATCCGATTTTTAATTGCGCTCGATTTGACCAATATTTGGCCATATCATCCATTTGGCGACCCATCCTTTCCTCCAGATTCCAGTGCTACTTGGTCTTGCTTCTCTTTCCGCTTCATAGTCACATCCCAATTATACACTCGTGCCGTAGCAACCTCCATAGTCTGCCTATTGTTAGTTTCACCACTAAGAGAATGAAAACGTCCATTTGCATTTCATGGAGTATACATACCGTAACCTGCTCTCTTAGAAAGTCAAGGTCTTCTTCACAGTTTGTCAAATTCAGCTTGGCTGTTGCAAGTCTCGTCGTAAGAAGTTCATCGGCTTCATCGATGGGATATGAAAGCATAACATTTGCCTACCCCTGTCAGTGGTGCTTCGAACATCAACTCTGGAAGACTGGGGACTCACTCCAAGCCATAGATAAACCTCCTCCGTAGGTTGTATGTTTGCCTTTGCATACAGAGTGTCGTTCAATTCGAATGTTGTCTCGATAGGGTCCGCACCAGGCTATCACATCTGGTCAGCTCCTGAACTTCGAAGTTTAAGTTCCAACTCGGAGACGTACCTTTCTTGTCTTGAGAAACTTCACCATATCCAACGTCTTCTGTATGTCTGGTATCTTTTCTCTGTGGCCCATTGCTGCCCTTTGCTTATTTGCTTCCATGAACTGATATTTTCTGACCAAAATATGAGCCCTGGGTCAATGGTAGTCTCGATTTGACAACGTACTGTATCATCTCTTGGAACTTCTTCAAGGTCGCCTCGACTTCTGCGCGGCCGGTAACATAATCTTCCACCTTGTCGACGAAGGGCGCATATGGGATGCCTCGAGGATTGGTCGCCGCTCCATCTTTCCTGCTTGAGGCATCAGTTCTGCTTTCGATCGTATGGTGAGATAATACTCAGGGGTGTTATTTACTTGAGCTCCTTGTCTGCCATCTTCGGCGTTGTGGAGAGCTTGAACAACAGCTCAGGCAAATTTGTCCTGGAGCTCTGCTCTGGAGGCTCTCGAAATTCAACAGCTGGAACCTGAACCTGGTCTTGGCATCTTGGCACGCTAGGGTGGCTTGACCCGCCCCCGCCGGCCCGCTCTCGGAACCTCTCTCTCTCTTATCAGTTGTACAAGTGTACAGTACCTGCTCGTTGTGGTTGTGTCATCATAATACGACCGCGGCGGCGACTGGTCGATAACATGACGATGGAGGAATCACAATGGCTACAAGATGTCCTTCGATACTCGCTCAAAGCTTCCTCCTACACAACCGCCGACGACAAGCCTCCCCAAGCGGATCCGCGACTGGGGAAATTAGTTGAAGGGATATTGTTTTCGAGACGATTCATTTTGACCTATCATATTATTATTTTGGGGATTATATTCTCGTTATCCGTAGGACACTGGTCGGGAAAACTGGTTCGATGGAGGAGACGACGGGCGATGAAGCTACGAACCTTTGGGGCCGAGGACGAATATGATGCAGATGCAAAGACCATTACTCCATACTCTCAAAGGGACAGGATCAGTGTCTGTGAAGTCGAAGGGGTTTCATTTTCAGGTAGTAGTACTACACAAGGCAGTGAAGGGTCTGCAAGCCCGCCACGGAGGGATCTGAGCAAGGACGAGGATGAAGACGAAGACGAGGAGACCCCGCTTCTACATCAAGGGAATGCACCCCATCCAGTGTATTCTCGACGAACTATGATTTCCTATATAAGGGCATTCTTAGTCTACCAGCCAAGACCAATACCCTTCTTCAACAAAGTCCTTCCATCAAATGGAGCTTCGTTGGCAGTTCTGGCCTTCATTGGACTGAATATCTTTTATATGTACTACCATATCAACTTCAACAGTTTTGAAACATTCGTCTGGGCCGATAGATTTGGTCTGCTATTCGTAGCCAATCTCCCCTACTTATATATACTGGCCGCGAAGAACCAGCCCTTAAGGTTACTCATGGGCCAATCTTATGAATCTTTGAACCTCATACACCGTCGTTTGGGAGAATTGTTATGTCTTGAGGCTCTCCTCCACTTCGTGGGAATGATCGCTACCTGGTACCAAACCTTTCGTCCTAGCGGATTCGGTTTCATACGTTTCTTAACACTAAAAGTGACATTTCTTGGCCTCATTGCCTTGATATCTTACGAGATGTTATACCTCACATCTCTTGCCAGTTTCCGTCAGCGTTGGTACGAATTATTTCTAGGCCTACACATAGTTCTCCAAATCATCGGCCTCATATTCGTCTTCCTGCACCACTCAGCAGCAAGACCCTACGTTGGCGTTTCCCTCGCCATCTTCCTCATAGACCGCCTCGTTTACCGAATAGGGGTAAAATCCAGCACCCTCGAAGCGAGAGCTACAATCATGGAAGACGACGATACAGTCAAGCTATCCACAATCATCACTATTCAACGCAAACCCCGCTATATCTTCGGAAAACCCACCACAGCAGGCTGGCTGCCAACAGACCACGTCTTCGTTAGCATCCCAAGTCTAGGACGAAAACACATTCTGCAAGCCCACCCCTTCACCATCGCCTCCCAAGCCCCAGGCCCAGAAGACGAAAAAGCGGTTCTCGACCTCATAATCCGTGCTCAAGGTGGCTTTTCAGCGGACCTCCTAATGCGGGCTCGCTCCCACAAGACCCTCTCCATCCGTCTCGATGGACCCTACGGTTCCCCTCACGCGCGCATACTCGTCGAATCCTGCTCCACAGCACTCATAATCGCCGGTGGAAGCGGTATTGCCGTCGCCTGGCCTCTCATCCACCATCTCCTCGATACCAGGCGGCGTACCGATATGGAGACCGCCCCCAGTTCCAAGACGTTACGCGGGAAGAGGATTGTGCTAGTGTGGATTATCCACGAAGGTGACCATATTGACTGGATTGGACGGAAGGCTTTAGGGGATGTGGAGAATATGGGGGTGGAGATTCTAGTCCCTCGCGCTACTTCTGAGATTGGAAGACCGGACTTGAAAGCCATTGTTAAAGAGACCGTTGGTAAACATGCTGTAGAACCGAAACGGAGTATTGGTGTATTGGTCAGTGGACCAGATGGCATGAACAGAATTGTGCGTAATACATGCGCCGGTATGGTTCGAGATGGCCTTGATGTCGAGATTGCGGTTGAGAAGTTTGGCTGGTGATGAGATTATGAATGAACCCCAAGATGTGTGTTTTGGCGCGTATATATATTATGTCCTCCACTTCCTTATTATTTTGCCGGGATGGGTTTTGAGGAATTCTAGTTTGGTCTGGTCTGGTTATGATTTTGAGTTTACAGGACTGTGCGGTTTATGGCTTTTGATTTGAATTTTGGGTATGCATGTTTGGGAGGTTTTTGTGCATATATTTTAGATTTGCGCCCGGTGCGGCTCATAGACATTATACCCCAAGCTATAACTAACCTCGACATACTTGGCTATGAATGACATATTCTACCATCAAAGCAAGAACAAACAACTTATCGACAAATTGCCTTTGCGAGTCTGTAGCTAGTAAGTCAGCACTATTTTTATCCTAATTCTACTGTACATAGTTCTTCTACCTTCAGGGTCGATATAGGACCCAATTTCCAAAGATTTAATGCGTCTACAGCAATGAATAACAAGTTCAATCTCGCCCATTGCATATTCAATGCCCGCAGCTAGCTAGCTGAAAGAAGGCTAAGGCTTGAGATTCAAAATTTAGTACGAAAGGTAGACGGGGTAGTAGGGAAATAGTAGCACTAGCTGAGGAAGCGTCGTCTATTGTAACTCGTTTCGTCCAATAACTAGGGTTGTAGAAAATATTTAGTTCTTTTAATAGAGGAACGCCGGACGGTCGTCAACGTGCTCGACAAGGAGGACCGCTTTCTACACCGGACGGTCGGAGATAAACGCGGCGGAATATAGGGACCTGGACGTACTGAAAAATACCACTTAAATCTGTGCACGTACTACAAAATTCGCCAATTTCATTCCGCCGCGTTTACAAGTATCTCCGGCTGGTGGAGAGGCTCCCCTTCCTTTGACATCAACATGGGAGATCGTGACCATCTGTTGGAACTTGGGGCCAAAGATCAGAGTTGTAGGATTCCGAGACCTCCCGCAATGGCACACGACCAGGGTAAAGTTGGCAGAAGTCGCCGTATAAGTAAGTATCTGGAATGAAGTATAAGTACAGTAGAAGAGTAACCGTTTCTCTCTGTCGTCTTATTTATCTACAAACCTTTCGATCAAATCAAACTCGCTCGAAATGTCTCATCAACAAACCAACTATGCACTCCCCTCCATCGCAGCCGCTTATGGCCTGGCCTTTGTACCGAATTATTATAATGTTCTTCGAATGATGGCTGCCACTGGCGGGAAGTGGAGTTTCGCCATGTATGTTCCTCCTCCCACTGATGACTTACTCGTGCTTGTAAGATACATATTTCAAAAACAAATCATCATTCTAACCCAAAGCCCAGGCCGCGAACAAACATGGATACCCTGAAAGGCAAAGTCCCAGTCTCCATCTGGAGCCAATGCTACCGCGCACGCTGCGCACACATCAACGCTCTGGAGGGATTTCCTCTCTTTGCAGCTGCTATGGTGCGTCCCCCTCCCCCCCCCACTTCATTCTTCTTACCTTTACCCCTCCCTACCTTTACCGAACTGAACAAGATCATTCTCATGCTAAATTACCTACGCAGCTCGCTGGGACAATGATGCACATCCCGTCCGAAGACCTAAATAAGAGTGCAGGATGGTATATCGGACTCAGGAGTCTGTATACCGCGCTTTATATCAGTACGACTAGTGAGGTGCTTGCACTGGCCCGGACGAGTGTTTGGGGCGCGAGTATTGCGGTGCCGGTTTGGACGCTTTGGAAGGCGGGGAAGCTGGCTTAGATTAATAGAGCACCTTTTAAGATGAGCATTGCTGTAGGATACTTACTCCCTTGGGCAACGCGTGCCGAGAGATCTAATTGCTGGTAATGGAGTGTTTGGGAATTGGGAAATTGGAAAAGAGTAAATGGCGTCTCGTGGTTGTTTTGACGGAAACACTTTCAGCTTGTATCATTAATTTCATTCAGCTCTTCCTTCCCTGCTCATTAGCGTCTATGGTTGATTATCAGCAGGTCCGTATGTAATTTCTAAATTGTAACTATTCTAGGAGATATTCTTCTTGCCTTCTTCTCTTCCCGTCACAAATTCTGCTCAAATTCAGACTACATAAGACCACACCAGTCAGCTGTTCTAGGCTCAGAGGCCGCGTTATATTTCTCTCAACGGTGTTCGGTTTTCGCGGCTAAACTGCAAATAAACTACATATCGATGAGAATCCGGGTTTGATAGATTGCACTCAAAGGCGGTTGGGGGTCAGGGAAGAAAACTAAACTTACACTGGGATATAGGCGTGTATTTTGTTGCTCTTAATCAGTGTCATTCCTTTTGAATCATCTGCGTATTAAACTTACTTTAGCAAACTAGGAGGATATGGTACACCGAGATCATCGCAGCATCATTTCATATGCGAGTGGATGGTGTATTGTAGTAGATTTCCTTGCATTTTGCTTCAATAGTGAGTGGTGTTGATATTAACACTGACTTCTACTTCCGCTTTTCGAAATCCTTACAGTACTTACTATACGGGCTCTAGATCTGTGAGGTATTTTGGCACGCGGTCAAGGTCCAATTGAACGACGATAGGTTTGTCGAGGCCAGGGTGTGCACATTCATGTAGGAGAGCATTTCAGCATACATGGAACCGGACTCTGATGACAAGGTAAGATAACAAGCTATTAGGGTATTTATTGTCTAACCGTCCATCGATTATCATTACGTCTATCCTTCTACAATATATACAAGAAATACCACCCCCGCCCCCTCCTTTAATGAGCATACCTCCTTGTGCCCCCGTTCAGCCTCTTCCCATTAACCCTCCACGCACCCCCACCACCACCCGTATCCCACTTCTCCTTCCCACCTTCTTCTCTCGCCGTCAATGCACGCCACATATCCATAATTCCCGCTCGTCGTGCTGGCAACATGCTGTATTGCAGACTGTACAGGTTTTTGCGGTGTATGGGCGGCACAAACTTGCCCGTTGCGAGACAGAGGAGGACGCGGGGTGAGAGGTAGTGTTTGCGGATGCGGTGGCCGAGTTGGAAGTATTGGTGGAACATTGCGCGGAAGGTTAGGGGGACAGACTGGTGGTTGTTAGTTGGATAATTTTGGGGGAGGGGAGAAGCGGAAAAGAGGATGTGGAAGGGAAGGATACTAACTTTGAGGTAGATGTAGGAGGTTGGGGGAGGCCCATGGGAGTCGGTTGTTGGGGTGGAGAGGGTGAGTTGTTGGGTATCTTTAAGTTCAAAACAGATGCCACCTAATTTGACATTTAGTACTAGCTATAATAAGTGAGAATGGAGGAGACAAACCAGGCAGTCGTTGGGAGTCTTTAATTCGTAGCATAAGAGCAAAAAGGGGGAAATGATTCAGACAAGCAAGTAGCGTATCTAAAACGGCTTTCAAGGAGATGATCGCCATGCGCGAACATGCAAAGGTGAGGTAAAATACAATCACGGTTGGTAGTAAGAAGAACAGGAGTGTGAACAGGATGGTGCCTAGGAGTAGCTGGTCCAAATCGTAGTCGCAGGAGTCTATACGCTTTCGTAAGACATTATGCTTCTTTCCTCGGAAGAGTTGGAAGAGGGATAGGAGAATTGTGTATTGCCAGTTAAAGATGCGGGCGGAGGCCATGTAGAATGAGTAGATGTGGATGGTTAGGATTGAGAGGAGATCTGAGAAGAGGGCTATTGGCATGCTGGCTCCAGCGAAACTGGAGAATCCAATGAACCAAATCAGATGAGGTAGCACAGGCCTTAGAGCTTCGAGACAGTCTGTAATTTCGTTAATAAGAAGTCATAGGATGTGGGAATAGGGGTACTCACTTGACCAGTGATCAATCACCCACAGAAATAGATCACCAAGGAAGGCAGCCAGTTCATTGTTCAGCTTCAATCCAGCAGGCCAGTCCATCAACCAGGCAATGGTTCTTCGCAACACTGCAATAGAGTACAGACTTAGAAACTCGCTGATAGATTCAGCTACCCATGCCGAGTTGTCAATGATATACGAACCCAGCGCAATGCCAATAATGACATCGTTTGCAACCAACCAAAGACTGTTGTAGAATCTGATATAGTCTGGGTGGCTTGTAGTCACACTTTCCCAGTCGTTTTTCCTCTTTCGTAAAGTGATGTACTGCATCGGCCAGTAGCAAAATTGTTGAAGCCGTATCTCTACTTGCTGAGCGGTAGCTGATATGTCTTTCAATGCTGCGTAGTCCGGCTTGGCCCTCCATTCCAAAACAAGCAGCAGTGCTTCTGCAGTAAATCTATGGCATACAAGACCGAGTATGAATCCCCTTCGGATGATGGGATAGATATATAGAGTCATCACCCGCCATAGAGCCACAATTACAAAGTCTCGCATGCCCGTTGCAGATTCTACAACCCTCTCTGACACACTTAAACTTCGTCGCGATCTCCTGCCTACGAGTGATATGTTCTTTTGAAGAAGCTTGTTCAATTCGAAAGAGCAATTGATTTGGTTGACAATCCTTGGCAGTGCCTGTTCCTTTTGTGACGGTGGATGAACGGATACTGTGTGAAGTCTTAGCTTCTCGACCAAATGTTTGGTCCTCGCCCTGTTCTTCATTTCCTCCTTTTCCTCTTCCGCATCTACGCTCCCGGGCGCATGATTTGTCTTTTCCGCCTTGTCCCCTAAAGCTAGCGAAATCGGGTTTAGAGATATGTATTGCATCCTGTTCGGTAACGGGCGCTCAAACATGATTATCTGTACTGTAGAAGCTCTTGCGCACGAGATCTGTGGCATTCGTAAATGTGGTCCTTTGGAAGCATGTATTTGAAGAACCTCAACCTCAATCTGTGGGGAATTTGCCAGACCCAAAACCTCCATAGACGGCCGTCCGCATAACTCGTAGATCCGCGCAATCGGATGACTGGCACTTCGAAACAGGGTCCCAACCTTCAGGGCATTTTCCACACTGCGCGCCTAACTCTTCGTCAGAAAATGCTCCTCTGAACGAACTCCTCACAACTCACATCGACTTCCTCCAGTATAGCCACCACAAAAACATCAAGCCCGGAGTTTCTCCATCCCACTATGATCCCCGGGGCATCGCTTCTGGATAGATCGGAGGGCCAAAATATTCTCATAAGCCCATCATGATCGGGCATGACAGATTCCCAGCTACTGGTGGCCTTCTAAAAAGAGCCCCGACGGCGTAACTGTTCTCGCGCAGATATTCCGGCACTCGAAGCTCGTGGGTGCTGTTATGGCATTAGTCGCATCCAATGCGCCTGGGGAAACCACCTCACCAACTGCGTTTCCCTCGAGGCTAGCCTCTCCAATGGTATGATGAATAGGAAGAAGAACAGGGAAAGGATCGCGAATCCCTTTGCCGTACGCGTCTATGCCACAGTTTCTTAGTAGATTTTAGGAAGGGGGGAGCTTTAGAATACGTACGACGACTCCGTGGTCCCAGGCGAAGTTTGCAAGCTCATAAAGTCGAGTAACCAGATCCCACCTTGCAGTGATGTAGCCGGCTACGAAGATCGCAAGAGTGAGAACAGAGAAGGGGTGCATGAATCTCTTTCTATCGCAGGTGCATCACTGTCGTGTAGATATTGGTCTGTTGGGGGTAGACGCGGCCACAAGCAGGGATGAGGTACAGTACAGTACTTTAGAGATTGCGAATGGTGTTGGTGAAGGCGGGAGGCTGTTGACGACGGTGAGATATTCGGTGCAGATCAGATTCCCACATCATCAAGCTGGCGGCGAAGCTATGTACAGCATGTTTTCGGTTCCTGTTGGGGTCAATTTCACTTTGGGATAAAGGTGTAGATTCTCTTTGCAGGGATCTGTTTGATTAAGTGAGTGATTGATTAATGATTAAAGCTTGTGGATATCATCATGTGATAGACCTTCCCCGGATTCTTGGCTTTTATAATCTAAACTTGGCTTGTTTTTGTTTATTTTGTTATCATGTTAAATTGAAGGAATTCAAATAGATCAAAGTTTTCATTTGTTGTACAGTTCCCCTCCATGAGTTAATAGAGATGCCTTCAAATTTACATTTACATTTTGAGCCGAGTGAACCCCCTAACGCCGTGCCAATGTTGCTGTCCAGATTGATAGTCAGATTTTGTTTTGTTCTATGAATGTTAGCAAAAGTCATAGAATATGTCCATATACCCACAACCTCGCCGCATGTTTGCAGCATCATTCTCCTTGTGGTCCTCTCGAGCATCCTCCAGCATCTTGTCGATGCCACGCTCTTTCAAAGCATTCTACCTGGAATCAGAAGCTGAGCTTTGATAGCTTTAGAGCAAGGGAACAAACGGTCAAGCAATGCTTATAGTCTTTGAAAAGAGCGGAACATTCGTCTGTTTTGCCCTTCCCTCGAAGATACTCTATTGGCAAATCAAATCAGCTCAGCTGCAGGAAGAAAGAGGCGGCGAATGACGCACTTTCACTGTACCATTTGAGGAAACATGAATCGTAGCGTCTAAGAGAAAGTCAATAAGTATATTGTATTGTATTGATAATGTTGAGGGACTTACTCCTTGACCTCGTTACATTCTGGAGCCAATGAGGCAGACATCGTGAGACTTATTTTGGAGTTGAATCGTCCGTACAGCAAAGAAAGAAAGACGAGGCTCCCGCTCCGCCGTCAATTAAAGTTATGTATGCTCTGCCGGCGTTTAGGTTCGCCGATATGTTTACAGCCCCAGCGCGAGCAGGGGTAGGTATTGAATTTTTGGACAATTTTGTCCCGCATGCGCATATCCTCTCAGCATTCTCTACAACCCACTGCTATTGCGTCAACCGCCGATATGGAGCAAACCCTGGACTTCAAGTCCTTGCAAGAACAGGTTCAGGCTTCATTGATTGCAACCACTCGGACCACAGGCCAAATATCCTCCGAAGACCTTGCATTTCAGCGCTCCTTGAATCGCGAAGTTGGGACCGCTCTGGATGAGCAAAGCAATCGTTTGCTTGACCTATCTTCCCAGTTGCTCAAGTCTGCCACTTCGATCTCAGACCTGCGGGCACCGGCCCTTGAAGAGCTTGATGATGTGGAAAACAATTGGCGGAGCGTGGTGGATGTTATTGACTCCCTCCTGGAGAAGACGGACACTTGCTTGGATGAATACACGGGCATGATCAAGCGCAAGGAGCAATCGCCTGCGGATCAGGTATGCCCTTTTGCAATTTTGAATCTAAACATCTCAACTCACAAATTGGCAGGCAACATCGAATCAGAAGAAAAACACCACTTCCTTGGGCAATGCCTTTCGGAACCAGAACCTTGTCAAGCCGCAGCTTGCTTTCGATATCAAACCAGACAACCAAGACACCTCGCCATGGAAACCGCTTCTCACCTCGAAGCCCCACGCCACAGTACCTTTGGAGGAAAGCCTTGGCATAATAACGAATGATTACGACCAGAAGCAGTATGACTACACCACTTTTCTTCCGTTACTTGTTCTCCCATCGCCACCTACTTCTCTTGAGGGCTTAAGCAAGTCACAACAAAGAAATCGAAGACAGAGTTTCAAGAAGCATGTCGACAAGTATAAGCAGATGGGCAGCACAATGTTAGGACAAGAGCTTGGCAGTTACTGACAACTTGTTTAGATTCAGACATCCCTATGAGACAGAAATCCTACACCTTCAATACCCAGATTCGGTTTACCAGAGAGCAGAGCCGATCATGTACCAACCGGTTGATACCACTGAAGCTACCTGGGTTGATACTGAAGAGGGTGTGTTGAAAATGCTCGGGGATCTCAAGGGTGCAAGTGAAATCGCCATTGATCTGGAGCATCACGATTCTCGAAGTTACGTTGGTCTCGTCTCACTAATGCAAATCAGCATTCGCGGCAAAGACTGGATTGTAGATACCCTGAAGCCTTGGAGACATAAGCTACAGGTTCTTAACGAAGTCTTTGCGGATCCCAAAATTATCAAGGTAATTTTTGACATACCCATGGAATTATTATTTCCTCTAACATTTTAGGTCTTTCATGGTGCTTATATGGACATTGTCTGGCTTCAAAGAGATCTTGGACTCTATGTGGTTGGCTTATTTGATACACACTGGGCAAGTAAAACTCTAGGCTACCAAGGAGGAAGCTTAGCCTTCTTATTGAAAAAGTTCATTGACTTCGATGCGGACAAGAAATATCAGCTAGCCGATTGGAGAATTCGGTCAGTAATTTTCTTTGCTCACTTTTTTTTTCATCTTATTGATCATATTTCAGACCCCTTCCACAGGAAATGTTCTTCTATGCGAGAGCAGACACGCATTTCCTTCTCTACATCTACGATAACATGCGTAATGAACTGTTAGATAGAACAAATCCCGATGTGCCTGACGAAAATCGCATGGAAATGGTTCTTCAAAAGTCAAAAGAGGTCTCCCTGCTACGTTACGAACGCCAAATTTACAATACAGAAAGTGGCAGAGGTCCTGGCGGATGGTACCCACTGCTTGTGAAGACGCCAGCGCTTTTCAACAATGAGCAATTTGCAGTATTCAGGGCTATTCACGAGTGGCGGGATCAGATCGCACGGGCGGATGATGATAGCACAGCATTCTTGATGCCAAACCACGTTATATTCAGTATTGCAAAGGTGATACCCACAGACCAAATTGCTCTGCTTGGGCTCGCTCGACCAATATCACATAGCGTAAAGTCTCGCGCTGGCGAGTTGCTGAATGTGATTAAGACTGCAAAGGCCAAAGGAAAAGATGGTCCAAGCATGATGGATGCTCTTCGTCATGACACAACAAAAGCCAACGTTCCATCTTTAGCTGGCAAGGCCAAAACTCAGTCCCCGACATCCGTACCACTGGTCGCAGTAGTAGATGGAGATGACCTACGCAGCTCGAGCTCTACGTTTTGGGGCGGTGCATTTGGAAGCAGCATCTGGGACGAATCAACCCCCACAAAACTAGGCGCAGAGATCAGACTTGCCGTCCCACTACCACAACTATCACCCAACATCTTTCAATCCTCCAATGATCCATTCTCACAACAAGCCTCTTTACCAACCACCACTTCCTTACCAATACAGCCAAGCAAAGCAGTACCGAAATCAGACGAACCATTCGTTTTGAAACGCGGCACTAAACGGAACAGCGAGAATATATCTGTAGCTGACTCTGATGAAGAGGGAGAGGGAGAGGACAGCGACTACGACATATCATTCTCCAGCCCCTCGGACGCTACCGCAATCCAAAAAGCCCCGAAAAACCCGAAAACCAATCATCCTGGCCCACTAACGAAGAAAGAAAAGAAGAAGCTGATTAGAAAGGAAAGAAAACTTGAGAAGGAAAAGGCTGCCGCTAGTGCCGAAGCATCGAGACCAACTAGTGACGCAGTTGAGGATGAGGATGAAGAAGAGCCATTCGATTATAGCAAAGCGGAATCAGTGTTACATGCGAAGAGGAAGAATGATAAAGGGGGAGGAGAGGGTGGTAAGAACAAGAAGCAGAAGCCGTTTGATCCGTATAGCAAGAGTGAGAATGCGGCTAAAGGGATGAGGAGGGCGCAGACAGAGAGGCCAGGAAGGAGTCATACATTTAAGAATTGAGAGGGTGATGAGATATGTGGTCATGATGGGAAATGGAAATGGAAATGGAAATGCATGCGGAGGAGATACCCATACGACGCTCTATTAGTAAGAACAATCAATGATCTTGCATATGGAAGAAATGAAACCGCTCTTGAACAGTCGACCGCTCGCCAGTGATTTGCTTCGTATGATTCAGCTGACTACATTACTTTTTCCTCTAGCAGCCTACCTGCTTTAGTGCGCTCCTAATCCATACGACACCCGCTGCTACAAATATAAATATCTCTCGCATCTCATTCTTCGTCCATAACAATCCGTCTAAACGCGCCATAATCTATATTACCTCCAGGAGCAACTTGGGACCTTCCATACAGGGCACAATGAAAACATGAGACCCCTCTATCTTAAGACCAAGAGGCAAAGTTGTAGGTAGTTCCTAATCTTTTGATTTTTAAAGCTGTGGTAGCGGTGCTGTCAATTCCGGAATTGTTGTCAAGCTGTGAATTGTTGTCAAGCTGTGAATTTGCTGTCAAATCATCTGATGGTGCGGTTATGAGTTACTGGTCTTCTGAGCACCACCGTCTCTTGAGATTCAATAGGCTGACCTACTACCACCAACCGTTCTGACATGAATTTGGTGGTCCTTGAATTCTTCTTCCCGATATTCCAAACCTTGCCCTGGCCTAGAAGCGTTTATCTCCTCAAGCTTAGGTCTTCGACTTGATGAATTTTATTTATGGCTTAGAGTTTGGCTGAGCAGTAGATGTTTCAGGGATAACGGTATAGTAACGAGTCTTTGAGGAGAGGTTCCGAGTGAATAGAGTTGCGGCAAAGTTGTCGATCAGAACCTAAAGCAAAACCACTCAGTGCTCGTGGCATGTAGAGTAGAACGGGAATCCTTCCATCTATCCTCGTTGCAAGTATAAAGGTCCCTAATCTCCCAGATCACTAGCTCACGGGTCCGCTTCAAAGCTGCTGAAGATCCACTTAGGGTTGAAGAAGACTTGTCTGTTGGGTCGGTCGGTGGACACTCTCAACAACCTGACCAGACTACTATGATTTCAAATTGCGTGGAACTACCCAGGCTAGACAATTGGCCGATGGGAGTTAATAAATGGCTGTCGAGTTGTTGTCAAGCTGTAAGCTGCTGTCAAAGTATCATATTTCACATGTACCACCAGTGAACACTACTAGAACTGATCACCTAGATGGACTATTTGGAGAGAATCTTCAATGCTACATGTATATATCTTGGAACTGCCTCGAGACCGTTAACTTGACCGGCGAGTTTTACTCCTCGTGGCGCCGATGTGCTGAATAGTTTTGATTGCCATGTTGTTAGTGACGGCCAAGTCTACTTATTTACAACCATTCGGTAGACCCGAGAGAATAGCTAGCATGTAAGTGAATGATGTACGTGACTTGCGGCCTATACATTAGATACCTCAGATTGCGTATATAATCAAGTAATTAAATGTAAGTAAGTGAGGGCTCAAAGTGGACAAAGAGGCGGTACTGATTTATAATTTCCTAGGTGAAGTGAGACTTTATTATTCAAGTCGATGGTTATAAGTGCCGTTTTCTGTCCGCGAGGGGTTGGAAGATGATTCTCGCTTAGAAGGAACACAAGTCACTTTGCCCCTGAATTTGCGAGTAATCTTGACTTCACTTTATTTCGATAAGATAGATATAATAACATCATTCCTGCTCATATTATCTTACATGCCAGTCTCGTGTAAATGCACTAAGTTCATCTATCATCAGACCATAGCCACAAGCTCAAATACCGCGCTTACCAGGAATCCCAAAACGCCAATACCTCCCACAAGCGCTTTTACAGAGCCTTTACACTCTTAAAGAAAGGATTGGCAAGCAACTTCTCATCACCCTTTACCAGCTCCCTCATCATCTCTACTTTCTCATCTCGACTCAAGTCCTTCCCCTCACATTGTTCCTTCCACCTCAGCAAAACATCCTTCAGCAACTGACTGCCCTCCTCTACATCCTCCTTCCCAACATTAAGCGCGGTTGCGTCGTGCTTCCCCGTGAAATCCTCAAGTTCGTCCGATTTCCGCTTCGCCATGTTGACGACCTTCTCAGGGAATCTCACAAGCTCAGCGACGTGGATGCCGAAACTTTGATCACAGACTCCTTCATCAACTTTATACAGCAGCGTGACTTCGCGCTTCGCTTTTCCTTGATCGTCGATGTGAGCTACGACGTGAAGATTTTTTACTTGCGGAAAGGTATCAACGAGAGCAGTCAGCTCGTGGAAATGTGTAGCGAACATAGAGAAACATCCAATCTCCTTGATAATGTGCTCAGATATCGCCCAAGCGAGTCCGAATCCATCGTATGTGCTTGTACCACGGCCAAGCTCATCGATAATTATTAGACTCTCTGAGGTCGCGGATTTCAAGATATTGGCTGTTTCGAGCATTTCAGCCATGAAGGTAGATACGCCTTTGAGTTGGGAATCTGATGCTCCCACACGTGCAAGGATACAGTCGAAAATAGTCAGTTCCGCCTCAGCGCACGGTACAAAGCAGCCAATTTGGGCCATGAGGGCAATGACTCCGATTTGACGTATGTACGAACTCTTGCCGCCCATATTTGGGCCTGTGAGAATAAGAAACTCGGAGGAGCCGCGAGTGAGGTTGACGTCGTTAGTGATGAATTGTATGTCGTCTTGCATTTCCATACACGGGTGTCGAGATTCCTTCAGAACCGTGTTGCCTTCTCCTCGGGGGTGCATCTTGGGACGGACATAAGATGTGGGTGCGTGTACTGAACAGTGTGCGAAGCTGATAATGACATCCATATGGCCCAGGACACCTGCTAAGAGTTCAATCACTGGACAATATGAAGAGGCAACGGTGACTACTTCGTTGACTAGACTGCGTTGAGTGCTTTCGTAGTTTCCAATGAGTTGATCGTATTCCCGTCGAGCGCTTTGCAGCTTTTGTGTTGTAAAGTAGACACCGTTTTTCTGAGTAGAGCATTCTTGATAGCCCTTATTATTGCGGATGCAACCAGCTTCTGCCCTGGTTAGACGCATACACCAGCCGTGAACTTTGTGGTTTTCGAGGAAAAGCTTCTTGTCCATATCCTGGCCCAGGTCTTTACTGGCATTTCTGTGCTCTGTGTCCATCTCGTGCCTATTCTTATCCAGCTTCCTTTTGATCATCTTGAGACTATCATCGAACTCGGGCTTGATTTTGTATTCATGATTGTCCATGGCATCTAAATCAACTGTCGTCTCCACCATCTCGGCTAGCTTTGCCAGACTATCCGAATATTCCCTGAGCTTGGTCGTATATGCTTCATCTAAAGGATCTTTGTACTGCTCATCCATGACACCTTCGAGAGTGCCGATAATGTTCGGTAGCCTAATGACAACTTGATATGCTCGAACAACATCTTGGAGATTTGCCAATTTCTTCTGGAACCTCTTGGCAAGTCGATACAAATCTGGAATGGATCGTAGATGCTCTTCCTGCATCGTTTGTCGTAATTCTGTGTCTTCAACAAATGCTTCAACAAGCTGCTGTCTCTTCTCAATCTCCTCCTTACTCATCAAAGGTTGCTTGAGCCACTGTGCCATCAATCGGCTTCCGACAGGTGTCTTGCAGTGGTTAAGTAGGCCATACAATGACATGGTCTTCGCTCCATCTCTTGGTCCAGGCATAAGGTTTAGCGCCTTTAGCGCCGAAGCGTCGAGCTTCATGAATTGGGAAAGATCATGCTGATAGAGCTGATATTGGCCGAAATTCGAAGAATCGTGCAAAAGTCCAAGGTATTTGATCAAAGCAGCAGCCGAACCCATCGCAAGCTTAAGATCAGTCTGAGCCAGAGTTCCACTCGCCTTCTCGTCTTTCAAGAGCCTTGCCAAATCTTGGTCTATATCCTTGATGCCGAAATCAGACCCGGCTCGTTCTGAAATCGCGACACCGCAGGAGTCGATGATAGCTTTGAGCTTCGACATCTCGACATCGTTTTCAGACTTGTCGACTTGTATTAAACATTCCTTGACTCCCAGCTGAATCAGGAGGGACTCGAAATTCGAATACAAATCGGTGTCTAGAAATTCGGAAACTCCCAATTCACGAACACTAGCATCTGCAAAGCATACCCCGACATTTCTTCCTTCAGCCCTTGCTGTAACTTTGACAGATAAAATGATTGGCGCAGCATCGAACTCTCCTGCCAGTTCTTCCTCGACATCTTGCAGATTTCCGGGTGAAGCCTGCTTTGTGATCTTCCAGTTCATTCGTCCGGTTGTTTCCCATATTTCAACTCGTTTGCTTAATCGAAAGAGGGCTTCTCGGAGAAAGTTTCGAAAGACTGTGATAGTCATAGTGACCGAGGGGAGACCGGTAGAGTCATTTTTGCCCAATTGTCTCACCACTGCGGTGCTTTTATAGACCTATATCATGTGTTAGTAATGAAAACATATTGTGAGAAGAGGACTTACGGTCCGAGCTACAAAGGATGCATCATCGCCATGAGCAGTGTAGTAATCTCCACGGTCGAAGATCCGGATGGTGTCAGCATTGTGAGTTGGTAAAGCTTTGAAGAATTTGATAAAGCCTCCTTCATCGTCAACCTGTGCAAGTTAGAGTGGCGTTCCCAAGTCATCGATTGGGGTTGAAAGTACCTTCAATTCTGGGCGTGATGACATTGTGGGTGTATCTCTAGTCTTTTGCTTGATTTAATAAGACAGATTGGATTCTGTACAAGTTTTCAAGGAGAATCTCGACTTTACACGAGTCCGTCGCGCTTTGAGGTTGGGAGACGCGAAGCGTGGTCGCGGCGTGTTGCGCTAGTCCCAAGAAATATTTATGCCCCTCACCGCCTTTGTCCCCCGCAAGAAAATTCCGAGTCGCATGTTTAAATTTACAACGTGAATTGTCCAATGTCAACATCGAGATTTGGCTAATCTGCACAGAATGGGCGACATAGAAGAACGCCCTTCCAAGATGCGGAAGTTGAATACTCCAGAAGTAATTTCAGCAAACGGAGATGGATCCGAAGTTACAGATCGGGACCCCGCCATTGCTGCCAATGTTCAACAAGAGCATGAGCCAGAGCCAGTTGAGCAGCTTGACGAAGAAACAAACGACTCTGAAAAGGGCAATCAAATTCAGCCTCCAGGTACAACGGGTCTTTCCAAGAGCCAATTGAAAAAGTTACGCAAAAAGCAAGAATGGGAAGCCGGCAAAGACTGGCGAAAAGCCAAGCGCCGGGAAAAACACAAAGAGAAACAAGCCCGCAAAGCCGACGCGCGAGCAGATCTACAAGCCAAGATCGAGTCTGGAGAAGTCACAATCCCAGAAACATCTGCCGAGAAAAAGAAAGGGCCGAGTAGACCAATTCAAGTGCCAGTCACGTTAATCCTAGATTGTGACTTCGATGAGCTTATGCTGGAGAAGGAGATTATTTCCCTTAGTGCTCAGCTCACGCGGTGCTATTCGGACAATAAATGTGCGCCGTACAGGTCGTTTCTTACTATGAGCTCTTGGGGTGGAACGTTGAAGACTAGGTTTGAGACTGTGTTGACGAAGAATCACCTGAGTTGGAAGGGGGTGAGATTTATGGAACAGGGTTTCGTGGCTGCTGCTGAGGAAATGGATGGAATTATGAGAGGGCCTACTGGTGGGCGGCTGGTTGGAGCTTTGGCACCTAAAGTGGACAAGGAAGCTTCAAAATCCCAGGAGAATGGAGCGGAGGCAGCCCCTGAACCGAAACCAGCTTCGTCAGACCCAATTCAAATTATGGAAGAGCCTTCTCTAGAACCGGATGCTTCAGAGCCAAATCCATTAAGTACGGAGTCAATACCAGTACCTCCAGCAGAACAACCTTCACTCCCACCACTATCAGAAGAGCTATCTTCCACCCCGGAAGTTCCAGTTACAAAGTCAAAACCCCAAATAGTCTACCTAACCTCCGACTCCCCTGACACCCTCACCACCCTCTCCCCCAACACATCATACATAATCGGAGGCATAGTCGACAAAAACAGACACAAAGGCCTCTGCTACAAACGTGCCTGTGAACTCGGCATCCCAACCGCCAAACTACCAATTGGAGAATATATGACGATGCAGAGTCGGAGTGTGTTGGCTATTAACCATGTGGTGGAGATTATGCTGAAGTGGTTGGAGACGGGGGATTGGGGAGAGGCGTTTCTGAGTGTTATTCCAAAGAGAAAGGAGGCTAGGTTGAAGAGAAAAGGTGGAGAGAGGGATGAGGATGTGATGAAGCGGGATGAAAGCGAGAGTGGGAGTGCTGGGGAAGATGGTGGGGTGAAGCTTGAAGAGGAAGAGGATTTGAGAGCCGAGTAAGTTTAACAGACAGTGCCTTTGTAGGGTATTTTCCAGCTGCTCTGGAGATGTAGATATATCTCTGCAACCCCGCAATACTATACAATTCTAACCAATACCTAATTCCCCTGGATATCATAAGCCAGTCACGCATGACATATCCCACCTAAAAACGCCTTCACAAATCCATGATCCCACACCAATGCAATTCAAACCCTCAATCTCACCCTCACTTTCCCTCCATCCCATCCACATACCCCTCCGCTTTCCCCGCCCTCTCACACCGGGCCACCACCCCTGGCATCTCCCCCAAAACCCTCTGCAACCCCTCAACACCTTCTTTCCACCCCGCCTCCACACCCCCCTGCCTATCTAACGCCCTCACACCCAACACATCCCCCCTTACCACCCCGCCTCTGACCCTCTCCTCCACGCCCCTAACCGCCTCCTCATCCGCCTCAACACCTTCCCTATACCCCTTCTTCGTGGCCTCCAAAACCTTCCCTGGCACCTTCCGTCGCAGCGCGGCGATTTCCTCAATCAAGTCTTCTTCCTGCCGCGCGAGGTCTTTGGCGCGCGAGAAGAGTTTCGCGTTGAAGGGCTCGTATTCTTCTTCTACGCCTTGCGTGTTGATGTCGGTTTTTTGAAGGATTTCTGGGTCGGGGGTGAGGCCGTTGAGTGTTATGGAAGGGAATGTGGCCGTGTAGACGTTGTTGATGTACTATGCAAACCTCATCAGTCTCGTCTCGATTTCGCAAGAAGCATGCGGGATTGGGATTTGGGGAAGAAAAGAAAAAGGAGAGGGGGGGTTGGGAGGGACATACATTATGCACATCCTTCTCAACAGCTTTTCTCATCGCATCCTCGACATCTCCCTCCATAGGCGGTAACGCCTGGTCTATTTTCTCATTCGCAGCGCGTCGGGCTATCGCGATCAAATGTTGTAGGTCCTCGGGGGATTGGAGTTCGATCTTGCGCGGTTCCGCCATATTTATGATTCTCTACACCCTTGAAGATATCAGATTTTGTCGAGAGAGAAGAATCAATTATGGTGTTGTGGCTGATTTTGACTTGGGTATGAAATTCGTCAATGTTTACTTTACGGTTGTATGATATGAAGAAGTCGGAGCAAAAGCTTAATTTTTCGCCGACGCCACGCTACAGTACGCTACTTGTACGCGTGGGATAAGGATGAAATGCGGGGAGATAGGAGGTGAATTCCATCAATTCTCTTCCTTTCATCTTCACTTATAAAATTCGAAATTACATTTCTTCTATTTCCCACCCACAACTTAATTGCGCAAGTCGATTTACAAAAAAGTGGCTTGTGTTGCTAACTTAAAGTAACACACAAGCTTCATGCAAAGGCACATAAAAGGGGACCCTTCACTCTACTATATGCGAGGCGCTGCTGCATGCTGCATGCACCGTGAGTTTTGCAAGCCACCTTGTGGGAAAGGGCTGGCCTATGTGCTGTAACTTGAAAACTCGAGATTTTTTGTTGCACTGCTTTCTTTGGCCGAGTACAGTAACAAAATAAGCAAGCTTTTCGGACGAGCTGAAACTTGCTAGAATGGAGTGACTAACGGACGGAAGATATGGGTTCTTCTGGCATGTGAATGGAAGGGAAGTAGGTTAGGTAGGTAGGCATCATATTGAAGATGTATACGAAGTACATAAATGCATATCAAAATACTCGACGTAGTAATCGGCAATGTTTCCCGGTATGCTATCAACTACCGTATGGTGAGCTATTGATGCAGTAGGCTCATCCGGCATGGATCTCGCTGCAAACAGGAGATCGGCTCAAAACCTTTGAAGCTCATTGAGCAGCTTGAGCTGAAAGTGGAACGATGAATAGTCACAGTGCAGATACAATATCGTAACTAGTTTTACAAACTTACTCGAGTAGGGACACCTAAGAATGGTGATGGGGCTGTTCCAGACTACCCGCAAGATAGTTCCCCAGGTGTGACTCGGTCTCGATATCCCGAAGACTCAATCACAGACACATCGCAACCTCATAGCCAAGCCCCAACTCAGTGTCTGTAAAAAAAAACGAAAGTCTTAGATTATAGAGCCTGAACCATAGAGTAGAGATTGACGCCTAAACCAAACCTCCTCAAACATAATAACCTTATCGCCGTGTTGTGCTGTGCAAATGCTGAACTCCATCTTTACCCACCCCATATTATCAAATTGAGCAGAACGCTCCCCCTTGAAACCGGGCTTTCCAATTCAACAAAACATAGTACTCCTTCGTCCGAATTCATGGGAATCATATATGTTCAGGTCCTAGCGCTAGATGAGATGTGCAGAACCTCCAAGTCCTGAGCGTGAGCAAGGAACTGGCGGATAACCCCTGTAGTACTCCGATAAGATAGCAAGTTTATTGAGGGAGCATCTCTTTGATCTCCTCGTCACTGAGGACGATCTCATGGACGGGGTCACGCTTTCGCTCGAGGGATTCGAAGTCGCATTCGACATAGGAGGGGAGGAAGATTTCTAGCATAGCGTTAATTTGCTTTCTCCAAGAAATCCATTACTGGATTAAACATACCTGGGTTCCAATCAAAACCTTGAGATGAACGAACGCAAGTAATCTGCGGGGTTGTGTTAGCAGTGCTGGATTTAGGTGGCAGATTTAAGGTCTAAATGTATAACTCACCAGACGCGGAACCCCATCGGGATCACCAATGTTGATGACAGTGTGCTCTTGCTTCGAAAGTGACGAGCCTGTAAAGGAATTAGTGATCTATATCTTGGACATCTTTTTTGTAGGTCTGCCTAGACTCCTGCCGGGAGCACCAGCTTAGGCATCGTGAATGTCCTCACTCGAGCTAAGACTTTATGAGATGAAAAGGGCAACTCACTGAGCAAGCTAGGTCTCCGATTATGACCATAGGATGAACTGGGAGAAGTAGAAGAGGAGGCAGTTTGGTTTTGTGGTGTTTGAGGAGAACTGGAATAAGAGGATGTCGAGCTGGAGCTTGGTGCAGCCTTACTGCTCTCACCGTACGAGGATCTGCTCGGGATATTGATAGAGGAGGACATGGCGAATGGTATTGGGCGAAAGGGCAGCAATGGTTTGAGTAAGCAAGAAATTACCGTAATGCAAAATGAAGTGCCCGTGGTTGTGTGTTGTTGTCGTTGTCGAGGTTTAATTGTCGAAAGAAAATAGGGAAGCCTGAACAAGTGAGCAAGTGAGTGATGTGACTCTATAGGTACTAAGCCAAGACTCCTAGAGCTCCGCTGGCACGGAAGTGAAGTGAGTTGCAGTAGTGGCAGTGGAGTGGAGTGGGAAGTGGGGTCGGGTCCATTCTGCCGTTCTACACCGTGCCGTTTGCAGCCGATATTTGGGAGCCTGGGCGCCTTAAGATTTTAGCGTGTGTGCCTGAATCTAACCTGAACCTGAAGCTGTTCGTAACCAGAGCTTGCCTGTTAACGCGCCTCATCAACTCCAGTAAATTCATCCTCCTCCGAATTCCAGCCCTCCAGCCCTCAACAAACGACTCTCCATCCACGTCAACTCTCCATCTACGAGCAACCGAAGTCACGAATTCATCAATATGGGGGATGTAATGGTAGAAAACCCTGCGAACCAGGTGTTGCCGCATCGAAAGCAGTTGCCATCCTCAATACCAAACATCGATTCGCTGGAGGGTCTAGGAACCGATGGAACCGATGAATATTCAACGCTCAAGAAACTTGAGCGCCATATGGAGTAGGTCACAATGAAGTTGAATTTGATGGACCATGCTAAACATTGGTAGATATATCAAGCTTCAAGAAGAGTACATCAAGGATGAGCAACGGTACGGCTGAACAGATATCTGCTATGGAACAACCGCTAATATGACTCAGGAGTCTGAAGAGAGAGTTAGTGAGAGCACAGGAAGAGATCAAGCGCATTCAAAGTGTGCCGCTGGTCATCGGGCAGTTTATGGAGGCGATCGATCAAAAGTAAGCATGGCGGGTAATTTTCTGGAAGCATCACTAACACATCACAGCACCGGCATCGTACAGTCATCAACTGGTTCCAACTATGTCGTCCGCATACTCTCTACCCTTGACCGCGAGCTACTCAAGCCATCCTCTTCCGTTGCCCTCCACCGCCACTCGAACTCCCTGGTCGATATTCTTCCTCCTGAGGCTGATTCATCCATTGCCATGTTGGGTGCAGATGAGAAGCCAGATGTGACATACGCAGATGTCGGCGGGTTAGATATGCAGAAGCAGGAGATCCGAGAAGCCGTCGAACTTCCCTTGACACACTTCGATCTCTACAAGCAAATTGGTATCGACCCACCCCGAGGTGTTCTTCTGTACGGTCCTCCAGGAACAGGAAAGACCATGTTAGTCAAGGCTGTAGCGAACTCAACAACCGCCAGTTTCATCCGAGTCGTCGGTTCCGAGTTCGTACAGAAGTATCTTGGAGAGGGACCCCGTATGGTCCGTGATGTCTTTCGAATGGCTCGCGAGAATTCCCCGTCCATCATCTTCATCGATGAAATCGACGCTATTGCTACCAAGAGATTCGACGCCCAGACTGGTGCTGACAGAGAAGTACAACGTATCCTCCTGGAACTGCTCAATCAAATGGATGGTTTCGATCAGACTTCAAATGTCAAGGTTATCATGGCGACAAACAGAGCTGATACTCTCGATCCTGCCCTTCTCCGTCCCGGTCGTCTTGACAGGAAGATCGAGTTTCCCAATCTCCGAGATCGAAGAGAGAGACGGTTGATTTTCACCACTATTGCATCAAAGATGTCCTTATCTCCAGAAGTGGATCTTGACAGCTTGATTGTCCGAAATGATCCTTTGAGTGGCGCTATTATTGCGGCTATCATGCAGGAGGCAGGTTTGAGAGCGGTTAGGAAGAACAGATACAACATCATCCAGGTCGACCTTGAAGATGCATATTCCAGCCAAGTAAAGGGGGCCCAAGAGAAAGACAAATTCGATTTTTACCGGTAGTGGTTTATCCACTAGGTTGGTGGATGATAGATGTTGGAGGCAAGGAGAGTGATTGATGAAGCAGGCAACAAGCGCGGTGGGGCAATGCCTTCTTTTGCATCTGGAACCTATGAGAATCAAGAGCACTAGGCAGACGTCTTCACTTGTAATAACAATATCCAAATTCGCAGTTGTAAATGCATATTTCCCCAGCTTCATCTCCCCTATAACGCGTGCTCCCTTTTTCTGCAGCATGCTCCCGAACCACATGATCCCCCCACAGCATGGATAGCTGTCTTCATATGAATAAATGAACCTGGTATTCATCTCCCGCTATCCGGGACCTCATGTGAGTTTTAATCTTGGGCAAGGATTGCAACTTGAATGCTAAATCATGCAGGCAATGGAATGAGATCTGGGGCTTATGCTATACTGCCCCCCACAGTAATCTTCGTGAGTTTTGAGTAAAGCAAGCATCAGGCTTCCGACATTAAACTGCTTGGATATGGCCTTACTTGCTTATAAAAAGGGAGATGGATCATCTGCGCACAGTACGCCGAACACATATAGTCCCGCCTACAACGCAGTACTGTAAAGGCAACCGGCCGACTGGCTATGCTTTGACTTGACAGTTCCGTCTTTCGAGCTGGGGACTGGGGAATTGGGAATAGGAGATGTTGGGTACAAGAGACTAGAATCTAGATATGTCGGTTGCATTTGATGACTGACTGCAAAGCGCAGTTTGTGGGGGGAGGGGGTTATTGGGGGAAGTTGAGTGAGTGGAGGGAGGATGAATCGATCAATCAATTAATCATTTGGGGAAGATAGATAGATGTACGGTACGTACGGGTGGGTTGGTTGGTTGGTTGATGGGTTGAGTTATTTGAATAGAAAGAGCTAGCTATTTAGCTACCTACCTAGCTAGTTGTATTGTTGTGTTTGAAAACTCGTGTGTCTTGCTTGTATGGAAGAAATATTTCCATGTCAAAGATGGTGGATGGATGGATGGGGGCTCTAGGTGTTTAGTCTACCTAAACTGACTGCTCTCTCCTTCCTCATACCAACAAGTTGACTAGAAAAAGTCTGATTAAGGATTCATAGTACACATAAAATACATCTCTATCTAGATATAGCTGGCTAACTCCCTAGGTCTCGCAGCATGGTATCTAGCTAATAATACATTCATCAAGATCTCATCAAAATGTCATCCTCTCTTCATCCTCTCCCATTCGCTAAACGCTATCAAATCAATCAAGCAGATCTCTTTCCCCCCTCCAAAAAAGGGGGAAAACGCCAACGCACGATGCATCCAAAACCATCATCACATCATCTATCCGCGTATTCGTCACAGTAGTCTTACACATCCAGCGCACGCGCGCACTCAGTCATTCCAAAAAACAAGAGGGGAAAGAAAATGTGATCGTGTCGAGTTGGTCGCTATGCTGTGTATTAAACACCAAGCACAACGCTCAACTCGATCAACAACCAAACAAATCTCTTATGCAGTTCGAAAAAGAAATCCGGCTGTCCCACCAGGTCCGCTAGGCCCCTAGCCCTTATACTCATTCCCGCAAACTTCCCATCGGGTCCCCTATTCCTGCCGCTCAGGAATGAACTCGTGGGTGTATTGTAATTACTGCCACCCTCGCTCATCCCCGCCCCCCTCGGACTCTCGCAGCGGTCTAGTTCCGCTTCAGCAAGGCCTTGGATCCAAGCTGCGAGATTCTTGAAGGCAATGGTTAGGGCATCAAAGGTTTTCATGGCGAGACGCTGGCGGTGGGTTGACAGTGCCATGAGTGCATAGACGCGTCGCCGGCCGCGGGCATTGGGGTCTGGGATGCGGAAGATGTACGCGGTTGTGTAGCCTGCCAGGGGGTCACCGAAGAAGATGGGGCCACCGGAAGAGGTGCCTGTGCTTGTGTTGGAGCTGGAGGAGAAAGGATTTGCCAGAGGAGAAGTGGGGGAGTTGACTGTGTTTTGTATTGATGAGGGAGGGAGTGTTTCGCAGGAGAGGGTTCGTAGGCAGGATTGCCTGATTATGGAAAAGGATGTTGGGGCAAGTGGTTCGTGGGTGGAGACGTAGTCTATCGAGTGGTCGTGTGAGGATAATGAGTTGAAGGAGGAGTTACTGGAGGACGTTGTAGCGCGTATCAAGGGGCGTGTATGGTGGTGTGATTTCATAGCTGGCTCGGAGTCTGAGGAGGAAGATGCGGATGATTTGGGAGGCGATCGTTCGCCTGCGGGAGCAGATGAAGATACTCTCTCGTAAGGTAATGTTGTTCGAAGGATAGGACCACCGTTGTGGTCAATCTTGCCAGCTGCAGACAAGTCTTCTTTGGTCTTCTTAGGTAGCGTGAGAGCGCAGTTCTCACAAGGAATGGCCCTCTTTTTATCATTCTCGTCGTAGGTCTTTCGAAAGCTCGAGTCCCGTCTAATATGTGAGTTTGAGCCTCCCTGTAATGCTGCGACTCTTGGGCTCTCTGGTGGGCCTTCGATTGCAGACTGGTCTTTCGAGGTTTGGGTTTGAACTGTAGGTCTTTGCGCTCTATTTTCCATGTCTGAGGTTGGATTTGCCCTGCTCACACCCCGCGCCATCCCGGCTAATCCATCTGAGGGGTTCAGAGATCGCGAACTCGTGCTGGGTCGCCGAGTATTGGGTTCTTCGTCGTCGAAACATGATGTGCAGCCGACAGGCAACCCCTCGGTCACCATCAAAGGGGTCGGCCCATGGGTGTCGCAATAGTGCGCAAGGCATAACTATAAAGTTATAGAGTCAGTAAGTATTCCTAGGATGTTTTCGAGGCAAAAGATTGTGGCGCCCGCATGGGGTAGGCAAACGCAAGGCGCACCGCGGGGCAGAACGAAGCGCGGGACAAGGGCGGATTATCACTTACAATAGTGGCCATGACTAGGATTATAAAAACCCAGGATTCTGGTTCTGGTGGAGGAAGTTCAGCGCGTGGTGTCTCACGACTACACACACCAAGAGACGTGAGGCCGTAGTGGTGTGCGCAAATGGGAGTCGAGGTCGCAGTGGGTGCCGGTATGGAGAAGGCTAGCCAGGGCAACGGGAAAAAGATTGCCGTCAACAGGTCGGTCTCGACGTCACAGTCACAATCAGTTGGAGGGGAGTAAATGCAAATGTGAGTCAATGTCTCATTGTCTTGGGCAAGCAAAGGTACGATGGGATGGTACGAGGCGAGGGTACAAAGATACAAGGTACAGAGGATAAGGTACTAAGAAATAAAGGCGAGGCAAGTCCAGGATGAAGTGAGGGGACAGAGAGAGAGAGAGAGAATAAATAAAGTCAAGGGTGGGCGAGTCAGTCTAATAAGTAATGTAAGCAGTAGAGAATGTTAAGGGAATTACTTATTATTACTCGACTCGTACAACTCGACTCAGTGTGTAGGGAAGGGCAGGGCACTGCATTTACTCGTAGTCTCGTAGTGTAGTAGTGTACACTCTCTACTCTTCACCGCTTCATTCTTCCCTTCCTCCTTCCCTTCCCTTTCCCATGGAACTGTCTTCCCGGCTACTACGCACGTGTAAACCGCTGGGGGATCCCCGTCGCCACCCCTTTTGGATGTTCAAGGCCACATGGCCACAAGTACGAGGGGTGGGATCATCAACTTCGGCCCGTCCCTCGGATTACTACCACTCGGACATCTAACATCTACTTCTAACATCTGACATCTGACTGTATGTAACATGGAGAGGAGTCAGCACTCTATGTGGTCAAGAGGAGTGAGTGAGTGAGTGAGTGAGAGTGCCACGTCTAGATGAAGAAGTATGAGTAACAAGATCGTGGCTGCTGCCTCTTCAAGCATGGCATGGCATAGCATAGCATAGCATAGCATAGATGGACTCGAACTCAAACATCAGACGAACCCTGCTTTTACCTGTGCAATCCCCAATCCCGGCTTGCTTATCGCCTTGCATGGAAGTACCTCGTACGAAGTACTTGTGGAAGTAGAAGTACTGGTAGAACCCTGCAGACCCTGCCCTGCCATGCAATGAATGCGACGGGCGTTCATACAGTACCTCCCGTACAGAGGTACCTTTTCTTCCCTCGGCAGCATAATCAAATTGATCCGATTCTCAAATAGTCCTTCCTTCCTTAGCCTTGCTTCCGCAAATGAAGTGCATTCATTCATTATTTGCAGATCATAGGTCTACGCTCCGTACTGTACCATACCGACGGCTGAAAGGCGATCCTTTCATCAGAACCCAGCAAGGACTTTGCAGGAATACAACCTTGTTAGACAATAGCTCGGGTGGTCTCTTCGCAGCAATAATTCTTCACATGGGACAATGTAACCCGAAGTCTTTTAGCACCTACCGAGTTCTGGGGGCCAGAGACGCTTCTTCCATGGACGTGGGTCACGGTGCGGAGAGTCTGCTTCCTTCCCGGAGGTAGAGATGAGATATACGGAGTACTATAATGGGAAAGTCGTACTGTATCGTATTTTCCCTATACCCCTCCCGTACCATTTAAACGGAGGCGAAGTTCTATGAAATCACATATAGGTCCTTGAGATCTGCTTCTCAGATGGTAGATGTTGTTCTCTACGCTTTTCTCCGCATCGTCGTACTTTCGTAATTCAGCTTTACCATTTCATGTGTCGATCACTATACATAATGAAGTGTCAAGATGATACCTATCGTCATTATATCCGAGGCTAGCAAATGTCAGCGGGACAATTACCTCTATATGTCTCGATCAGCTGGATTGACTTTGTACTACGTGCAACCTTTCCCCATTTTCGATCACTTGACATTCTTGCGATAATTGTAATAATCCCAACTCTACCTACTAGACTCGATTTTTAATTAGGGAGTGCAGTTGAATGCAGTCATTTCAAAACCAACTCTCGACAAATCTAGCTTCAAGGAGAATGAATCTAGGTTGCCACTTTCATAGCAATAATACGGAGTAAATGTGTTCGGTTCATTGATTGATATACCTACCAGCAGGACCGACATCCTTCCTTTTATTCTATAGTATCTAGGAATGCTACAACATCTGTCTTATTATATCCTGATCTCATACCTCACAGAGCCTCTTCTTACTTGAACAGCAAAAGCCCATTTGTATAGTATGGTGCCCTCACTCCCCAGACGCAGATTTAGTCTCCACCCGCAATACTCATTTAAACCTCCTCCAACCATTCCCAGTCGTCAGGATCAAGCACTCCTGCTATCCCATCACAACAACCATCTGATCCGTGTACCTTATGTCTAAATCTATATGTATGTACAGTAGGTCGAGCTTATTAAGCATCCATGTATAAACAAACCCCCTCCTATATCCACCAACACACAGCTCTGAAAAACATACAGTAACCCTCCCTGAAAACTGCTTGCTCGAGACTAAACTTAATTAAACATCTCACTCATTTATTCATTCATTCTCAATCGACCTCCCATACAGCATTCTAGCAATTTTATCATCAGTACTCACACTACTGTACCCCACACCTACTGTACATGAGGGATTTTTTATCCTTCGTTTGCCCAACCCCTCCGGCCCCACTCCCCTTCCCTCACCAGTACCCCACATATATGAAAAGAACCCACTCCATACTCCCTCAAACTAGTCCTCCAACCTGAAATCATGTGGCATTAATATATAACAAGGCGTGCTTGGCTTGGGCTGAAATCTAAAGGGGTGGAAGGACGGCTTGTGGGGAAAGTGGTACATACGATTTGGGGATGGTTTGATGAATAACTTCATGGGTGGACCCTTGGAAGAGGCGCTTGATCCCGGTATCCGGGTAAATGGAAGTTGGGAAGTGTCAGTCTCAGAGGTATTGATTCGCAGAGTCGAAACGCACAAGGAAAGAAACGGAAACGGGAAAGAAAAAGAAAAGGAGAGGAGAGGAGCGAAAGCGGAAGCGGAAGCATGTTAAAGGCGCAGTAAGTACCGGTATACTTCTCTAGCAAAGCAGTCACATCACAGCAATGCATATTCCCACCGGGATGAGGAGAAAAAAATATATTTGCCAAGTGATAGCACAACCATCGAGCCTAACCTCAATACGAGCCATGTCCCCATCCAGCGCTCCCCAAATAAAATTCTTTTTATGCCTTTTCTGTCATTTTACCATCCCCCTTCATCCCCCCTAGATAGATGTCAAGGCTCTTCGCATCAAAAGCGTACGGAGAGTGACCATCATTGTCGGTATAACGCCATTTTCAAAACCCAAGATATCATCCCCATCAACACCAAAGTCCAGCTCTCCAGTATGAAGAGTAACCATCATTGTCATCAAGGTCTAGCTCTTCAACGTATGAAGAGTAACCGTTCTTGCCATTGCCAACCACCGCATCATCACGACGCCCAACCCAAAAACCATCCATCACCAGCTCACCCAATGCCAAGCATAAAAGCGCAAGAAACAGAGCTCTCTGCCGACGCCAGCCAATCATGCCCTTCCTGACTCCTGAGACCAACCCGCGCGAGTGAGTAGTCTCAATATCCGAAAAACGCCACATTACGCCCTTCTCCCATCCAGTCATGATATCGGAATGCAATGAATGATGCGAGCTCACTGAACTTTTGAAAGAGTCCACCAACTACCACTGCCCGCTAAACTTCCCCAACCAACCAGAGGCGGGCCGTCCAATAGATATAAAATAACAAGGAAAAGATCGTAGTTATGGTACAAACAAGAAGCGTGTCAGCCGAAATCGTCAGGCCAGATGCAAATATCGAGATCGAGTAGCGAAAAGGGGCGGGAATCTCGTGACTGACAGGTGCTCGCTTCGTGTTTATCGCAAAGTGGGTAATGAAGAAGGAAGAAATATTTACAAAAACGTCGACGAGCCCCCTCTGGTTTTTGGACTATGGCTATTGTGCCGGCAATTGCTGACCCCGGCCGCCTTGTTGTTCATCAAACCCGTTCGCTCGGCCTTGCCCTCCGCGGCCATTTCCTCTGCCACTACCTCGGCGACTGTTCTCGAAACGGCCATTTCCTCTCGAGAAGCCTTGACCTTGGCGTTCGCCTTGTGGTTGTCTCTGGCCTTGGTTTTGATTCGATCCATTGTGGCGGCCGTTGGCGTAGCCACCTCCTCGTTGATTGCCAGACTGTTGTTGCGGCTGAGGTTGTGATTGCGAGCTAGACGGTTGTCGGTTTGTTTGAAAGTTGGAAACCGGTCGAGGAATGCTCTCTGGGCTGTCGTAGACATAGAGATTCTTGTCAATTGTTGCTGGTATAGCTTGGATTTCAGTGCCTAAATCTCGTTCGATGTTGTATAGGTTGAATCGGTCCTCCCAATTGATGAGATTGATAGCAAGACCTAGATGCCCAAAGCGCCCTGATCGACCGATACGATGAAGGTAGGTCTCGGCGTTCTTGGGGAAGTCAAAGTTGATGACAACGTTAACGGCTTGAATATCGATACCTCGCGTGAGGAGATCGGAGCAGACCAGATTGCGGCAGACACCATTGCGGAAATCGTGGAAGACACGGTTGCGGTTAGCCTGAAGCATTCGTGCGTGACTATAGAAACAGGAGTATCCAAGTTCGGTGATCTTCTTAGCAAGAAGTTCGACACGGTTGGTAGAGTTACAGAAGATGATCGATTGGTTGATTTGGAGTTTGGAGAACAGAGTGTTTAGGCAGTGAACCTTTTGCTTCTCTTCCACAAAGGCATAGTATTGTGTAATACCGCGAAGAGTGAGTTCATCCATAAGGTTGATTTCGTAGGGATTGGCCATGTTCTTGTCCGAGAAGTCTTTAACAGTGATGGGGAATGTTGCACTGAAGAGCATGACCTGGCGGTCCTTGGGATGGAATTGGAGGAGTTGTTCAATGACAGGGGTAAATTCGGGGGAGAGGAGTTTGTCAGCTTCATCCATGATAAACATGGGACATTCGCTGAGATCGGCAACATTCTTTCCTGCCAGGTCGAGGATTCTTCCTGGTGTGCCTACAATAATATGAACCGGGTCTGCCAAGCGCACAATGTCATCTCGTAGGGTGGTGCCGCCGGTAGTAACCATAACGTTGATACCCAAGTGCTTCCCGAGGGTTTTGCAGACTTGAGAAGTCTGTAGTGCTAGCTCTCGAGTTGGGACTAAGATGAGGCATTGGACCTTGGAGTTTTTAGGGTTAATTCGTTCGAGAGCGGGGATGACGAAAGCCGCTGTCTTGCCCGTACCGTTCTTCGCCCGAGCAAGTATGTCTCGTCCGGTAAGCGCGACAGGTATCGCCTCCTCTTGAATAGGGGATGGTTTCTCAAATCCAGCTTCGAAGATACCCATCAACAAGTCTCTCTTCAGGTTGAAGTCCTCAAATTCGAGGCCTTTGGTAGCAGTCACATCCTATTGGGCATCTTTAGCACAATAAATACTGCGAAAATGAATATGAGCCCAAGTACCTCGGTTTGGTGTCTGTTGTCCTTTGCAGGAACTTTGAGTGCCTTTTTCCAATCTTCTGGTCCAGCCCCCTCACTATATAGGGTCAGCACTTCTGCATGAGGTCTGGTATGTAAGCAGGTATCCATACGCAAGATGTGTCGAGTCCAGTTGGTTTGCTATTAAGTCTGCCATTCTTGTTCAAGGATCCCGTCTCTATAAAAAAATTTAGAGACGACGCCGGGTGTAGGGAATTTGGGGTGCAAGTGGGTAATATCGTCGTTATGAGTCGTAGTAGAAGGTGAGAAGTCGCATGAAGGGCTCCGCAAAATGGCGGAAGCTCAGTCTCGGAAATCGTTGGAGGGAGGGAGGTGAATGGCACAAGTTGAGGTCGAATAGAGGGGTGATCTGAATCTTTTGGCCTTGTAATGTAGTTTTGGCCTCAGTATCTTCGGGCTTTTTGTTACTGCAATGTTATGCGCAGTGCTTCAATTGACTGTAGAGAATTCGGAGTTCGTATTTGAGAGAGGCTGGAGGGTGTTTGTGGGAGTTGGATCTTTTCTTGCCAGGTGGAGGTTGACTGTCGAAGTTGACGATTCATAGCTCAAAGTTTATTAGCCGACGCCAAGACCAGGCTGCATGGAAGCACGTGACCACAACCCAAGTCTACCTACCTTCCTAGGTAGGTAGTACTTTGAAGTTTCAAAATTGGTGAGATGATGCATGGATCGAGTTTTCGTATGTGACTTTAGGCTGTAGTACTCTTGAAAGTATGATCAATTGTGCATAGATCACATCAAAGAAGATTTTGACAATACCTTAGAGTTCTTTCACCAACTTTATAATACTATGCGGTAGCTAAGCTTATATTCCACTGTCTGAGACAGTTCATTTCATCCATTCCAACAGTAATAGTAGCAACATTGATACTCCCAGAACGCCTGTACCCCATCCATCATAATCCATTAAAACTCCATAGCATCAGCAGTGTTCTCTTCCCGCTCCCTCTTGACTTTAACATCTTTCTCATCCTTCATCAGAGCCACGACAAAAGACCTCAAGTACTCCACGTAAGGCTTCAAGCTCGTCTTCTCCCAGTCCTGAACAGCCTTTCCCTCTTTCTCTCCCTCCGGAGTCCATTCATCAATCTCACCCAGAAGTTCCGTTACAGTCGGAACCTCCAGTGGATCAAAGCTTTCAAGATCTTTCGTGTTGATCGGCACACAAACTCTACCGGTTCCAGGATGTACCACAAAAGGACTTTTGAGAAGATGGTTCAGATGCTTGCTGACTTCAATATCGAGTCGAGGGTACGTGTACTCGAGAACGATGTCTTGCTTTGCCTCCAGTAGTGCCTTCGCATCCAAGGTTTTGCTTGCCCCGGACTTTGCTAGAGCATCAATATCTGCCCATTTCGAAGTAGATGCCCGGCCAGGCGCGGAACTCCACTTTTTCCGAAGTGCTTCGTTCAAGGCTTTGTCGGGAAGGAGTTGAAGAAGTCGGTCGAATTTCTCATCTGTTTCCCAGGGATCTTGATCGTGAAGAATGTCAGTTTGAAAATGTGACTTTAGGACCTCGAGACTCCGTCTACATATCTTATTAGCGGTGAAGTTTATTTCGGGTCGAGGGATCATACGCTACATGCGGGTGCAATGGCCTCTTCACGTTGACTCTCTTACCGCTCTGGGCTCCTCCTTTTATTACCTCTAGGTACCCCGCAATTGCCCTTCTCTTCTGATCATCTAGGAATCTAGCCTTCTTATCACAAACCCAGGCGTGAGCACCTCTTCGACCTGAATAGACCCACAGGATATGCTTGAAGCCAAAATCATCTCGTAGAGCAACGTCTATGACCTTTACAGCCATCGTGATAAATTGCCAACATTTGTTGCAAATATTGGCTTTGTCACAACATGTTCGAATGTCGTCGTAATCTGTCAAATCTATATCGAAGCATATCTCTTTGGCAAGAGGTTTGAATGCAGATGACTTTCGAAGTGTTTTTCGATCTCGTGGATTCGTTGTGTAAACTGGGCCAATTTCGAATCGGGATGGCATAAGACGGAGGACATCTTTCCGGAGGCTATCAAATCTATTAGCATAGCTCCTTTTAAAGTATATCCTTACTTACAGATCTGAAGTTGGAAATGATTGGTATCGAAGGTATGCGTCGTTTTGCAACGTGAACGCAAACTCGCGGTGGCCAAAATCTGTCGAAGGAGTGGGAGAATGGTTCAGCCATTGGAAAAGGTGTCGCCAGGGGAATAATCGCTGGTAAAAAGATCGCATCACATCCGAATCTGACGGTTTTGAAGCAGGACCAACATGTCTAGAAACGGTTCAGTACATTTTATTGCTTTAGGCAAAGCCAGAGACTCTTACACTGGAGATGAAGGGGCCTCGGGAGGGCTGGAGGGTTTCACGTTCAGGGCAGCTGAGCTGGGGAACTCCTCGTCCGATTCAACGTCTGCAAAAAGATCCTCAAGTTTCACTTCTGACTTGCTTTCCTCCTTGACTGCAGATTCCAGTACTTTCTCTCCTTGAACTCCGACGTCTTCCATTGCCATGTCTTGATCTGCGACCTCGTCTCCCTGGGTACTACCATTTTCCGGTTCGGTATTTACAACCACTGGAATTTCTGGACTTGCTGTATTTTGAGTTTCGCCATTTTCTGCTTGTGGTTGAGGTTCAACAACCATATCGTCCTGAACCTGGTCAGGCGTTCCAGAATTCGCAGGGGAGACAGAGTGAGGCATTTCAGCTGTGACTTTAACAGTGTTGGTGTTGATCAGAGTTAAGTTATTTTGTATTTGGAGTTGAAGTCGCGTCGGGAACGCGTCTGTGTTACTGTAAAAGTTTCGCGTCTTAATTGAATTGACCCCTCCCCTGTCCTGTTACGATTAGGCGATAGAGTAAGATAAGAATAGGCGGGGCGGCCGTTCAAAAAAGGAGCGTGCTTTAAGCGAAAACAAACATATATTCATACCGACAACTTCTAAATTAATTCCTTCCTTCCTCCTTGTTGGATCCAGATACAAGCTTACTACGTATTACTACTATTAAGCTTCTTGTGTCCATTTAGATATCGTGTACAAGCCTTCGCACGTGATCCGTGGCCTGTTTTAGACTGGATACTATCAGTTAGGAGGATCACCTATCATGAATCTCGCTATTTTGAACCCCTTTGTGGAGTTTCTGCGGATTGTATCTTTGGATTAATATCTGTGGATTGTGGATTGTTGACCATAGCCAGAGCTAACAGAAATAACACCTAATAGGCTTCGAAGACGGAGGGCCCAAGGAACGTGTTGCTCAGTTTATTGCCATCGCCGTAAATGAGGTCGATTTAATATGGGTATCGAAGGAATTGGGACGCCTGGAGGGGATGGGATCGATTTTGGACAGAGATCTTGCTTGCTGGAGAAGGAGCGAATTGAGTATCATGTGATTTCCCCCCCCCCCCCCCCCCCCCAACTCTATCATTCCCTTGTACTACGAATACGCAGAAACGGATACAATTAATTTTACAGTAGTATCATATATATATACCTTAGACTGAGTCTACATTTATTATTTCGCTTTACGGTGCCCTGTTGCGGCTATTTCAAAGCTACATAGAAAGCCGTATATAAAGCTATGTAGAAAGCTATCAATCAATTTCATATACCGAAAGAAATCACCACCAACCTAAGGAAGACTACAATCATGAGTTATTATAAGAAAGTAACTGAGGCTTGTTAGTTAGATGCTTTCCGCTTTGGCAAGCGAGAATAGCATATTTGAAATATCGCAACGCGAATGTTTCTTCCTTTTCAGCCCAATTACAGCGTAACGGACCAAACCGTGACAATTCTCACTGTGATCCTCCTGTTCCAAGACAGTAACGGATTGAAGACCCCTCCGATGGAATGGTTGTTGACAATTTCCTCTCGTTAAAATCAACCGAGAAAAAGGGGCTTCTAATAGGTAAACCCCCTTCAAGTGATGGTGACGTTTCCATGGTCCGCGATACTGTCCTTCTAGATGATCTAGCACATATCTCCGATTCTGACTTACTTGGGCCTATTCGATCTGAACTTTTACCCTATTTATTCGAGCTACGATCAAATCTAGATGCAGAAGATAATCAATGGATCCACGGCGATGTTATGCGCGCCACAATCCTACAGCTATTACACGAGACTGAGCTTACTGGCAAGCCATGGAGTCATGCTGAAACTGCAGTATTTGGTCCGGACTTTGAGCGAAGCTGGCATGCAAGTCTTGAAGCTATTCGCGGAGACCTTCCTCGACCAGGAGCTCTAAACGCTAAAAAGAGGGTGCTTATTATCATATCCACAGCTGGACATACTAAAAAGCGGGATATCAAAAAGACCATTTTAAATGGAAGCGCAAACCATTGGGCCCGCTTGGAGTTAGACCTCAAGGCCAAATGTGCTACTGTGTACAACGGTGACAGAGCTTATAATCAGGGTGCTCTGGCTCAAGCAGAAGTGTTGGGATAATAACACCACAATGTCCCACCCCTCCCATAGATGCCTGAAGGAATATTGATCCTAACTTCCATGATCTCCATAGTGAGCGATTCACACAACGGCGTAGAGTCATTTCTTCACATCTGCTGTGATCCTCAATATGAGAAGTATTCGCCAGAAGAACTTCGTATGGGAGATTACGAATTGGCCAGAAATTCTGCAAGACCTCCTTTGCCTCCCCCATCGATATTATCACTATTTGGAGTAGGGAGACAGACGCCAACGCCCCAACCGCTACATATAGAAGCTCCTGGATCATTCGTTTTTGGACACTCAGAATTTCCGTTACATTATCTTAGGAGTCATAAATATAATACAGTACATCCGAATCTTCAACACCTGCAACTACACCACTCAATCGCCATCGCCCATCTTCCCCAAATCCCTCCTAACCCTCCAAACCCTTGCCCCAACACCCCGCCCCTGACTCCCCTCCAACCTCTCAACCCAAGGCGCCTCGCCCATCCCCCCACCCATCGGCACATCCTCCCCCCGTTTCCGCATCTCCTTCCCCAGCACCAAAGACTCGGTATACGCCCATCCAGGCGTATCAAGCTTCCCACTCACCAGCACTATCTTCTTGCCGCTCTCATTAAGCTCCTCAATCAGAGCTGCAGGAATCGGCGTGAGGATTTGCAGTCGACGACGAGGGATATCGATACCGCGTACGAGCGCGAGGCCGATTGTGTGGGAGTGTGTCGGGTCGAGCGTAATGTTGTTTAGAGGGTTGAAGTAAGGTAGGTCTTCGGTTGGGGTGCGGATTAGAAGGGGTGTTTGAAGCGGCTGGGCAGTGGTGTCGAAGGGGTCGAGATTTGGGTCTGTAGTGAGGGAGATGAACTCTTGGTCTATTGCCCGGAGTTTGTTTTCGTCCTGGCTGTGCCAGCCGGGGATCGCAGCGTCGTGGTCGATGGCTATGATTGAGACTAGGGAGCCGTTTATAGTGTCCGCGAGAAACTCAGCTGGTGGCTGTTCGCCGTAGCATATTATACCGAGAATCCCGGGATTTTCCCCCGAGTAACGTATTTCCCAGGGCGGGATTGAGGTTAGTGGTTTAGTATCAAACTTTTCGCCGTTTGATAATGGGTCTAGGTGGAAGTAGGACATTGATTGCATGGTCCTTAGATGTGCTGCTGTTCTGGTAGTATACTCGCTGGCTTGTGATGGTAATGTGAAGAGCGGTTTTTCTTTGGCTGCTTCTTTGAGATTTGCAATGACTTCTGGAGGTCCGGCTTGAGACATGTATATGATGTCTGTTGGGCGGATTTTAGTGATTAGGCCAACTAGGATTTCTAGTCCTGTTCCCAAGACCCAACCGGGTGTATTAATGACGAGGGGACAATTGGGAAAGTTTGATAGTAGATTGCGGTAGTGGGCGAGGAGGTCAGAGGCACATGCTATGTAGAAAGCTGGATCCATTGAAGGCGTTACGGCGCCAATTGCATGAGAACGAATTGTTCGACTTTTGCCATGTGGTATTGGGTGTGTGTATGGTGGACCGAAATTCGGTTCCCGGAGGTGGACTAGTGATAGATGTCCAGGTGTTGAGTATTCAGGTTGTCCGGGATCCAGATCTAGCAAAGCTATGCCGTTCGGGTTGGACAGAAGTCTATTTGTTAATAGTCTTCCAAATGTGGACTTGCCAGACGACTTAGGTCCACAAACGAAGATAGCAGAGACCTGAGTACCTGGTTCCGTCAATTTTGACAGAGCGGCATTCCATTCTGGGGGAGAAATTAGGGGATATAAGTATGCCTTCGGAGGCCCGTCCTGCGAGGAGAATAACTGGTCGAAGTTGAGCATATGTTCATTTAGGCTGGGAGTGGATCGTACTATTTGATATGTACTAGCATATTTATTTCCTAGTATCGACTCAAACTCTGGGCCTAAAGGCTCTGAGTCATCATTCCAAAGCTTGCCAAATAACGGTGATAGAGATTTCAAATGCCCCAGACCACTTTCACACTGATGAAGGCAAACTTCTGCAGCATCAAGTTCAGTGGCCATACACCGAATGACTGGCAAAGCATGTGAAGATGGAGCGTAGACCCTGTGTAGTGCTTTTGAGGCTTGCAGAGTGGCACCCAGGAGAGTGATTTGCCCTTTTCGGACGGTGATAGCACATTGACCAACAAAGACCAAACGCTTCGACGTGTCAGTAAATCGCAAACAAAAGTCTTGACAAGTAGCTTACTTCACCGGGGCCCAAACTAAGCACTATGGTATTACCTTTTGATTCCTTCACGTTGTTCTTATTCGGCTTGAACGAAGACAAGGGTATTAAAGGCCTCTCGAGAACAACTTCAGGGGATCCGACACGTGACCCAGTGCTTTATTGAAGTCAGAAATGGAAAGAAGATGTCATTTGGCTTCAGAAAAGACATACGAAGATAATGCATTCTGCCCATCCTCTTCTTCAACATCAATGATTGGTGTACTGCTCCCAGTCTCATCGTTCCTGTCTTTCTGGGTCGTCTCGTGTACCGACACCTCTTGAGGGACAGGAGCGGTTTTTTTCAAGACGGAAAAGGCTGAACTGTCAGTATCATCATAGACGTTTGACTCGAAGTCGTTATTCTGAGTCGGAGGAGCTGAGGCTTTGGATTGCAGAGCTCGTCTCGCAGCAACAGCACTCAGTTCTAGATATAGTTAGCATGTGGTCTTGATTTAGGTAATTGCTTCTTACGTGGAGTTTGTCGCGGAGTTTCATTGCCAAGTTTTCGTTTCTTCTTATATGAAGACATAAGGTAACTGTTTATAGTGACGTGAGTTGACTTGCCAATTCTGTCTGTATAAAATCCGAAGGGCAAGGCTGGCTGGGGTAAAAAGTTAAGCCGGATATTTACCGATCGATTTTCCGATGCAACTTGAAAAAAAGTTATAGGTTCAACGCGCGCCTTTGAAATTTCCACAACTCGTAACACCTTTTCTTTTCGCCTCGCAGCCATAGGAACTCGCTTTCTGGGAAAGATGCCTTCTTTAAATGCCCTGAACAAGGTGGCCAAGAACAAAAAGGCTGCGGTGCCAAAGAAGCCGGAGAAAATTCCCACGACCACAAATGCTGCTCTAAGCTCCGAATTCGTCGAAGAAAGTGACGAGGAATCTGACGGCAAGGAGTCTGATAGCGAAGATGATTCGCTACCAGAGAACCCTATAGATGCTTTGCCCAAGTCCAATGGCAAATTGCCCGCCCCGGACGGAAGTGAAAGCTCCAGTGAGAATGAGAGTGAGAGCGAAAAAGGAAGCCAAGAGGAAAGCGGGGACGACGAAGAGGCAGAGCCTTCCAAGAAAGATATACAGCCAGTAAAAGCTGTCAGGTAAGTTAGATGCTACTATCACACGCTACGGCAGCTCATTGAACTATAGAAAACCTTCCAAAGAGCCAGCCTCAAAGACTGCTACGATCCAACCACCCCCACCATACAAGGCTCCGGCTGGCTTCGAATCCTCCTCTATAAATGGCACATCGCAAACAGCTACAACGTTCAAGAAGTCTAGTTTGGAGGGAAAGCAGATATGGTATTTCACTGCTCCAGCATCTGTACCTATCTCGTCCATCAAGAAAATGTCACTATCGGCTGTGGAAGATGGCGAGAAGGTCTGTTCTCACAACAACCATGATTACGGGTTCGTAAAAGATACAGCGGAGGATAAGACATATACGAAGATTATGGTTCCAAATAGCTCTGATGATGGGTATCAGACTGGTAAGCATTCATAGGCGCACTACTTATCCTTGCACATGCCGCTGACTTTGTGATAGTTCGGAAGCCAATTGACCAGATTCTTCACCTTCAGCAGATTATCAAAATACCAGGGATGGACGACTCCACCGCCACATCAGCAAAAGCAACAGTCCCAGCTAAGAAGCGCGTACGTCCTCAACCCATAGGCCTGAAGATGCGTTTCCTCCCAATTGGATTCGGCACCGGAAACCCTGGCACGATCGGCTCAGATACAAACTCGGTAGACGGGAGCAGCTCGGATTCTGACAACGAAGAAGAAGCTCCTAACGGATTTAGAAAGCCGGCATCTATAGCCTCTTCGTCTGATGAGGAGTCGGACGAAGAAATGACCGAAGCACCGCCCCTTCCCAAACCCAAAGTCTCAAAAGCACCAGCCAGCTCCGCTCCACTCAAGAGGAAGCACAGCGAAGGAGGAGAGAAGAAGACAAAGCACAGTTCGTCGAAACCAGCACCAGATATTGACGATAGACAGCTAAAACGACAGAAGACAAAGCAGAACGGCTCGCAGGAAGACAGAGTATCAGCGTCAACTAAGACCGTAACGCCAATCCCACCCCCCGCACCACCACTCAAGACATCCGACGCGCCAAAATCGATCCTTAAGAAGCTAGTACATGAACCCGCTTCTTCGCCTCTGAAACCCTCAAAGTCCACGCATTCAAACCTACCTCCTTCCGCCTCAGCACACCCTATCTCGAATGGAAGTGAGGTTAAAGTCAAGAAATCCAAGCACAAGCATAGAGACAGCAAGCTTCCTACGACGCCCGGGCAAGCGCTGTCTATCAAAGAGCTAACGAAGGCGACGGATCCAAGTTTGACAAGTGAGGAGCGGAGGAAGAAGATGAAGAAGTTGAAGAGGGAGGGATCTAGTCCAGAGAGTCAGGAGAAGCTGAAACGTCTAGTTTGAGATGCGCATATTGTTGGAATTCTTTGATTGCTAGGAGTAAATTTTGTGAATATTATGAAGTACGAAAATGATACCCTTATGCTTAAATACTCTGTCTTGCATAAGCCTATATATTTCACATGATTTGGCATATGAGGCAAACTAAGATTCTACTTATCAATGGGCATAAAGAGCGCGGCCCAGGCAAGATGCTCTTGCATTTCTCAAGTTACTTCGGTAGTATCCTCTTTCTAATGCGAACCTCGACGCTAATAAGCCGTTGAATGCCCATTGAACTCCATGATATCTCTCATAAGACTGCGTTGAAGTAGCCCAAAAATGACTACGGTTGAAGTAGCCAACACGATAAATGCGCCGTTAAATCCACGCTTTTTCCCACACTCCGCCCTTCCCGTGAAAAACAAATAAGCCCCCCTGATCATCAATGAAAAATTCTCTATTCTCTCCATCCCTCAACAGGGAGAGGGAACGAGCCAGCCCATGAAGCAATGTCCTTCTTCATCTCATTGATCTTCTCAACTTCACCACCAGCAACCTTAGCCTTGAAGTCCTTGAGCTTGTTATCGCTCTTGGGAAGTGCGCCCTGCACTTCCTTGCAGATCTTGATGCACTGATCAATGTAGCTGGCTACGCGCTTGAAGTGCTCTTCGCCGAAACCACGGCTGGTCATAGCCGGGGTGCCGATACGGATACCGCAGGGTGTGAGAGCAGACTTGTCGCCGGGGATAGAGTTCTTGTTGCAAGCGATGTTGACTTGCTCGAGAACGGCCTCGACGCGTGCTCCATCGAGGGCTTGTGGGCGCAGGTCCAGGAGGACCATGTGGGAATCTGTGCCGTCGGCAACCAGCTTGTAGCCTAGCTTTTTAAACTCGACCTCGAGCGCCTTGGCATTCTTGACGACTTGCTCCTGGTATTGCTTGAACTCTGGGGTGGTGGCTTGCTTGAGAGCGACGGCGAGAGCGGTGATGGTGTGGTTGTGGGGTCCACCCTGGTGACCTGGGAAGACGGAGAAGTTGATAGGGCCCTCAAGATCGTAGAGGGTCTCCTTGCCGGACTTAGCATCTGTCTTGCGGACACCCTTGCGGAAGAAGATCATGGCACCACGGGGACCACGGAGGGACTTGTGGGTGGTGGTCGTGACGATATCTGCGTGCTCGAAGGGACTAGGGATAACACCAGCGGCGATGAGACCAGAGATGTGTGCCATGTCAACGACGAGGTAGGCGCCTACAAGGTCTGCGATCTTGCGCATGCGGGCATAGTCGATCAGACGGCAGTATGCGGAGGTTCCGGCCACGAGGACCTTTGGTCTGTACATCAAGGCATTCTGCTCCAATTGCTCGTAGTCGATAATGCCAGTCTCGAGGTTAACTCTGTATGGGAAGGTTTCAAAGTAGGTTGATACGGCAGAAATCCTACAAGTGTGGTCAGCTAAAGTTTTCTAGGTTTTAGGGTGGCGGGTTTTACTTACTTTCGTTGAGCGGTTTGGTAACCGTGGCTCAAATGGCCACCGTGGGGAAGATCGAGGCCCATGAGTCTGTCATGAGGTCTCATGATGGCCTGGTATACCTGCAGATTGGCAGGGCTACCGCTCAAGCACTGGACGTTGACGCCCCATTTCTCGGAGTCAAGATTGAAAGCCTTGAGGGCACGAGCCTGACAGGTCAACTCAATTGAGTCGATGTGTTGGTTTCCACCGTAGTATCTAGCACCTGGGTATCCCTCGGAGTATTTGTTTGACATAGGCGATCCCAGAGCATCGAAGACGGCGCGAGAGGTAACATTTTCGGAGGCGATGAGGATGATGGATTCGCGTTGACGCTGGATTTCGAGTTTCTGCAAGCCAAGTTAGAAAAGTAGTAGGGATGACATGGGGTGCTATTTACCATGATCTCGGCGATCTCAGGATCAGTTTCAAGCAAAGACTTCTCCAGCATCTGTGATGGCGAGTCAGCTGTATCCAAAGTAGGCCTCATATCAACTAGAATCTTACATCCTGGTGGGATTTAGTGAGAGCATAATCATTAGACGCCATGATTGCTGGTATCTCGGGGGTATTCTTGAAAGGTTACGAAGGGTCTCTGGCGAAGGATTGAGAAGTGTATATTTCGGAGTTGTTATGAAGAGGAAGAAGAGCTCGAAATTTCTTTCGGCGTGTCACTTGGTGGCATGAATATTTTTGGTTAGCGTAGGAATAGCCTTCGTTGCCCCTCCATACAGGGATCTTACCCCGATCCGGAGACCGAAACTAATATCTTGCCTTGCACTTCACGTTCTCACTACTCACTCAATCACTCACGATCTCACTCATCCTTTGCTTTTAGTCTTTTACAAATCTCAATAATAAATTTAGATTTAGGTGCGTTGGCTTTATGAAGTATTCCATATAATATCTTCAAAAATAAGATACGTTACCAAGTCCTATATACAGATTGAAAGTGTCCGAAATCGGACTACCGATTCTGAAGCATCATCTTGTTTTTCAATTACCGGTACACCATTTACTATACACGGAATCTTGAAGCTATTCGAAGATACAGTTAATTCCAATATGTTCAAATCTCCGTAAACAACATTGGTCCTGCAAGTTCAGCCAATGCCTCATGGTAGACGCATCGCATACAGGATGCAGGAGACGTAGAGTCTTCTGCATACACGATGCTTCTCCCACACTTCTTTTTGTATGCAATTAACTGCGCCTACTTCTTTTCAAGTCGTCTTCATTTTGTCGATCGCTATGGGCTGTTGTATGTATCTGCGCCATGCTTGTTTGTCTGCCTACTTGAATATACAATCCGAAGGTGGGATGTACCGCTCTGTCGGGAACATAGCTGCTCACTCAGCCTTGTTCATATCTTGCTAGTCACCTGTTGGCCAGTGAAACTGCCTGAAAAACACCAACATGTTGGATGATGCTAGCAACAGGCTTAGACTATTTTTGAAGTCTTGATCGAGATACGAATGAATAGCTGTGTTTCCCTTCTTCTCTTCCACGCCAATATTCGGTTCAAATTGACAGATTCAAATATGCGACTTTCAACACCTCAGCAGATATCTCTGTTCTTTATCGCTCTCGTGTCTAATTGTCCTCACGTCTGCTCAGTATGCTTTTATCCTAGCGGTGATCAAACCCCTGGTGACATTGCGTGTCAAGATGATTCTGCAGATTCTGCTTGCTGTCCACAAGGCTTTGCATGCATTAATAACGGCATGTGTATGCAGACCTCAGTAACTCCCATCGCCCCCGACAGTACTATTTTTGAATGGATGCGTGGTAGTTGCACTGACTCCACATGGAGATCGTCTCAGTGTCCCAGCTTCTGCCAGAGAGGCCCTCCGTATAATGATGTTCTCAACGGGACGCAATCAATGGGCTCTTGCGATGGCGATGCGTTGACGACAAGCGGTTACTACTGTGTTGATTCTGTTCCTTCGAACTGCACGACGAAAGAGAATGTTATGCTACCTGATCGTAAGTCTAATCCATTGAAATGCCGACTGTTTGACTAGCTCGCTGAGGCTGATTCCAAACATCTGCAGAGGATCCTGTTGTTCTAACGACCGCCGGTTGGCAACCTCAAACAACAACCATCACCACTCACCTTACATCCTCCATCACGACAATCTTGTCAGCTACGAAATCATCAATTGCATCTACCATTACAACAAGTTCTCCCTCGAGCCTTTCCCCGGCGGTTCGCCAAACTAGTTCATCCCCGCCCGCAACAATAATAGCATCACACTCGAACTCAAACGCGCATACAATAGGATTGGGCGCAGGCCTTGGGGTACCTTTGGGTCTGTGTTTATTTGCTGGCATCGGATGGATTCTTTTCCGGAGACGTCGAGGTAGTATAAAATGGCGCCAGGTCAACAGAGCGTCAGAACTTCCGGTCGAGGAACCTGTTCACGAAGCGAGTGAAGCTTCTTCTCGACAAAAACATTGGCACCGGCACGAATTATCGGGAGCCTCTTACGCTCCTTCTGAAATGCCAGCTGATCCATGAATGATATCATTTTGCGATGAAAATAAACCTAATAATTCTTACAAATAGTAAATAATATCAAAGCCTAGGGTATTTAGATCTCTGAGAGGCATGCTGCTGTGTGCAATAATAGTTGTCGAGTAAGATGGCGTCCAGCTCTTCGGGACCAAGGCAAGCCCCAGTGTCTCAGGGGTCCAAAAGGAGCCTGAATATCAAATTCATACCGAAAAAAAAGCATCGTAACGCTAAAGACTCTGGCGTCCAGTAATTGCGGATTGGGTCCGAACCTAAGAGGTAGCCGACTTGAGGACCTAAAACTCCATCGCTTGCTTCTTGCTTCTTGCTAATAGGCACTCGATGCCCAGCTCCAAAGTGCACCAGCATCAAGTATAATAAGCCACCGAAGCGGCTTATTCTTGAAGAGAACGAGAGAAGTCGTGCTCTCTACATTCGTTACACAACGGATAATAAAAGCCTTCACGTGTCGTATTGCCTTCTCGCCGGCTGCATATTCCAGCACCAGGATTTCAAGCTCTACCCCCTGGCATGGTGGTTTTCCCTGCCCCCACAGGAATCACCGCACCACTACCTCAGGCAATCCTCCTTTCCCATCCACAGCCGCTTTCGATTCATATTCATAATCCGAATCCCATTTCCCTTTCCTATCCACAGCCGCTTTCGATTCATATTTATATTCCGAATCCCATTTCCCTTTCCCATCCACAGTCGCTTTCGATTCATATTCATATTCCGAATCCCATTTCCCTTTCACCAGTTCCATCGGATAAAGACTTGGCAAGCGCCGCGAAGATGTCGACAGGTAAAGATACAAGCAGAGGCCGCAGCAGATGATGGTGCCTAGGACCCAGGTGGTCATCAACGCGTCAAACAGCTTTCTGGGTAGTTTCTTGAGGCGAGGATCAGGTTGCATTTTTGATGTGAATGTGAATAGAGATGGACAGAGCACGTTGTCTACAGAGGGCTACGTTTATATTTTTGTTCTGTTCGTACTTCGTACAACGGTCACCGCTGACAAGGAAGCTGTGCCGTTTTTACGTGAGGGGCTGTGAGACACATCGCTGTAAACAGGGATGCTGATGTGATGGATCGCCAAAATTGTTGTGGGGTGGAAAGGGACATTCAACATCCTCGCACTTCATTAATATGGGCCTCTTGTTGTCAGACCCAGTATATCGGATTCGGTAAGTGGGATAGGGGTTGGCTTTCCGGTTGTTAGAGTAGACTAACTGTCACTGTGATTCCTGGAAAGGGGAGCGATTCAAGCATATCTTCATCTTCAATCTTGAATATTTATAACAGCTTTGCGGTACAGAAATGCTACCTCGAAATATTATCATGAGAGATATCGGCACGGCCTTGGTGTTATTAGAAAGGTCTGTTGTTTAAGCGGTCAACTAAAAGATCGCTTCATCGCTCCCTTGATGACAAATTTTTCATTTATATATATCATTTTACCCAGCACGTTTTTCTACCTATGTTCCTAGATCCTTTCTACAGACCTGTCATCTGCTCAATGGGTGGTTTTGCTGCGCTGAAGTCAGAGCCGTTTTGTAATTCGAGTTAGGGGGAAGAAGTAGGAGGCAGCCCATGAATGATGAATCTGTTGGTCTGTAACCCTGCTTCGAACCTACAATACATATTTCAGCCGTCCAGAATATTGATCTATTTACAAGTCTTTGTTACATTGCGTTTGGAAGGGATAATTCGTCTGATCCATGCTGAAGAACTGCTCAAGTGAACGAGTGATGCTGCGTTACCTTAGGCGGCTCTTTTAACGATCGGCATATGATGGTAAGCAAGACGGTGGAGAGAGCAGAACTTCATCCCTCTATCAACGAGACAGAAAATAGAAAGCACCAGAAATAGAGACAAAAGTGTGCGGTGAGAAGTGGGTATTGAAATGTAGCAGTATGAGCAAGAGATCAATTAGACCAGACCAGAAAATTGTCAGTACATACAGTTTGAACCTGAAAAACAAATGATAGTAGCCTACGACTTGTTCGTGGGTCAATATCGCATTTGTTTTCTTTCATTCGCGGTCCCCGCCAGAAAACGTCTGACCTGGGCCGCGCCTGCTTCTCTTGACAACAGCTAATTGTCAGGTGGAGACCTGAACTTTTGGCTACAATTATCCCACCTCTTCCTCAGATATCTGCTCTTCAACCTCCAAACTAACCCTATAAACCAATCCACCCTTTCATCAATATCATGGCATCTTACTATGGGTAGCTCTGAATCCAAACAAGCTCGGCGTAAAGCTACCCAACAACGGATATCTGAACGACGCAAAGATATCGAACGCCAACGTGAAGCCTTCATCAAAGCTCGTTATCACCGCTCGGAACACTCATGTCACTATCAGGAAGCTTTGCTACGCCACGAACCTCCCGGCCATCACCCTCCATTCCCACATCACCACGAGTGGGCCGGTTGTTGGAGTCACCACCAACCTCAAGATAACTGTCCACAAAGGACGAGAGAGCGTGCGGAGGAGGCTATACGAGAGGAAATATTGGAAGAAGCAGCGAAAGCCCGACGGGAGAGCCAACAACGGATGTGGATGCAACAGCAAATAGCAATGCGTCAGAGATAAGTTGAGCAGTGCAGTGTACGCAAACTCGCAGATCTAAAATCATTCATATCATCAATACCAGTCTGCCACTATGGGTATTCGGCATTCTAGAGAATCTCAGCCCCGAGCTTCCTCTAGGAACAGAGCTCCTAATAAATACTGCTATCCCCACCGCAACACCCAGGATCACCACACAGGGAATTCTTCTGACTACAACACGGCTCTCCGACACCATGAGTCACCCGTTAGTCGCCCATTCTTTCCACATCACCACAAGTACCCCGAGGGTCGATCCCTCCATCTTCCTATCCACGAGTGTCCTGCAAAGCAGAAGGAGGGGCGGTGGACGAGACAACAGGCTAAGTGGGATCAGAGGAATAAGGAAGCGAGAGAAGACCACCATGGTGCGGGGTATGATAATAGAACGCAAGTGACGAACACCCTGCTAGCCTGCAATGCCACGACTTCCATACTGATGAGGACTCCGAATTGTTGATTAGTGCAAAAGCTGGAGGCTATTCGGCGACAGCGTGTACCAGCCATACCAGCCATCACGCTTTCTGTCCAAGCAAACGTTCAGGTTCGCAAATTTGTGATGATTTGTGTCTTAGGACCCGCGATATGAAAAGGTTTCTCCTTGAACACAGAGCTGGACATGGGGTCGGAGTACGAGAAGTGCCAGAGAGAGAGTTTTGAGAGGGATATTCCATACTACTCCCTAATCCGGGGGTTACATCTTTCAATTTCCGTATTCGTGGGACAAATGAAGGCTGCGTTTGAATGCATCAATGACTCTGGGAAGAAGTTGGATTTAGCTTGGTCATTAAGTCTAGGACTGGCTTGCACGGCTAAATGGCAAGTCCCCTAACTTCAGTATAAATATTTGTACTAACTTGGAAACTTAGATTGGATGAATATGAAATCCTGCGCGGCCAGACTCTGACGAACAGATAAGAGCATAATGCAAGTTGTTTCTTGTCCCGGAATGAGTTGTACCTAAGAATGAAAACCTGCATCCATAATAACAATCAGCTTTACGCATCAGCTCAAGTGAATAAACACCTACCGACACATCTGAAGGACCAGTGCATTGATGTTATGACATGAATCCTCAGAGAAGAGATTTAATACTAGAAGACTTCATTTTATCTGTACAACTCCGTACCCAAAGCGCGCACACAACATCGTACAGCATCACAGATGAAATTGCCGGATTCGCAACATCGTAGACTTCCATGCAAATCGCTTTCTTGGCCCTTGATTCTCGCGTCCGGAATCTTCTTATTCTTACACAACCTGACTCAGCACCAAAGCCACAGAAGGACTTATAAGCAACAGCGGAGGAAGGTAGATCCCCTGCCTCGCATAACTCAGTCCGGCCGTCGTCGTGATGCCCAAGATGAGTCCGAAGATGGTTTTGTCAATGGATGTCTCCAGACCGTATTGGGCCCACTTCCAGCTTAGCAGGCCTGTGGGGATAGATTTGGTTAGTTGATACATAAAGGGAGCAATGAGGATGGATGGATATATGACATATGAAACCAGCTGAATGTGATGTGATATGATATGATTTGATGAGATGGATTGGGATGGGATGGGATGTAACGGGACACGTAACGTACTATTAAGAACCAAATACCCCGAAAGCTGCATCCATACATTCTTCACCATAGCTCTCGTGTCCCGTTTCTTAATCGGTGACACCTCGCCGAAGATATCGTTGATGCCGAATATCGTGTGCCCGATGGCTCCGATGAGGAATATTCCAGACGCCGTTTTGAGGAGGATTTGGGATGCCATTGTCAAGTGAGTGAGTATTGCAAGGGAGGAAATAGGAGCAGGAGCAAGAGCAAGAGCAAGCAAATTAAGGGCGAAATACTGTACAGTATCAAGGATAGAGAGTTTAGGATGAGATCGGATGAGGGCTTGGAAAGATATGAAATTGATTAATCAGACTTGAAATATTAAAGGGATATAGGCAGATAGATATATCTCTTGTCTTGTCATACATTGTACTCATATTTCGGATCATACCGGCTGTATATTCGTAGCCTTGTAGGTAACGGCCGTAAAACAGCAGAGGAGAGGTTACCTACCTACGCTGACCAATGCTTAGCGCCGGACTCCTTTAGCTAAGAAATACCTAATGTAGCTAATGCCAAGAAATATATTCTAAGCGAAAAGTTTATAAGGGGCCGCGGCGGGGCGGATAGGCCCTAGCCCTACTAACGGGCTTGCGCTCGCTCGCATTCGAAGGGAGACATTGATATCTTGATTGATGGAGTGCTGTAGGATAGAGGAGGTATGTGACCACGGATAGGGAGTGGTGAGGTCCTTTTATTCTTTTTATCTTGGGCTTTTCACGCTTACATTTTGATTCAACTAACCATAGGAGAGATCATGTTAAAGCTTTCTCTAGATCGAAATAGAGTAGTATATTTCTGGAATTGAATACTACTCGGAAGTTAGGAAACTATTAACAATCATGTATCATAACCCGTCTCCCCGATGTATTCTTTTCGGGCTCTGGGGGGACTATCACGGCCTCTAGCTATCTATCAATCCGTTTCACCCGCAAATCTGAACGTACATCCCTTAACAACAATGCCATTCATCTGGATCAAACACCTCACAACTTCATACGCGCTCGTCTCATATTTCCTCAACGCATACTCATGCTCCTCTGACATAACCAGGCACGCCGATCCTCCGACACAACTGCTTTCCGGCCCATTGACAAGAGCATTGTATTTTCCCATACCCCAACTCTTCATCATCGCGCCCACCACACCCGCTTCATGCAAGATCGGTACCTCGTCTTCAGAGAGAGAGAGTAGACTGTGGAGTTTCGGGATATCTGTCAGCGTACCATAGAAGAAATACCAGACGGGAAATTGCTTGCACGTTCGACCAAAGGAGGGCGCTTGTTCGAGCAGATGTAGACTCTGGGGCCGGTATTGTGGGAGCGTTGTGTCTTTGCCAAGTGTGGGATAAAGGGAATCCGGACATAATTCCTTGTATGCTCGCCCTTCAGGTACAAACAAGGGTTTGAAAGTAGTTTCCTTCTGTGTGGAAAGCCAATTCTCGATGGCTATCTTAGAACGACCGTCCACCTTGCAGAAAGCAGCATCTCCTCCCTCGTTGCTACCATGGTAAGACTCTGGCACCGTGGAAAGATTCGCGGCGGTTTGGACCTTTTGCGGAGTGGAGATTGGGCCGTCGAGTTTCAGCGCATAGATAGTGCGTGCTTTTGCTGGAGATAAAATTGCTTGGTGGGTTGTAGCAGCTGCAATCTTGACGTTCCTGGTGATTCCGACAAGTTCTGCTGCTTGGTCGTACGTGTAACCAAAGCGCTCTTGGAACATCTTGATCGTGCCTTGGGAAGGGTCATCCTCATCGGGCTCGTCGTATGCGGCACTGACTGCCAGATTCTTAACTTCGTCAAACAAGTCCATATTGAATGTGGAGGTGACGCATCGAGTGATAGAATCAGTTGTGCTTGGGCAGGTTATGGAATCTTTCTTGAAGTGATGATATTTTAATATCGTGGAGGAAGGAGATGTATTTGGGGGAAGTAAGGAATAGTGGCGGGAAAGCGCTTAGCTTTTCTTAAAATTCACTGGTCTGGATTTGAAAATAGACTGATGAGTCAAGAAAAATCCGAACAAAATGCAGAACTTGAGATCCTCCCTTCACGATTCGATTCGAAGTAATCTTGTATGGAATGGACAGTCGAGCAATTAAAATGGTTGAGTACAGGCAGAGTACACCACCAGCACTGGCGAGGAACAGAAAACGGAAAACAGTTCTTAAATAGAGAACTGATAGAGACTTTGCTGTGACTAGGTAAACAACACTCTACCAACCAACTGGCCGAGTGAGCAGGCCATCAAAAGGATATGGATATGGATATGAAATGGACATCTCAAACTCATCCCCAATTCAAAGCCTAAATAACAACGCAATATGCACCATTATTTACTTGACATCCTCCTTTCTTTTCGCATTCCCTCTCACTTGCTTTCTTCCCTCTTTGTGTCACTTGCCACAGGCCAAATTCACGGATAATACCTCCCTATACAGCACCCCCCTCCACAACCTAACTCACTTACACATGTGATAGACATCCAAAGTAACGTTCACTTGTAAGGGAGTACTGTACCGGTACAGAATAACAAACAAAAATGCAAGTGTTTTACCTCAACAAGCATTATCTGGAAATTTGAGGCTATGCTGTGATGTGATGTGCGACCCAACTTGTTGATGCGGGCTCAGCCCCGCCCCGCGCAAATTGACGGACATGAATACACGACAGGGCTCTCTCTCCCATTGGCCCGACAAAGGCGCCACAGCCGTCCAATGTCACAGTTCCGTTGGAAGACAAAACAAAACAAAGCTTTCAGTCTGCAGGGTGGGTTTCATCCGACCGTCGGGTTCACGGAGAAGTTTCGTTTTGGCTTTAGTTTGGTTTGGGGTATGGAGTAAGGGGTTGATCTGATCTGATCTAAGGATGGGCTAATAATAAATAAGAGGAAAAGGTCTATTTTGACTGCTACTGTACGGTAGGGGATAGTAGTAGTGTTTTACGGCCCTCCCTCTTCCCCAAAGAGAAGAAAAGAAGTCTCGCGCTGCCACTGATAGAATAAGCGGCAGTACCAATTTATACTATAATGTGCTAGATGGCGTGGGACATCAAAGGCGATGATAGCAAGTACCGCCTTTTATGTCTAAAGTCTAAGAGTTTACAGTCCAGGGGCTTTCTGTGGGGAAGGCTGTAAACACTAGAAGAGTCAAGGGGGAAAGCTACTCTTATCGGGCGTTTGTGTGGGTGGGCAGTATACCGGGATTGACATCCTGAAGCTGCTACTCTACTCGAGCATTGAAGCCGCAATAGTCGGTGTGATACAGTACCCCAAGTATACTTGTTGCAGGAGAAGGACGCAAGTGATAGCAGTATAGTAACATTCAAGTGAATTTGCAGAAGACATTCGGAAATGGTGCACGTTATTCTATGCGGAGGTAGAGGGAAATCAGTTGGTCCATATATTATTTTGATTTGACTTGAGAGTGAAAGCCTGATACATCTCCCATCTGCACTCTTGTAGTGACTGACGTGGTTCCAAATGTTTCTTTCTGAAAGCCCGAGCTTACTGCCTGCTTCAATGCAGTGCTAATAATCCACCTTAACCCTTTCAACCGTATATGCGAACGTATAATCCGCTATAACCATAGCATATAGCTAATGGAGAGGAAAACCTTGTGATTTCGCGCTTAATTCATAACAGAACTTGTCAACAAGATAGATGATCCTTTTGTAGTCTCGTCGAGCCCTTGATTCTATTCCGTACTTCCGATTTTCTGTCTTTCTTCGTCCGTGAGTTCCACAAGTGATGGTTTTGTATTTCAAGAGTATCGAAGTCATCCATCTTATGAAAAGGCACTTCGTGGCCTGATACGCTGCCCTCCAAACGTCGACTCCCATTGACTGACAACATATGGTGGAGGCGGGGGTTCGAGATTATTTTGAGAGCACTCTTCTGAGGCCGGGGTCGTGCTGATAGCCCACCCGAGACTTCTTGGACCTCTTGGAATATCTCCAACGCTGTCCCAAGTCCATGCTTCCCATCCGTCATGATCCAGACTATCCACCGTCATCATTGCCTGGTGCAACTCCTCCAACTCCCTCACGCGCTGGGGATCTTCAGTGCGTCTTCCCTCCAGTTCGATCTCAACCATGGCAGGTCTAATAGGACTAACAACCCCTGGTTCTTCAATCCGATAAAATGGTTCAGTGGACCAGGGCAAATCATCTTCACCAAGACGAAATCGAGATGGTGTAGCAGGAAGCGGTCTGTCCCGTCTGTCTATTCCTTCTATTGGCATACTTGTAGTATGCTGCAGCGGAGCAATCGGACTCATGGGGCTGACTGGACTCATTGGCCGTAGAGTCGGTGGAGCTGAGCGCCCTCTTTCGGATTCATATGTCGGCCTGACCTCCAAACTTCGATGTCGTTGTGGTGAGCGAGGATGACGTTCTTGGGTGTTCCCCGGCATCAGGCGCTGGGTGTTTGGTTGCCTGTACAGTCCTTCTTGTTGTTGATACATCCTTTCTTGCGTGTTCCCTAGCATGAGGCGCTGGGGGGGTTGTTGCCTGTAGAGCCCCTCCTGCTGTTGATTCACCCTTTCTTGCGTATTCCCTGGAATCACGCGCTGTGGGTTTTGTTGCCTGTACAGTCCTTGCTGTTGATAATACATCCTTTCTTGCATGTTTTTTGATGTGTACTTCATCGAAGCGGTATGTGGTGGATCGTTATGGGCAAAAGAAAGTCCAAACTCAAGATTGACATGAAGTCCAGGTGCGGGCCATCTAGAAGACGCCCGAGGAGGATGTTCCATGTTGGCCATAGTAGAGCATATGGCAGTTGAAGTTGTTACGAGTGATGCAATTGTTAGATCAGAGAGAACTTGGGAGTTTTGGAGCCGCATCGACAGTATAAAAAGCGAATCGGTGGGAAAGGGGCGAGAAAAGACTGAAGAGCTTAGGTAGGAAGGACGTTTATGTTTATGCCGCAATGGGAAGATAGCACGAGTAGCAGACGGTAGTGTAGTGAAACAACTCCGACTGGACAGTTTACTTAACTGTACGTCGGATAACTGCGCTTCGCCCTGACCCCAGGCTGTTGGAACACTACGAATGTGGTAGCTGTGTCATGGTTGGATGGGGATAGCGAGGCTATGGAGACGGCGAAGGATTAACATCCTGATGGCTGTGCAAAGTGCAAACCCGCAAAACTCATGATGTTTGCTCACTACGGAGCAAGTCCATGCGCGCGCGACGGCGCAGAACTTCAGAACAGATTGCAAGCACGGGCTTCGTGATTTGGCGTGTACTATTCTGATTGCGAGTTTTAGGAGTAATGCCTAAAGTAGTTATTTATTCGTTGGTGATTTTCCGCCTATTTCTTACTGTACTGGGAGAAGATATACGACCGTTATCGTCGCATCTTTCCGATGCACCAGATGCTTCGCACCGAGTTTACACCGCAAAGAAAGCAAAAGCAGATGCCATGCCGGTACTACCAAAACGCGTTCTGGGGTAGACCATGCCGTGACACGTTACTACTGCAATCCGTCTTCAATGCTTGCCGCAAAGGATCAATAAACTCGAGATCCCTTTTCCAGAATGCAGCACTCCAATTGACAGCTTCGGATCGCGAGTCGCGGATCCAGCAATCAATGTACCTATATTAAGCGGGCAGCGAGGCTAAGGCACAGGTAATATTATTGATGTGATGGGAATCATGGGATGGTCATCGTCGCTGCGCAATCCGAGGTGGCTTTGTACAGTACATCCGTACACTGGTTGAAAGGGTTGGGGTGAGATGGGATGGGGCTCCGGATTCACACTTAAAAATGTCCCAAAATAGCCCATAATTACCCAACTAGGCACTACGATACTGACTTGTAACTTGTAAGAACTACCTCCTTCGTAAAGTTGGTCTCATGCTCGCTCGCTCGCTCAGCATCAGCATACTTGGAATGTCTAAACTCAGGTACGAAGGCAAACAACGCCAGATTTCAGTAATGTTCCCACGCGATCCTGTTCATAATTGGCGGTAATGCCGATGAGAAAGAGGAGACTATTGAAATTGAAAGGATTCACGGACAATGTCCACATCTACGTAAAGTTACATTAGCTGGCGCTGTTGAAAGTAAGCCATTCGCAATACTGACCTCTAAATAGACTCCATTATTATTCAAAGAAAACAATGCCATGATTCTTTCTCCTATAAAGCCATATTGGGTTACCCAACAGCTTGCCAAGTTGTCAATGCAAATTGGGTCCGAGCTGGCGATTCCTTCACCAGAGATCGCTCGCCAGATCCTACAATTCTTGTCGGAACTTCCGGTGACAAATTCCAACCTAGAAACCTTCATCGTGGTGATTCCGTTGGTGGCGTAACCTTTTATGGTTCAGATCTGTTCGCAAATTTCTAGACACCAGCGGCGTAAACATCCTTTGGCACCTCGGGTCAAGACGACTGGACGGAAGGAGTTCAACCAGAGAAACAATGCTTTCATGCCTTTCGAGAACTTCGGGACACGTTTTGTATACGTAGATGCGCTCCCACGATGAGATGAGGGACTTCGTGTAGGTACGTACCCAGGTCCCAAAATGATCTCAAACTCTTGCTGATCTGTCTAAAGGCTTCCTGTTACAAATTCTGGGTCATAAAAACGACAGAACAGAGTCGCTCTTTCTTTGGCAAGCTCCAAACCCTCGCATCATCAACATCATAGCTCGCAGAGACCACGGGTCACCATGATAAGCTGCTGAGCGAACGGTTGCAACAGGAGCCTCAAAAGTATCCTCGCATTCTCCCGTCTCAATATTCCACCACAATTTCAAAGTTGCATCCTTCGAAGCGGCAATAACCGATTTCGACGACAAGACACTACTAACTTACCCAACCCCATAATTTCGATATGATCTCATATCTATTTGTTTTCTCTCCTAGTCCAGCTACTTAGCCTGCAATTTGTATCATTTGCCATAAAGACGAACAAAATTAATTTGCACACTTTTAGTATCTAACTAGTTCTCCAAGACCTGGACGCACTCATTACCCTCCCGCGATCCCCATCGTCGTCGAACTCCTATCGCTCTCGTTGTTACACTAGAGGTCCTATCGGTATGTAGTATCTCAGAGGAAATCGCAGGGGTCTGAAGAGAGAATCTGATTTTGGGGGGAGGAGGGACTTCTCTATAGAAGTCTAAGTCTCTTCTCCTTTTCTCTCCTTTTCCTGTCGTTGTCGTTCCATGTAAGTGATCTGTCCTCTCTCTGGAAGCAGTAAATCGAGCTTCATAGTAAATGAGAGAGATCAGAGAGGCAGGTTTTATCTTCGGAAAGAATCAAAAGTGGCAAGGAAGGCGCGATCGCGTAAGGAGGGAATGTCTTCGAGATGGAAATTATCTTCTATTCCAATTAAAAACATGTCTTCAAACTTCACTTTCCCTACTTCCCACCAGCCTTCCCCCTCCCCCTTGCCTCCTCAAACCTTCCCTTCCACTTCTCCTCCTGCTTAAACAACTTCACAGCCTCCATCGCGCTCGGCGTCCCATAATCAGGATCCGCTCCCCCCTCAAGTAACGTCTATGTTATCATTAACCTCATTCAAATCACTCACTCACTACTCCCCCAATGCAAAAGCCTAAGCTTTCAATACAAGAGGGGGTGGCATGGGCGTATAAGATAATAAAAACCACTTACCTCAACCACCTCAGACTCCATCTTGAACACCGCACCAGCTAGAGGCGACTGTCCCCTATCATTCAGCGAATTGGCATCTGCGCCGTGCGATAACAGGAGTTTGACGAGCGGGGCGTGGCCGTGATATGCTGCGAGCATAAGCTGTGTTGATATGTAATCATCAGTGGAAGATTTTGTTTTATTGAATTTAGAAGGAGAAGAAAAAAAAGGGAAAACATGAGAACATGAAAACATACAAGACTGTCACCCTTTTCATTCGTCATATTAGCTGGTAGTCCCGCTGGCAATGCTTGTTGAAAAATATCCATCTGCCCCGCTCTAGCAGCGTCGTACATTCTCGAGGCGAAAGCAATAGCTTCGGGTGGGAGGTTTGAGGATTTAGGATCCATGTTAGATAAAATTAATAAATAAAAGAATTCCTGATTCTTAAGTTTGTGTTTGGACGGAGAGGATTTGAAAGTGGCATTGAAGTTGTAAGATATATAGTAATCGATATATGTGCAGGGATATCTAGCTTCTGATGACATCGTTTGAAGCTCATTCAGCTTCCCCGGATTTCCCCAAACTGCTTTCACCTCAACCTCCCACCACCAGACACAAACCCAAAAATGCGTCTACCTATCCGCCCTTTCCCATCCACCCTCCCCAAGCTTCTTCTCCGCCCACGCCTCTACTCAACATCCCCACCTTTAATAACAATAACAGACATCCCCGCGCCATCAACCGGCCGGATCCGCATCCTCTCGCTCGCGCGCCCCTCAGCACGTAACGCCATCTCGCGCGCCCTCCTACAAGAACTTCGCTCGAGCATCGATGCTATAGCCGCCGAATACGACGCCGAAGGGAACGAGGTACCGCAGAAGGCAAGCTATGGCGGGGCAGCGGGGGTAGATGGAAGGGGGCCGACGAGGGCGTTGATTCTGGCTAGTGAGGTGGAGAGCTGTTTCTGCGCTGGGGCTGATTTGAAGGAACGGAGGGGTTTTACTGCTGAAGAGTATAGATCCATACATCTACCCCTACATTTCCACCTCCATTTCAATCCCTATTACTCCATCCAATCCTCATATCATCACCATTAGTCCAAGGAACCCCTACTAAAACCCACCCCCAGAACCCAAGCATTCCTCCTAAACCTCCGCACAACATTCACCGCCCTCTCCCTCCTCCCCATCCCAACCATCTCCGCCATATCATCCCTTGCCCTCGGCGGCGGTCTCGAACTAGCCCTATGCACGCACTTCCGCGTCCTAGCCTCGACCGCCATCGTCGCGATGCCCGAAACCCGCCTCGGTATCATCCCCGGCGCCGGTGGCACCTACCGACTGCCAGCGCTGATCGGGGTAGCGCGAGCCAGGGATATGATACTTACGGGACGGAGAGTCAGTGCTGCAGAAGCGTATTTCCTGGGGCTCGCGGATCGGTTGGTGGATATTGAGGAGGGAGATGTGGACGGGAAGGGGACGGGAAGGAGAGCGCAGGAGGGCGCGTTGGGGGAGGCTGTTAGGTTGGCGGGGGATGTTTGTGAGGGTGGGCCCGCGGCGGTTAGGGCTGCGTTGGAGGCAGTGGGGTGGGCGAGGGAGGAGGTTGAGAATAAGATGTATGAGAGGGTTATGGGGACGGAGGATAGGGATGAGGCGCTGAGGGCTTTTGGGGAGAAGAGGAGGCCGGTCTTTACTGGGAGGTGAAAGGAGGAACAAGATAGGATGGGGATAAAGAACCTCATAATTGACATCATCATGTCTCGGGGTTCAAAAGGAAACGTCTCACGGCAATTGAACAGTAAGAGTGTAAAGTGCAAAGGAAAACGTACTTCTTGCGAATATATGCATGCATGCTTCCATTCCACTCTTATCATACACTCAATCCCATCCCAACACCATCATTCGTTGCATCAAATCACATCACATTTACAACTTCCCCTTCGCCTCCCCTTTCAACTCCTCAGCCTTTCCCTTCGCCTGCCCCTTAAACTCAGCCGCCTTGCCCTTCGCCTCACCCGCTACCTCAGCAGTCTTACCCGACGCCTTATCCGATGCCAAACCAGCAGCCGACTTTGCCTTCTCAGTTGCAGTCTCTACAACACCAATAATATATTAGCCCACATTACTCAAAAGGTACAGAAGCGCTCTTCCTCATCATCCATCCCCCGCCCATTGTTGTTGGGCAAGGTACTAGAGTGCAGTAAAGCAAAGAGGGGTAGAGTAGAGTAGAGATACGAAACAGGGCAGACATACGACCAATCTCAATCCCATCAACCAGCGTATCGCTAACCTTCCGATCAACCGTCTTCGCCGCGTCCTTGGCCGCCTCAACCGGACTCTTCTTCATCGCCATGGACGTCGAGAAAGCGCGGGGAGCGAAGCTTCCGCTGCCACGAGCGGCGATGCGGAGCATTGGGGTGGTTCTTGTGAGGAAAGACATTGTTTGTGTTGTTATGAGGGTGCTGTGTTGGCTTGGGCTGAACTGTGAGGAGATGATTGATGTGTTTGTTTTGTTTGTTTTGTGATGAAGAAGGTGAAGGAAAGAGAGAGGAGGTTTTAAAGGGAAAGTTAGATAGCTATGCTATGCTATGCTATAGTAACGACGTCATGGCTTTGTTGCCAGGTGGGGAATGAAGCGAGGGGCTTGAACTTGATAGACAAGGAAGCATCGCATGGTTACATCAATTGACACATGTAAACGCATTTATTATGTTTCAATGGCCTTATTCTCTCCTAATTAGCTGTCCTATTACATATGATTATCAGATATAAGTGTAGATGTTTTATGATTCGCGTTATTGCGATACTTAGATGTGACGATTGAAGTTGCTGTAGATGAACGAGTGGCAAATGCCATGCTGCACGATGATGGGATTCTTCTTTTTACCCCTGTCGTGGATCCGGAATATAGCCCCGGGATCACGTGTAATGCCGGGGGTGGGGAGGGGGCTTCACAACTTCCCCCAAATCTCAGCATCAAGGCTCAGATACTCACTCGTAACAGGTAAATAAAGCTGCCTTGTCCTCTCCGGCCCTTACTACCAAGATACATGCTTGATTCAACAATTCCAGTACTTCGACCTATGTAACACAAGGTCGCCCTTACCCAGGAACCCACCCGATTGTTGCTAATATCTCAATTGATTCTATTTCACGGATCAAAGTATAGATCTAATGCACCTTTTCCTTCCTTTTCACCAATGTAATGCAAAGCAAAACGCCAATGCCACTCTTTATGCTTCCTCAGCAGCCATCCACACTCTAGCCTTCAACCTCTCCACCACTTCTCGCCGAATCCACTGCATATCACCACCCTCAGCACTCTTACTATCCGCCCATTCAAACAACAACTTCAGTCCTAACAACCTATCTCTCTTCCCACTATCAATGGTTGCGTTCTCTAGCACAAGTCGAGCATCCACGACTGTCTCTTTCGTCCCAGCGTGTATATCGCTCGAGCCGCCATGATGGGGCGGGAGAACAAGAGCTCTCTCGGCTTTGGTAAGTGATGCAAAAGCAGGGAGTTCGAAGAGCCAATCTAGAGAATGCGATGACGTGCCATCATCATCGTTCAAAGCTTGCAGCGTAGCTTGGAATGCAGATGTATTCGCATCGTGAGCAGGCCGGCGGCGGACGTAGACTGTTTGTGTCGCTTTGAAAGAGGCTATATGCTTTGAATTATTCTCGAGATCCAGAACTACGTTCCAGTACTCAGTGCTGTCAGTACGAACTGTCTTTATTTGCTCTACCTCTGGCAGAAGTGATGGTGTATGCCGCTGGGTCACCTCGCCGTTGCGAAGCGTTACCGTGATTGGCATTGGTACTGGTTGGTTTGTGTCAATGTCTCGTGTTACAAGGCATCTGGATTCAGCTGCCAGGGCCCAGAAATGGCGAAAGGCTTGCAGATGAGACTTGTTGTCTTGGACCGAAGACGGGAAAATAGGGTAAAATGCTACCAATAAAGCAGCTATGGCCAAGTTTGACGTGCCAAAGGTAAAAGTTCCACCTCCTAGAAACAGAGCACCAATTGCCAAGTGAGCAGCAAGATGACTTCCATACGGCGTATCACTATCATCCCGACCGTGCATGGATCTTAGTCGACGGAAAACAACGACATCACCTGTACCGGCCATGACAGTCGCAACTCCAAGTGCCATCAAATCTTGACAATTCCTTATTGTGTTCCGCGTCAACTTCTGGTCGTAGGTGTCGGCGTTGATATTACAAATCCGCATGAATTGATCCAGATAATGAATAAGGAGATCTCGTACGACCAAAGAGCCCGAACCCGCAAAACGTAGGGCAATACTGAAGCAAAGCCCAGTAATTATATCGTAGAATGGAAGATCATTAGTTGTCAAAGAGCTAACGCAATGTAGTGAACTTCGTCCTCGATAAGCGGGTGGCAAGTTCTTTTGAATCCATAAGAACGTTGGCTCGATCCTACTCCACATAATTAAATGCCTTGCGAGGGTCCGAAGTAGGAAAATGTCCGGACGAACATAGTCGAATTGCAGAAGAGAGTCTGGCACATCGACTTTTCTAGCTAGAACCTGGTTTTCAGACTTCATGTAGATGAGTGCAATAGCTACAACCGCAGCGGCTGTAGCCTTGTCCAATACATGAACCAGATCGACTTTCTTACTACCAGCAGCCAGTGCAACAAGTCTCTCAGTGAGCCGCATATCGTGAAGTCCTTTGAGATCGGTACCTTTGCCAAGATTTATAAATCCGAGCGCAAAACCAGCTGCAAGTCGATATCCTTCATTCCTCAAAGGCTCTTCTTCCGTTTCAGTATCGATATGCTCAATCTCAGACACCATAATCTCGCTCATCCGGCGATGCTGGGTATTGCAGTAAAGTATACCTATTCCCATAATGCCTGTGGTCTGGGTTAAAGGAGAGAGATTCAATTCGGCTGCTCCCGGTGGTAGCATGCGAGTGACGTGAACAGACAGTAACCGTGTTATCAACGAGTCCATTGTTCCAATATACGATGCTGCCAGACCGAGCAGTAAGCCGATCGAGGTCATGGTGTGTTTCGGGGTCAGATACTTGAAAGCCACCCACTTCGCCACAGACTTGAGATGTCCATTGAGACCTAGCGCAAGTAAGAATCCTGCATGTCGATTGCTAAGGTCTTGAACGGGCTTGTTGAACAGAATCCAAGAAGTGTCGATTCCCTTGGCATCACGAGATATAGTCAGGCCAGCTGCGACTCCAGCGTGGAAGAATGCCCAACACACTTTCTCCTCCGTAAATGCGTTCTTATCAACTCCAACAGTAGTGTTGTCGGGTTTCATAACACAACTTAAGTTAAAACCACCGATCATGAGCCTCTCGGTCAAGAGTGGTACGCGAGCACTGAAGTACAGCAGCCCTCGTCCAGCAGGAATTGCAAGTGTTCGATAGGCTAACATTTGTGCATGCTCTTTCTGGGCCTCTAGAAGATCAGACTCGGTCCATTGCGGTTCAGGTCTGCAACGTGCCACGGTGGGCCTTGATGTGTTGAGTATGCTTATAGCTTCATTCATTCTCCGGTCATCTTTGAATATAGCACGGGTAATAGAGTGTCGATCTATCTCTGCCGCCCCATCGAGCGCTCTCGTCGCGTCTGTATCTGTTATGGAGAGGCAAATTGCATGGACATCAAGACTCGCTTCGTGAGTTGGAACCTTGGAAATGTTAGTGTGGACGATCTGAAGGTAACATAAATTACTCACAAGTAGACTTGACGGGGTCTGACGGGGTCGTTGTCCCGGAGTCAACAATATGTTTACATCTTCTCGTCCAACAATTGCTAAAAGATCCTTGCTCCAGGTCGTAGGCGGTTCAGTCTGACATTGAACGATAGCCTCCTGTAAAGGAGCGAGAACAGCTTCGGGAAGGGTCTCGAGAAGTAGTCGGTCCATCCCCGCAGCCGCCAAAGCTTCAACAAATTGAACAGGTGACCAGCCCGGTTGCTTAGAAGCAAAGAATTGTGCGAAGAGAAGGGTTCTGGGGGTAAGTCGAGTCCAGTGATCGAACTCAAAGGCGTTCTTGATTTGTTCCGAAGTTCGAGTAGCTATCAACTCGGGTAAAGTCAAAAACGTCGTATTATTTTGAGTAGTCAAACAGATTTCAATCCATTGGTGAATAGAAGGACATTCAAATGGCTCTGGAATAACGAAATCAATGGGCGAGTCTGTAGTAGTTGTTAGCAGGACACAACCTCGAAAAGGGTAGGTGGCATTACCTCGATCATACTTTAACTCCAGCAGGGAAGACTCTTCGAGTTCGTAGTAGTTGATCCAGGTTGACCAACCAAGCCAGTGGGACATTTGAGCCAGAATGGGTGTCAGACTTGCAACACCTGTGCTCAAAGCGTCGGCCATCGTTGTGTCAAGCTTTTGCTCTTCATGAAGAATATGAAGGCCGACAAAAGTATCTACGAGTGCCCTCTTGCGCAAGTCTGTGTCTCTATTTCCAGAAATTGGCAAAATTCCTGACACTAAAGACTGACCAATGGTCGAGCTCGTAAAATCCCGAGCCAGTTTGGCATGCCATTGTACAAAGTTGGGCTTATCACCGTCAAAAGATGGGAAAATAGGAGAAAGAGGTTCCGCGTCCCTTATCCTACTGGCGGTATTATCATCATCAGCAAGCCACTTCCACGCTGGATTCCCCGCCCAGGAGGGCAGAGTGTTTCCATATGAAGCCTCTTGCGTTTGCATCATTTGCCAACTCTCCAAATCCGACTGCGCACCGCTGCTAGATCTTAAGAGACCTGACTTTTTCTTGGCATGCGTTTTATTTTCAGAGGACATCGATCTTCTGCCGAGACCGAGGACCATCGAAAACAACGTAATAACCAGAGCTGTCCATTCCATGTCCACTGTATCTATTGATTCCAGTCGAAGCCATTGCATTGCGTTCCACCACCCAACTAAGAACCCTTCTCCACGTTTCGGACCAGGAAGAACAGCTCTACAAACCTCGAGGATTTTACCTACATGAGGATTCCGAGGCTCAAGTAATATTTGGAGCTGATGCATCTTGCCTTCATCGTCAACGAGGTCGACAAAACCATGCGGCTTCGAGTTTCGTAAACCACGCAGAGCACGAGGTCCTTGGCTTAGTACACGCTTAAACCCACCTTCACGTCTGGCACGTGGTGTAGCATCATGCCCAAGATTCCGAATGTTGCTTATAGTGAACGTAACAGGAAGTGTGATATTCATCATGTCACTCCATGGAGCCTGGAGGCTCAATTCACCAAAGCCATCCCTAGTTTCAGTCAACACCAGAATACGTGAGATATGACCGTCGTCAAGCCTGCAGGCATCCAGAACACCTTTCGCTCTCATGATAGGGTTTGGGCCTAAAGAAATATGATTTTCTCTTCTTTTCCCGTTAAGATGATTCTCTTTAGTATCGAGGTTGTTCTTGTAAAGCGTCAGGACAAGGAGCCTTTTCTCATCCAAATCTAGGACGCATATAACAATGGCATTTCCCAACCGCTCATCAGCGGCAGAAGGCGGCGCAGTAAGCATGAATATCTTACATTGACTTGCAGCAGGCATATGTTGACTCGAATACCGGACATTACTGTGTTCAGCGGGTACATCGCAGACCTTGGAGAGAACAACTTCTTGTTTCAAAGCGTCAAATTCCTCATCGTCGAGGCCCATGTTATGAAATCCTTCAAAATCCCCACCCGCACGAAGCTCATCGAGTAGCTCATCTACAGGGGCTTCCAAAAAGCTATTAAGGCTATGGCTGAATTGTGACGGTTGTGATAAACTAGGTCCACCGGTTCCGCTATAGACCCCGTTACTGACTCTGCCATGCTGGCTCCCTAAAGACTCTCCGCGTCTGTTTGTCGTATGCTGATGGCCTGTGGCCAGTTCAGAAAATGCTGATCGTTCATGGTTGGCGGAAAGATCTGCTCGTGCAAGCATAGAGCTTACACGACGAGACTTCCTTCTTGGGTTTGTGGGGATTTCCCAGTCAGGATCGATGGCAGCAGCTACATCGACAGGCTTATCTTTCGTAACATCAGCCTGCTTCTTGCCTAGTTTCAACCCTATTCCAGCAGCGTTGCCCCCGAGACTTTCCCTAAAATTTGGCTGGCTACTCAAGATTGGAGTTGTAGCTCCGGTTGCTGTACCGGGAACGAAAGAGCTTCTTCGACGAGCCGTATCACTTGCAACACGGCGTTTTTCGCTCGCAGACTCTTCATTAATATACGATAGCTTCCAGACAGTGTACATGCTGGTTTCCCGGTTTAATGTCAAGGCCAGGACAAGAGGATGTTCGGTGTCTTTGTCAGAGAACTCTCCTCGACGTGAGACATGCAGTATTTCTTCTGCCGTATCCAACGCAGCAAATTTTCCTGAGCTCCTCCGATGTCCCTTGCTATTAGCTTTCGAAGGTCCCTCCACTATCAAACCCATCTCAGAGAGAGGATCCGTAAGGGAGAATAACCGTGGCCAGTTTGCATCGTTCTTCAGAGCTGGAGGATCCCACAAATCCTTCAATGTAGAGCTGAATCGCGTCGAATACTGCTTCGGCGCTCCAAGGTCGGCGATCGAGAAGGTGGACTGCTGAGAGCTTGCTGCAGACCATGGCTGCGGTTGTGACGAAACGAAAGAGTTTGGAGGTACTTTCGGAAACTTCAAAGAAGCCGGGACAAGATTGTCGACTCGTAGTTTTCGCTGTAATATAATGCCATTTGGAGCAGCAATCGCAGATTCGACCTCGAATGGCAGATGTATAACATGGCTCGTGCCAGAAAGAAAGTAAACATGCGCCTGAGTCTTCAAGAAGACTACGATGGCCGCCGACCTCTTAGAGCCCCCATTTTTCTGCGTAGCTGTTGTGTCCTTGGATTCGAGAGGCCCAATACTGGGAAAATAGGTCAACAAAGCCTGGCTGACCGGCTCCTTCTCCAGGTCAAAATTATAGCTTTTGCGGTAGACCCCTCCTCTCGACCAAATAACGCATCGTGGAGTTACAAGTAGCTCGTCTTCATCCACGATCGAATCGTACGTCGAGCCGGCATTATTATCAAAGTGATTGTCCCAGGTATATGAGGTACTGGGCGGGTCTGCAGGGAGGAGGTGTTCTTGGACTGCATGCTGAAGTCCTGTAGGTTGATGCAGGCCTAACGAAACGACCGAAGCCATTTCTCTGGAATCTGTTGGACATTCATGTACAATCTGGTCGGGGACTTATGACATGTTGTTGTATTCGAAGGTCCCAAGGAGAATGCTTCATATTTCGAGAGACATTGTGGCGGTAGTTTGGGCTGGACGTCGCGGTTTCCTCAGGAAAACGCGTCTCGCGACGAGGCTGAAAAGTTGCCGCCCGCTACGAGTAAACTTTTGGATCCCCAGTCAACCATCCTTTCTTCTCTACAGACACTCAAACTCAAACTCACCCACATCACGTTCTACAATGTAGTAGCGTATCACATATCCTATCACAGATGAAGACATATTAAGTATCTGGCCTCCGATATTGGTTATTGGGCCTTCGCCAGCTTCTCTCTTCTTCGCTTTGCCCACCATGGTCGTATCCTCTCCCGACGGAAGTATTTCTAATCATCTAGGCATCTGGAATAAGACTAGAGATGTTGTCGCTGAACAGGACTCTATTCCAAATAATGGCTTCAAAAGGCCATCATATCAACCTATTCAAGATGAGTAAATAAGCTGGCTCAAGGACATCCTACCACACCAAATTCTTTTCTGGTCGATCGATCTAAAATAAAACCTTTGTCATCTTTGTACAGCAGCTTCTGTTCATGACTTTTCCTTCTAAGTCTTTTGAAGCCAAGCTATCGTCAACTTGCAATTGGTTATCGCATTTGCTCCTTTTGGAATAAAGTGTTTATTAATCCCCACCAAACCGCGGAGAAAGCGTTTATAACTTTACTACATGAGCACTAAATTCTCACTCGTAGCGGGACTGTGCTTGCAGATAGTATCATGGCCGCAATCTACGATAAAAGTTGATTGATGAGAGGTACCGTATGATGACCAAGTTTTGTCTTGACTCTTGTTACCGGCCGAGAGAAGACAGAAGACTGAAAGAAAGGTCCTCTCAGATCTCAAATCTATAAAGGAAACTGTATTCCCTTCTCTTTCAATGCAATGCATTCATTTCCACTTCCAATTCGTCAATCACCAAGAAATATATTCCATTCCACAATACTCGACACCAACGACAACCAAAAACACTCAAATCCACGATGACTCAATCCTCCTGTCTCTGCGGCGCTAACCGCATCTCCTACGGCGAAACCCCAATCCTCAACTTCCGCTGTCATTGTCTTGACGAGCGAAAGCTCACTGGAGCGGCTTTTGCCCTCAATATTCTGTGGTCTACCGATGAGCTCAAAGTTCTCTCTGGTGAACTCAAAACTTGGTCCAAGGTCGCCAACAGTGGCAACACAATTACCAACCAGTTCGTACCCTTTGCCTCACCAGCATTCAAAGCCCTGGATTTTCTTTCCGTGTTTTTGGAATTCGTCATACTGATTTGTTGAAAGTGCTTGTGCAGAGTGCGGAAGTCTTCTGTACCGGACCAGCGACGGATATCCTGGCGTAATGGTGATCAAAGCTGGCTGTATTGATGGAAAAGATGCTTCTTTGGAGTTCGTTCCTCAAGTCGAGCTCTTTACGAGAAGCAGAGTACCCTGGGTCCCGGCTATTGAAGGTGCCAAGCAGGAAATAGCAGACTTCACGAGTTAGTCGGGTTTACAAAACGGGGTGTCAATTGACTGAAGGACAAGCATTTTCTCAAAGACGCTCAACCAAAAACCACAGCTGATAACCCAATGTCACCTTGAAACATACACTTTCCTCTCATCCCCAACGATTTCTCATCTTCGCGCATCTGTAAATCCCAACATCAATTCACGTAATTAAGTAGCCTTCCACCTCACCCTACCCACCCACTCCCCCAAACCTCCTCACATCCTCCCTCTCCATCAACCTCTCCACTGTGAACCACTCCCTGGCCAGCTCTTCATGGCTCGCAACCCGATGAACGAAGCTGTGGCACGCCCTGCACAGCCACGCCACACTCTCCAGTCTATCCTCGGTATGCCAGCCCCGCTTCAACACCTTTGCGTGCACGGCTCTCGGTATCAGATGATGGAACGTCAACGGTACCCATTCCCGTAGACAGATCTCACATTCTGTTGCTTTGGCGCGTAGTTGGGACCCTGGTAGAGGAGCGGTGGTTAGGGTCTCTAGATAGGATGTCAAGACTGGGTTGATGAATTCAAGGGTTGTTTTTGTGGGGCTGAGGATTGAGTAGGTGGTTAGGGTGTCGGTTATTGATAGTGGGAGGGTGTTTATGAGCTTAGATATGGTGTCGGGTGGGACGGGGATGCTATATTGGTTTTGTAGAGAGGGTGTATTGAGCCATGTTGAGTATGTGAGTGTTTGGAGCTCGGGTGGGAGATTTGTGAAGATTTCTGTGGCCAGATACTATAGTTCCCTTGATCAGGATGTTGCTATCTCTTTTCAAATAGATAATACTTACATCTATGAAATCCGCAAGCTCAGCTGCATCATCGGGTTGTTCCGCTGAGGTTGAGACGGGCTTGATAGCCGTCTTACGCCCCGCACGAGCCTTTCGAACTTTCTTTGTTGGAGCAATGGATGAATTTTCAATAAGTGGCGTAGACAGACATTCTCGAAAGAGTTGGAAGTTGTGTTCTTCGTTTTCGTCCTTCATCACGAGATGGATGGTAAGGTGGTCAATCCGGATGGATCTAGAATGATACTGTAGATATTATGCAGCTCGGGTGGACCCGAGGAGCTTAATAAATACTTCAATGTGGGTTCCCGGAGTGACTCTTCCCCGTCTTGGATTCGCGGAAACAATAAGCATTCGATCAATTCCTAGAGCTGGATCTGGTACCTCAGTTCTATAACTGTTACGGTAATATATCGACGCCTAAAGTACACCGTCGTGAAAATGGCCTTTATGTTTCCATGTGCTTCGACAAGTAGAAACACGAAAAGGTTTACAACCGAATATCCCGTTCAGATCAAATTAGATATGTACCCATTTATCAGATTCTGATAGAACTTGATACCGTTGAAAGTTGACAAAGTTTAAATTTGTTGTTACAGTACTACAGTATACCCCGCTTGCGTCATCATATGTAAACCCCACCTCGTAGACGGGACTCGTACTCGTACCTATACTCTCCAGCTTTCTCATCGACATTCTTGCTTCATCTATTTTCATTTCAATTAGTAGTAGCCATGTCCTCGGGAAATAAGACTGTAATTGCATTTGACCTGTACGGCACGTTACTCTCAACCGAGAGTATTGCCAAGGAACTCGCTACTCACTTTGGGGACGAGAAAGCCCAGTCTGTAGCTGCACTATGGAGAAGGCAAGTCAGCATCATAGGGTTGTATGGGTGTAAGTGCTCATAGCAATAGGTTCCAGTTGGAATATACCTGGAGGATGAATAGCATGGGTGAGATCTGACCTACCCTCCCCAGCTTACGTGGTTGGTCACTGATCAGAAAAACCCCAGGTCTCTATAAACCCTTCTCAGAAATCACCAATACATCTCTCCGGCACGCCTTAGATGAACTCAGTCTCTCGCTCTCAGATACCGATGTTAGCAAGCTCATGACAGCCTACGACTCCCTCGGCACCTTCCCCGACGTGCCACCCGCGCTAAAAGCACTTGCCAGCAACCCCTCAATCGACGCCTACGTTTTCTCCAACGGCACAGACGCCATGGTATCATCATCGGTAAACCAATCACCCTCACTGTCATCTCATACCTCCGTTTTCAAAGGTATCGTGACCGTAGAGGAAGTGAAAGCCTACAAGCCGGATCCAAAAGTCTACACGCACCTTGCGGAGAAGGTTGGGAAGAAGGCAGGGGATATGGCGGATATTTGGCTCGTGAGTGGGAATCCTTTTGATGTCGTGGGCGCGAGAGCTGCTAGTATGCAAGCTGCGTGGATTGACAGAGCTGGTGGGCATCATGGGAAAGGGGGGTGGACTGATAAATTAGGCGAGTTGGCAAGCGGTGGACCTACGGTAATTGTTAAAGGGGTCGACGAGGCAGTTAACGAGATTCAGAAACGGACCAAGGATAATGGTGGGAAAAGTGGTGCAGGTTTTAATAACGAGGCAGCTGCTTTAGGGCCAGGTTAAAATGGGCGGAAGTAGAAATAATAAGCCTTACTTTGGACGTTTAGCCTCGAGAGATAGTCAGAACCTTCAGTCACTTCAGAAGAAGTACTATAAATTATATCCAAACAAACAAACGAAATCAATATTACAACAGGATTCATCCAGTATATATCCTGCCCTTTACAGGATCCGTAATATACATTGGATCTCCAAGAACCAACTTCTCCTGGCTCCTACTATCACCATTTCCCAGAACTACAGCTCCATACCTCACAGGCCGATCGCCCACTTCTCTCAGCAGCTCTTGTGCATTCAAGTTCGAATCCGAGTTGAGTAGCGACGGGGCGTCAAACGCTTTTGCGATTTCAATAGGAGAAAGCGTGAAGTTCCGCCCAAGATTCCACCAGCCCAGGAAGATAGGCATCACGCATACTGTGGAGAGCAAAGTGAATCCAACAGCAAGGACTAGATAGAGATAATGGGAGCGGTAGACTGTGATGATGCTTTCTGTGCTTGCGTTGACGGTCTGAATATTTGTGGCGTTGGTAGCGTCGGCAGCATGGAGAGACGTCCTAAACGCGAGTTCCCGAGTAGCTTCTAGCATATCAGCTGTAGGATTACTCCAGTATGTAGGGCAAGCAAACATATCATCGTCAGTGCCTGAGCCTAATCCGGCTAGGGCATACTGAAGTGCTGGAGCACCAGTTGATTGCAAGTCGTATCCAACAGCACCTGTAAAGCGGAGGTGAACAGAGGATGAGAAAAGTGAATTCAACGCAAGGTACATTCCTCCATGAGTTGTCGGTCCCTGCGAAATGTCACCCACAGCTGGCACATATTGAATGAGACGATCGTCCTTGTAAGTGTAGCCCGGATCAAGGCTGATGGTATCGTTGACTAAGATGACATGGTACTCCAAAAGGGCTGGCTCCAAGGTACATTGAGCAATGTTAAGATCGCCCCAGCATTGTCCATCTGATTTGTACATCGAGGTATAATTAAAAGATGGACGGGAATCGTCCTGGCTATCACCAATGGTATTTTCCGTGTATGTGAAATTGGTGGTAAATACGTTCGTACCGTTTGTTATTTGACTGTTCACTTGGCCATTCGAAATTGCAAGCGCTGTAGAAAGATTGAACGACGAGACCGATTCTTGACAATCGATGGCATAACCAGCCGCTTGCAAAAGACCGGAACAACGGCCTTGACAACCAGAGTTAGTTACGTTAATTGGCCGCTTGAGCACATAATCCTGCGTGACAGAACTAAAGTTGGAAGTAACGAAGCCGACGGCATGTGCACGTCCTGTAATAGTCCCCGTGTATCCTGTGGGAAACTCCTGCGCTGCGAGAATTGTGAGAGTTGACACGGTCTTGTGAGGCGTAGTTGTAATGGTCGATGCTCGTTGCAACAGGGGGCCGTTCACAGGAGCGAGAGCAACGGTTATACAGGCCAGTGCTACGAGGTTAAATGAGCGTCCCGAGATAAGTGCCCTCCTCAGACTTGTTCCGTGTGACCATATATTATGCATATCCGAGATATTTGAACCCCGCTTCATGGATTTCACCCACCAAGCTACCTGAACCCCCTCAGACAAAGCATGATTTAGGAGAATATTGGCAACCGTCGACGCTATAGCGAGATACACGGCGGGCGAGAGAGTCCAACCAGTCACTGGTTTGTTATCCGAGATGACGAGAACAGCGACCATGCTAGCCGCAGCAAGCACAGCAAAGAGCAGCGATAAAAATCCCGGCCAAGGGAAGCGACGTATTCCTCCGGTCCTCCATGGCGTAGAAGGTGCAAGAGTCCGGTAGCGCTGATCAGGCGCTGAAGATACCGAGTGTGTTGAGACGTTGGAGAATTTTGGGTCGAAATGATACTGGTTGAGTGGGAAACTCATTGTGTTTGATTTGGGCGCCTTCGAAAGCTCCTTGTGACTTCGTAACGTGATTTGGCGGCTGCGAATGATATATTAGAGAAGATTAGTGAGTTGCTAAGATGCTATTACTTACTTGATCAAGCAGAAGACCACAAGGAGTCAATCAGAGTTGCCTAGCGATCCGGACCAAATGCAAGTAAAGTTAAATCTCGGAATGCTAAACTCTGTATAGATGGAAATTAGAGAGAGAGGAACATAAACCAAAGGGCTTTTAGAGACCTCGTCACAGGAAATTGTTAGATTTCGCGACGAGTCTTGAAAGTCGAGGGGTGCATCGTGTATATGAGGCGCTCATATAGTCCCCCACAGCTAAGATCTATGACAGATCCAGACTCTTGGGCCAACTAGAAATAGACTTTTCCTGCAACTAGAATATGTGTAACCGTTACTCACCGCTTGTGATAGGAATGTTCGTATTGTTGCGTGAATTAAATAGACTTAGCTTGCTTGGCAGCTGAACATCAAGCACGGCTCGAGCCGTCTCGGCAGGCTTGTCCTTGTCCTTGTATAAAATTAAGTCCCAATTGCTTGGATCGATTACTGCTGCGAATATCAATCGGAATTGTGAGTTGAGCCGAGTTGCCTTCCATCACTTCGTCGCCTGGAGCTGATGGTGCTAGGACCTCGCCAAGCCAGTTCCACAAGCACAGATCCAAGATCCTCGAGAGGGATAATTTGGCGGGTCACAGGTTTGAACTTATCTTTTCCTAGGAAACTCTGATATGATAAACCATAGGCACGCCTGTGTACTAACGAGCATGGCTATTTACAGCCAGTGAGATTGATTTCTACACCACTTCGCGGCACCTGATTCCCTTGGAGATGACCACCATGACAGTGAAAAAAAAGGCACAGATGGACGACAATGAATGCAAGGTTTAGACAGAGGAGGCCGTGACGGAGGAAGAGGAGTATGTAGAGGCTCCGGAAGATGGCAAGCCAATGGTAAGAGGACCTTGTAATTCGCCGGAGGAACTAAAGGGGTTCTGTAGGGTGAGCAACCAGCCGAAGAGTCCCAAGGTCAATACAACTTCGTGAACGGCCAGGAAGTTAAAGGGTGGAAAAAAGGGGCGTAGATCCAACCTCGGCCAACTAAGCGTAGCCGCAAGCAAAAGACGCCTCGCACAAGGAGCGGCGAGTAGTAGCTAGCAAGCACAACAACCAGCTCGCGTTTGACAGCACGCAGCCGTACTACGTGCGTACGTTCAACTTTTGCAAAGAGCCGCGAAGAAAAGGATCTATTTCATGCAAGACCGTTGATCTTGATATCTCGTTGCAAGGTTTGGAATCAAAACTAGCCTTTAACATGCATTGCTCGGGGACTCTGACCTATACTGTACCTAACAAACCTCTTGTTTGGCCTGATTCCAACATGTCTTTCCACCACTCGACCCGACTTCACTGCTTCTGCAACCCTCTTGCTCTCCGGCCATAGATATTATCATGTGCACGACCTTCACCTCTGTGTTACAACCGCGATGGTCAATAACCGATAGCTGGCATGCAGATATGCCGGTCTCCAAGCGTTTGGTGAAGCCCAGTCTGCAGACAAACGCGCATCAAACAATAGAGAAATAAAGATTAGCCTGCCTGTGCTGAATGTGTCAACAGCGCAGTTGTCGCATATCTAAAGACTCAAGTGAGTACTAGAAATAGTATTCCCGGCTTCGCGTTTAAAGCTGATAAATTCTGGGCAGCCTTCCCGCCAACTTTGAATTGAAGTTTTACTCCGTATGCGATTAAGAGGCAGCGTTCTCCAGACGCCAGGTACGTAACTCAACCTCCAATAGCTCCATGCATGCATGCATGACATTCTGAAAACCTGCCGCGTGACAGGGTTTAGGTCCGCATGTTTCTGGTTCAGCCTCTTCTGGAGATTTTGGTTGGAATGTTCTGCGTCGAACAAAGCAGTATAGTATGCGGCTCTAGCTATGTAGGAGGGTATAGTTGTACTCCGTAGAGATAGATTTTCAACCAGCTACTTACTCTAAGCTCTTCTATATCGTCGGCATTGGTTTCAAGTGGCAATACCCCCAGTAGATCATGCCTTGATATCGTTAGATTGCTTATGACAAGGTCCCAAGCCTTTCTCCAGCGGTGCCCAGTCGGATGGCGACCTTCTGCATAGGGGGTAGTTTCTGCCTCCATAGTAAATCAAATTGCAGCCAATAGTGTGCATCTGACGTTTCACCCCGGAAATCTACCCTCATATTAGCCTCAATAGGTTTAAAGCGCCGACCGTGCGTGTTGCCAGGCGTATGCAGTAGCGGCTATTAGAGCCAGTTCTACTCCCGGCAATGGGGGTAATAGCTGGGCCTCAACACCAGAACAACACCAATCCAAGAAATTGCCTTGTATATTGGCTGGTGCTCTCGATATCGCCAGCTGTATACATGCAAAATGCTGCGGAAAAACTCCAGCAGCAAGTGGAAGCAGGTGCTCGGCTTCGATGATGGGGCTTCCTTATCGAAACCAACACCAACGCCAACACCAAGTGCCGCCAAACCAAAGAATGGAAGAAGGGGAAGCAAACCCAAGATCGACACCAAAGCATCATCACCACCACCACCACAACTACCGCCAATATACTCAGACCTGCCAGAAGTCGTCACAGACCAACATCCAGAAGTCGTAAAGAACGACTCGCCAGTAACATTATCACCAGGCGCATCATCAGTACCGTATCCGCGCTTACCACGAGATATAACTTTCTACCGGAAGAAGCAGGACTTCCTGCTTGCGCCTTCCCCTCCCGCACCCTCACGAGGTGATCGAAAGCCACTGCCCGCACCACCACACCTCTTCTACATCACCGTCCAGCAAGACGAGTCCCCCTGGGAATACACACGCAAGCCAGACATCATACTGCACACGAATGCCTCGCAGAAATCTCCCATCCTCTCCTATGTCGAGTTTCATACTGCCACCATGAAAGCCGACATCACGCTGTGTCCGTACGGCAGCGACTCCACCCCTCCCTCGGACTCCAAATCCAACAACTTCGCCTTTCCTGCACCACCCCCCATACAAGCCGAGTCGAATGGCGACCTGCCGAAATTCAAGACTGAGCGCCTGTCTCCTATGGGCGGCATTTTCTCGCCCGAGAAATACGCCTTCTGCCACACGCTGCCGAGATCTTTCGTGCGCGAGCGCTTCGAGTGGCGGTATTCCAGTGGGCCGTTTATCAGAACGCAGGATGGGAATAAGGAGAGTGGGGGTTTGAAACTTATTCGGGTTACGACGGGGGAGACGGTCGCGGTGTATGCGGGGCTGGGGAATGTGAGTAATGAGGAGAGGTCGGTGGTTGGTATGTTCCGGTTCTTGGCTGGGGAGAATCTGGTCAATCTAGGCGAGGAATTTGATATCCTGGCCGTGATGAGTATTCTGACCGTGGTGGAGAAGCAAAGGAGGGCCGTCGTGGCCTCGAAGGCTGCGTTTGGGATAAACTGATCTTTGAGTAGGGGTGATTTGATTTGATTTGGCATGGCATTCATGGATGGATGGAAATGGAGTCTTGGGGGAATATTTCGGGTGTTTGGTTGGGCATGAAAACTGTGTATAGGGGTCTTATCTGGTCCGATGAGGCATATGATGATTCACTCACTGTTAATTTCTAAATCCTAGTTTGAGCTGTATTTACTTGTATCTACCAACCTACTTAGGTAGGTACCTACCTCAAAGCCATATCATTAACACCATCACAGCTCTAGCACTCTCACAACCACCCGTTACCCAAAATTCCGAACTGTGGAAGCTTCTAGCCCACAATCCCATAGCACATATTGCCTTAGCTACAGAAGATCTTCAGGTCCAGCAATAAAGATACCGGCACTTTCCAAAGTTCCCCTCATTTTCGTAAACATCCTAAGCCGTTCCTGCATCAGGGCCGCCCAGGGGTAGCTTTTGATAGGATTACCGACGCGGGCTAGGTCTGAAGGATTCTATACCATGATAGTCAGCCACACCGATCTACCATATGGGATCAAAGTTGGGGGATAGTGGCTGGTTTTAATCAGATGGGCTGGGCTGGGCTCGAATTTGTGTAAAACTTGTAATCTGGATACATTTTGTAAGGTTGATAGGAGGAGATGTGGGAGTTTTAATGGGATGGGATGGATGGTTGGGGAAGGTGATGGCGATTGTAGGGGATGCAAAAGGCAGGTGGGGTGCGGCGCAGATTTGAGAAAAGGACCATGATTTTTCCCTTTACGAGGTAGCCTAGCCTCGTGAGCAGAAGAGGGCTTTGCGATTTGGCCATGTTGGAGATGTAAGTAGGATATCTCTTTTAATGCGCTGCCGGCCCGGAAAAGGGCGCCAGTCCCAGACAAGCACTGGCAAGATGCAAGTTAGACAAGTATAAACTCTTATGGTCGATAAACGTTTCATACCCTCCCCCTCCCCTCACGCAGCCAGCCCTTGTGTTTCATGGAAGATAAAGTTTGAGAGCTTGTTCCCGGAACACTCGGAGACTGGTTATGGGAAGATACATATTCGTAACCAGCATTCTTGATGGCCACTTGCAAGCCGTACAGTGGATTTTGCCATGTGGCTCAAGCTATGGATGCGATGGCTTGTAAAGAGCAGTTTTGTTACGGTGTCACGTCAGGGACGAGATGAAAAAACAGGATGGAATATCAAGGTGGGTCTTCCCAACCCAGCCAGCCCCAGCCTTGAGGTCGATAAAGCAAAAGGATTTGATAAGCTTAAAATATGATCCGAGTAGATATCTCCATTGCGGCTGAGGGCAAGCGACCTAGATTTGTCCAGAGCCGAGCCCCTTTTTCGTTTGTCAAATCGAATCTGGGCTCTTTAAGTGGCATTGAATATATATCTATGGAGCAAATACTGTGTAGACTATTATGTCAAACTGTAAAAAGAAGCAAACCGGACCTGCGGGCGACCTCGACGAACTCAGTTTCAAATTTTACAACCCCTTTATCTTACGAAGTACGGAGTAAATTATCGACTAATACCTGCAGAACCCCTCATTCCTGATTGGACCACACGCTTACTTCAAACTCCCTTCCCCTTTTCCACAGCCTTGGCGACGGCTCCTAAATGGACGATTTAGGCTTAGTGTTGGCTTCCGAATGTTGGATAGCTTAAAGATGAGGTTCACTCACTAACCTTTCTGCTCTTTCAATTCCTCCTCCCTTGGTATCTCACATCCAAAGCATGTTTGGTAGCGGGCTCGAGGGAAGGCATGAAGATGCCTATATAACCCCCCATATTTGATTTGTTTTGCAAAACGATTTTTTTGCATGACAGTGGGAGAGGGAGCAGTGAGCTGACAGCATAACCTTATTTAGAGAAGAGCGGCGTGGGCGGAGATACTGTTTTTCCAAGACCCTCGATTGGACGGATCGGGCGCCAAGAAAAGTCCGCTGGGGTTGATTCCAATTTTAGCCGTAGCAATGATCCGCCGCTTCCTTATTGCGTGTTGGGGCCATTTATTAGGCTGAGCTGAAGTGATAGTTCAACCATTTAGTGTTGGTGGGCGGCGTCTCAAATAATCATAAATCATACCTACCTGCTGTCCTCTTGCCTTCCACCAGATCCTGTCCCTTCGACACATTCATTTCACTGTATTATTCTTGCATCCCTTGCATCGCTGTTCGCCTTCTGCGTCACTTCAAGACACACATGTTGTCCTGTTAGCCTGACTGGCTAACCTTTGTATATAACATTCCGTCCATTTCCCTTCCGCGCTTTTCACAATGCTCCAAAATCATCGGTATCAGAAGCAGGTGACCGAGATGATCAACGGCATCTCGCGCATCAAATGGTGGAAATACCGCTATGTCCTGTTCGTCGCACTGGTGGTCAATGTCTTTGTCATAAATCGATTCTTCTTCGACCAGTCGATATCCGACCTCAATCCTTTCGGCTCCCCAACAACGGACGAGAACCTCGAATCCACGACACCTTCAACCCCCGAGAAAACGTCGAATGGCGCCAAAACTCCAGTAGTTGCTGCGGAGAAAACAAAAGAGACAATGACCTTGAATCTCCACGATTACGATTTCAACGGCAAATACGTGGGGTGGCCTCTTGAACGCGTATGCAAGGAAACAAAATGGACACCTGGCCTGGTATACGTGTGCGACAACAACTCGGGAGGAATTGGCAACATTAGGAATTTCATCTTGACCTGTGTTCGATATGCGATCGAATCGGGATCGAGTGGCTTGATTATTCCCCGTATCCAGCGACGCTCCGAAGAGGATCATGCCAACCTCTTTACCACGGGAATGCAACCCTTGAGCTACTTTTTCGACGAAGCACATTTCCGCGGCGCCATGGCCGACAATTGCCCGCAAATGACCATTTTCGATACAATAAATGACGTTCCTAACCACCAGAATATTACGAAGATGGAAGAGTTCTACCCAAAGGATTTGAATAACCCAGATGGTTGCGATGAGCGCGGTTACAACAGACATTTGGACCACTTCCGCGTAAGATTCGACAAATGGTTGGTGTCCACAAGGCGCACTCCGTCCGAGGCAAAGCCCGTATCTGTCCGATTCAGGTGGGCGACTTTCTTCGAATGGCCAATCTATCGCGACGGGCCAGAGTTCGCAGCCACGTTTGGTGATCTGCTAAGGATAAACCCCGATATTGAGAACATTGCCCGTGCAGTCCTAAGGGAATTCTCCAAATTTGCAGGAGTCGAACCAAAAGACAGCAAACTTGACGTTCCATACCTCGGCGTCCATTTGAGAACAGAAAGCGACGCACTTGGATTTTGGCCAGACTTCAGTGTACAAAGTGAAGGCTACCTGAAGGAAGCCGAATCGCGAAAACTGAAACATGCGTATCTTGCTTGTGGCAATGCAACCGATGGTCACCGATTCGGAGAAATAGCGCATGAGAGACTGGGGATAAATACTACTTCGAAGTTGGACTTGTTGAAGGATCAGGAGCTCCAGGCTTTGACCGACCTCACTTGGGATCAGCAAGCTCTTGTGGACTACCTAGTTCTGTCGAAAAGCACGCATTTTACGGGATGTTCCTTCTCCTCTTTCACGATGAACATTGCTTTCAAGAGACATACCATGACGGACGGACTCCACACTCGACAGTGGAAGAGCCCAGGAGATGAGTTTACAACACTGGTTGGGCGATTCGATAACTGGTTTGGAGACTGGATGTTCATGTACGAATGCATGTGGCCTTGATCGTTTCGCCCTGCGATTGATTGAGTATTGGATATGTTGCATTTTATCATTGCCACGAAGATCTATGCAAGCATGGGTGAAATCCCAATGGGATTAGAAGAGTCGACAGGATACTATGCTTTGGACAAGCCTCAAGAAACGAGCATGGAACATCAATACCAATGCCTCACCAGGACTCTAACGCCTACCTTGTACATCTTTCGGTTGCGGGTATCTCGAGTATTGTTTAAGGAGTTCAAATGTATCATACCAGGATTCAAAGGGGCGGCATTCCTTCAATCGGAGGTCAAGAATAGACTAAGCGTCGTGACCGCATAGATTTTAGCGATTATTTGGGCAGTATATCCTGTTTGGAGCAGAAAAGGTTGGGCCAGTCGAGCAAAAGGTGCCGGCTTGGGGTTTGGGAAAGGCGCGGGTTAAATATTCAACCAATTATTCAATCTGGATTTATCACATTCGGCTGAACCAAATGCCGCAACTATTCTCCTGTGCTTTCTTTCTTGAGCTGAGGTCCTCGTCTCGAGTCCTCCGTTACTCTGCATTCCCGGTCCGCGTCGGACAATATTCAGGAGCACTGCTTTTTCTCTCCACCGCATTTGCATACGAACCCCGCTTTCTTGCTCGGGAAGGTAGTACCTTTCAGCGCAAACTTTCCTTTACTTTTCCGACGATTTGGGTGTGGTAACGCCTTTTTACCTCGACATTGTCTTGCAGTACCTATACTTTGAATAAATTCGCAACAATGACCAGGCAACGGGGCATACTTTGGTGCTTTCAAGATCATTGTCACCCCGTGACGTCGACTTATTGGTGGTATCATTAGGCCTGGGACGAAGTAGTACTTCCACATCATCAACGGGGCGCAGTAAGTCACTTTGTGAATGCCTAGATCTCTTCAGATCCCACTGTAGTACGAAGGTGATGGCGAAATGACCCGAAAATGCAGGGCCTGAAGCAGATGAGCGCCGCATAGACCCTATAAAGTAGGTATAAAGCCCTGCAGGTTCTCTTCACTTATAGTTAAGTGGTTCGCTAAAAGTTCGTATTCACCTAACCCCATGAATTCCCCATGAATCCCCCTTCGATTACAGGGGCTCCTAGCGGCATAATAGCGTGATAGCGCTCTGTGTTACCAGATTAGGCAGCCTCATCTATTTACCTTGCGGGATTTTGCTAGGACCATTTTCGGATATAATGATGGTAAAATGACCATGAGTTTGCTTATAAATGGTAGTACACGTTCGTCTGGCCATGATACGGTTCCTTGGTGGTAACGGACTTGGACTTACCTATACTTAAGTAACCCTCAGCTTCTCATACGGATTCCATCATCACACCAAACACAATCCTTTCATTCTTCAGCATGCATCTCCAATTCCTCCTGGCCTTCGCCTCCCAAGCGCTCTCACTGAATTTCGCCCTTCCACATCCCATAGGCCCCTCGCTTGTCGGAACAACTTCCATTGAGCTCCTAGACACGTCTCGTCTGGATCCATTCGCACCAGACGTTCGGTATCGAGATCTCATGCTCTCGGTCTTCTATCCTATCCAACACACCCGCCGTTACCACCTTGCCCCAGCCTGTATGCAAGAGCAGTTTATTTCCTAATTTGGACAATTTCGGGAGCGTTTTGGCGTACTCAGACTTTACTCTGGTTCATCCTGAAGTTCCCGAGTGCTCCCAACCTCCAAGAGGTTCCTTGAACTGCCAATGCTAACTCTGAGAACTTGTAGTCGTACCCGCCTATGCCGCCTACCTTGGGACCTCCCTCGATCTCCCTGCCAATCTCACATTGAACGTAACATCATCCGCCTACGCCAACGCCTATCTACACCCCAACTGTACCTCCCCTTCCCACCCAAACATCCTACTCTTCTCCCCCGGCCACGGCGGCAGCTACCAGGACTACACGGCAACCCTAACAAACCTGGCCTCGCAAGGCTATATCGTCGTCGGCGTCGACCACCCCTTCGACACCGGCTTCATCGAGTACCCCGATAACCGCACCGCCATCGCCGTCAACAGCACAACCGGAACACCCGAAGGTGCAGCCCGCACAGTCGACGTCCACGTCGCAGATCTACGCGCTGTGCTGGATGCCCTAGCCACGAATGCCACGTTCGCAAAGCAGATCCCTGGTGTGCATGGCACGCTTGACGTTTCCTCCGTCGGCGTTTTCGGGCATAGTTTAGGCGGCGCCACGGGTGCGAGCGCGATGGCTGCTGATGAGCGGTTTGCGTGCGGTATTAATTTGGATGGGACGTTTTGGGGTTCTGTGGTCGGCACTGGTGTTGATCGACCGTTTTTCCTGATGTCTTCGGCGGTGCATAACCAGAGCAACGACGATTCGTGGAAATGGTTCGTGGGGAACAGCACGGGGATGAAGCTGGAGGTTGCTGTTGAGGGGAGTTTGCATGGCGCATATACTGATTTTGCGGTGTTGTATGATGAGATTATCGCTGCTGGGTACGATGTGCCGGGCGCTGCAGAGTTGCTGGGGACGATTAGGGGGGCGAGGATGCTGGAGATCGTGGGGGAGTTCGCAGGGGCTTGGTTTGATCGGTGTTTGCAGGGGAAGAGGGAGGTTGTGTTGGAGGGTCCCAGTGAGGAGTGGCCGGAGGTTAAGTTTTGGGATTCGTGAAGGGTGTGAGTCAGCTAGTTCTGGGCGAGATAGAACAAAGGTTTGATAGATGTCCTTGAATAGTAGCATAACTAATCTAATACGCACACCAGGTACTCGTCCGGCGATCTGAGTTGGTTTTCATTTTGAGACATCTTTAAGTCAGCCCCCTTTAGATGAATTCCGTCGATCACGAAGTCTATTGTGCCCTCGCCAATAAAATCTACCCGGCCTGAGGGTTCTTTGCTTCCTTATTTAAAGTATATATGCCATACCTTACGTGCTAAACCCCGCTTCCCCCAACATTATCTCGGATTACTCGCCCCCCATCTCAACCCATTGATGGAGTAGAAAGCCAACTCCGCATCACACCCAGATCCATCCACTACCTCGCCTTTGATACCTAAGATGTGACGTGCATATTCTTGGTCTCGATTGAATTATTTACATTTCCTGCTATTTGATGTACCGGTACATGGTATCCGCTATAAACAATCACTTCCCCTCCTCCACCACCACCACCGTTTGCGCAGCAGCCTCTTTCTCCACATCCTCATTCCCACTCATCTCCTCGTGCCTCTTCGCGCTCGCACCCCCCTTCTGACTCTTCTCCATATCCTCCCTCATCTGCCTAATCAATGGACTCCGCGCCCGAATCCTATTCCCCCACTTATAAAACACAAAAGGAATCGGAATCATCGCCACCTGCACAAGCCCCAGTAACGTCCCCGCCCACTGCGGACTCATCGCCTCATACATACTCGGCCCGGCCAGCGGCAACGTGCCGCCGACCATGAACCTCAACATAGCATTTCCCGCCAACGCACTCGCAGAATAAACGCCATAAGAGCCCGCCAGATAATTACTCGCATAGATAAACACGAGGCAATTGCCCGCTCCGAACGGGATTCCGGCTAGGATGGGCCAGATCCAGTGGATGGTGATGGGGAGGGATGTCCAGGAGAACCAGAGCTGGCCGATGGGGCACAGCAGGGATGCGGCGCAGATTATGGAGACGCAGGCTTCAGGCGCGACACGGCCGGTTGAGGGGTCTTTCTTGTGCGTGTTGATGATGCGGCGGGCGAGGGGCTCGGTGATGATGGCGAGCAAGTTCCCGATGCCTATTCCGATGAAACTGAGGCCGATGAAGCTGTCGGACCAGCCGCGGTGGCTGCCGTAGATTAGGGGGTAGGCTACGAAGCAGAGGTATAGAATCCCGTAGATTACCTGGGGAGGTTTTAGCTTTTGCCTTTTGAAGTGGGACGCGCTCCGTGATTGGGGTTCAATTTGTGAGAGGTTGAACTCACAGCAATATAACCATTCCAGAACCAACAAATCGGCTCTGTAAACGATATCACAAAGGGTCGAGAGAGATTAACTTTCAAGATTTCGAATGCTGGGCACACAATTAGCTTCCATAGTATCGAAGGCTGATGGCGATGACTTACGACTTAGTTTCTGATCATAGCGACACCACCACCTATCATCCCCGGTCTCTTTTCGCAGTTTTGCTGCTTTCTTCTTGAGCAGTGCTGGGGCATAAGATTCCTTAATACAAGTGCACATGATCCAAGCCACACCACCCATTATCAAGATTAGCCAGTTTGTCCACCTCCAGCCAAGGTATTGTGTTACAAAGCCGCCGATTAAAGGACCTGTTATCGGTCCGGCCGTGGGGCCTACGCTCCAGATACTGAAGGCGAGGGCTCGGTATTGCTCAGTGCTGATATCTGCAACTGTGCCGGGGGAATTGGACAACATGGCTGCACCAGCCAGAGCACTAGACTTGTTAGATTTGAATTGTGCATAGACTGTTGTGATGAGGCTTACCCGAAAAACCTCACAGCCAAAACTTCAGATAAAGATGTTGCCAAAGCAGTTGGCAAGACCATCAGGGTAAAAAATATCAAACTTCCAATATACACTGGTCTCCTCCCATAAATCTCACTCAACGGTGCGAGAAACAAACTCCCCACAGATAATCCAGCAAGATAGAATGTCATTCCAAGTGTAGCGAACGTTTCATTGGTCTGGTGAAACTCCTCCATCATTCCAGGCATACTAATAGTGTAACTTGTGCTGTATGTTATCACAACCCATGACGAGAAACTGACTGCGCTGATTGTTAAACCTTTGTACCACATGGGCCAATTTCGCGGGTCTTCTGGATCATTGACACCGAAATCGACTTCGAAGGAGGGGATTCGGGAGCCAGATGTTGCTAGTGATGCGATGGTTTTGGTATACGTGTGACCTGGTCGTTCACTGTTGGTGAGAGGATTGAGTGTGCAAGCTACTTCGAGAGGTGGGAGGGGCTCTGAACGTATTGAGTAGTGGGTACTGGAGGAGGAATGGGTGGTTCGAGATTCTGGTGTACGGCTACCCTTTTGGAAATCTTCTGTTGATGATGTATCGATAATTGTGGATGCCGTGGAATAGACATTGTGCTGGGCAATCTCCTTCCCATCCTGGTCTGGCATTTTGAAAGAGACAGAATCTCGACTTTAAAAACCTGTATTTTTATCAAAATTCCAAGTCAAGATCTGCTAAAACGGAAACATATGTATCCAGAATCTCGTCGTTTCACTTATTCTAATACATTTTACAAGAAGAAAGGATGCAAAAGGACTCCACTAGAGCCTTCCTTTCAAGAGGTCCAGAAGCCAAAGGAATAAATGGTAGTATGATTCAAAAGGCGCAAAACACAAGATGGACGGAAACCCCGATGAAAGCGCTTCATCAGGAAGGGCCCCACCACTTTGACAGATTAATCGAATGCAACTTAACCCACTACAGTAGGCCAGCTATAGATCAATCAAATGTCTTGTGTTGTCCTCATATTGAGGCTGTATTCAAACAACACTTCTCTCTAACTTGAGAAGAGGAATATAATCTCGTCTCTGTGGGGTATCATGAGGCTTTGTGGAGAGGAGAGAGAGCTTCAAACAAAGTCTGGGAGGATTTCCTCCTAGATCCTCCCCTCTGAACGTTCCGTGATTGCTTCCTTCGCGGCAGAGCCGAAGTTCTATTTACCGGTACCTTACCTTAACTTACCCTTCCCTTGCCTAAAAATAGCTTGCTAGTTTTGCACTGTAGCCTGATATGTAAGGTTGAAGATCTAAAAATGACGGACGCGGTTGATCAACGCGTTTACCGCACCCCAAACAACAATCCAAGTCAACCACAGCTCCAGCAGGCTAGCCTAACAACAAAGGTGTTGGAATTACCACTAGCTATGATATGATCCTCGCAAACGAATAGCTTTTTTACCTCCTGTTCTTTCTCTTTCTCCGGAGCTCCACAAAATGGCCAGCTTCCCCCAACCTCGCATCACCAAGAGTCAGCAAAGCATACAGCTCAGCTACGATTTACCTCACCGAATCCATACAACCAAAACCTATCCCATCAAGTCCCCCAATGGCTCGACAATCATTCTATACGGTCACGAAAATGGCGTGAGGATTTTCTGGAGAGGTGGCAGAGCTTTCAAGCCTTCATCTGCTTCCTCAGTGGGCCCCAAGAAAACGAATGGTGCTAAAGGAGCTGTTATATCTCTCGAATCAGATGACGACGAATTACCCGCCAAGATCGTTGAAGACAAACCAGAGTTTGAGGAGGGCGAGGAGGAATTAGATCCATCGAGACCATACCCGTCAATATTACAAACACTGGATTTGCACTTTGGGACCAACGTGTTACATCTCGCAATATTACCTACTCCAGCTTTGGAGGCGGAAGGGGCATCCTGGCGAGGATTAGATCCTGTAAAGAAGAATATTGTATTTACAGCCGCTTGTGGGGACAATTCCTTGCGACTCGTCACTATACCGCTCACACCTCCATCCCCCGAAAGCAAAGCACGACCAGAATTCAGAGCAGACTTTACAGCAGCCTATGCTGGAAAGGGAAAATGGGGGGAGAAAGTTACAATGCTCAACGGCCATCAAAAGCCGTCGGGCGGGGTAGCCATAACAGCAGATTTCGGCAGAAGCAAGCAGGCATCTGGACAAACAGGATCACACATAATCGTTGCATCACATTCGAGAGAAGTTACCGGATTACTACTTTTGTTCAAAATCTCAGTCAAATCGCCAGAATCACGTGTGGAGCCATTTCAGAAGATCTTCTTAGCATCACCTGCCAAGTCGATTTCATTTAACACGTCTCTCTCTGGACATCGCTTCAGCCAAATTTTAATAGCAGAAACGACGGGCGTTTGCCGCGTATATGATTATAACAAGGGTCCCAACATTACCGAGGAAGGTTCAGAATCTTCCGAATCTGAGCAAGGAAGTTTTCTTTTATCTCTGTATGCCGGTTTTCAAAATACAAAGGACCAGTCTCAGACAGGCATACATGCAGGTTTTGGGAGGAAGAACATTGTCGATGCACAGTGGGTATCAGCCGGAACAGCAGTCATTGTATTACTTAGCGATGGAGAATGGGCGCTGTGGGACATTGAGGGGGAAGGACCAGGAACAACGAGAAATGAGCTACCGACTGAGACAATCCACGGCGGTTCAAGAACACAATACAGTCTAACCGGCTACATTGATACGGGTAATAAATCCCGGCAATCCATCCAAACCCAACCCACCACTTCCAGATTCGCACCCATGACCCCCTCAACTCGCAAAGCCACCGAACCCTTTAGCGCCAGAGGCTCAAGCGACGCAATCAAAGGCAAAATATCTGTCGTCGAAATCGCAGCTCCATCACCAACCACCCCCTCCGAAGAATCCATCGTCTTCTGGCTCGGCGAAACATACACCATTATTCCCTCACTCTCCAAATACTGGGCTGCAAACTCCCGCAAAACGGGCTCTGGGAACTTATTCAACAGTGTCGCATCCGGCTCCCGCATGCTGCGCCTTGAAGGCATTGACCTGCAAGGCGAGCGCTGTACCGGCATTGACCAAATCACCAAGACACAAGGCTTAATCCCTGAAATCCTAGTATCGGGCGAACATAGGCTCGTGATCTTGACTACAGGGAGTAAGAGTAAAGAATTGAAGACGAGACAGCCGGAAAGATTCGCTCTGACGGAGAAGAGTGCTAATAATGGGGAGCTGGATGTCCCTGGTATCGACCAGGAGCTTGCGAGGATGGAGAATGGGGGATCGAGGAGGGGGAAGCTGTTTCAGTCTTGATCCCTTTCACTTTTATGACGTTTTACGAGATCTCTGTAGGATACCCAGCACTAACATGCCGAAATGAAGTGAAGAAATGACACAGCTCCCTTGTCGCATCTCCTTGGGCACACTTTTTCTTCTACTATCCCATTTGCTTTATTTGTTCGGCCTGCTGGCTTCACTTCTTGTTTTCTTTTCCGCAAGGCAAGGTGGAGTACAAGGCGAGACCATTCCTTGCAACTCTGTATTCCATGCGGTACATCAACCTCTACAAAAGAGCTGCTGATCGCTGGTACCTACCCTAGAGGTGTGGAGGCGTGAGCGGGCCGGATTGATTCTATTGCCACCCCTTTTTAAGCCTGCGGGGCTGTGGAGGGGTGTGTTTATAACTTTCGGGTACATTTTTGTGACTGTTGCTGGATCTGAAGGGAAAAATTTATTAGGGTGTGATGGGAAATGCATCTCGAAGAACACCCCTTTGCTTGAGGCCGTTGTCTGAGTTAGGTATTTTGTTTGGTCGTCATCTTGGCACTGCGTTAACCTGTGCTCTTGGTCTGAGTTAGCAAGAGTCCTTGAATTCGTGTGTAATCCCAAGGCGAGTGGCGTGCGAGTAACGCCTGTTGGTTGTGATTGATCTGGTGTTTCTCTTCGCTGGGTGCGATGCGGGTCTTGAGCTATTTCTTACATACGGCAAATTACTGCATGATTCCTGGCCGGTGTTTGATTGACACTGGTAGTCTAGATATCTACACAAATGATGGCAATGACTACCACTGAGCCTTGTTACTGAGAAGTCCAGGACTCAAGTGCCTCTGAAAGATGATAGGCAGTCTGTATCTGCAATCATCACACCCTCACCTTCAAAGCACCGAGGAGTAAGTAGTATGCACATCTTTCTGTCTCACCTACATATGTAATGAATACATATCCACGTCCTCATTTGTAAGCTTCTCTCATGTCCCAAGAAGAGTGGAATAAGCACTTCAGGTATACTATCAACATCTTTGTATCCCCCACGGCCTTTCTTGCTAGTCATGCACCGACTAGCTCGTGACAATTCCCAGTTCCCCGTTTGCTCAAAACAACTCATATCGTTCTCTTTGCAACTTCACAAGTCTTCCTCGCCGTCCTGTCGATTTATTAACCGTATAACTTGCCAAACACACGATAACAAGCGACGTAGTAGTTATCCAAAGCCCAACCCAGTTAACATTAGTATAACTAGCATCTCGGAAAAGAATACGACCGCATAAAAAGTTCTGCAGATCGGATGGTTTCTCCGGGAAATGTAAATGCCTCTCCAAAACTCGCGGAGGAAAACGTGCTCCGTTCTGTGTGGATAGAATGCCGTCAAGCGCCGCTTTCATAAACCACGTCTCGACCTCTATTGCCCAGTAATCTTTGCTGTTCTTCGGGCCCTGAGTCGGGTTCGGCCATGTCCAGGGAGCGGATCTTGATAATGGTACTATGTTATACACGCGGTCTCGTAGGTACTTCACTACTGAGATGGACGAGGGTATCAATATCGAGAAGATCTCTAGAAGGCAGGCCAGAATAGTCAGCTCTCTCTCTGATTTTGCAACCAACAAATCCAGAGCTACGAAGGATTCTCGCCTCGGGTAAGCAAGCAAGCACATTCTACTCACGGAGTTCCGCTCTCGAAGCCTGCTGTTCTCCTATCCCCAAACTGCTTTCCGCTTCTCTCAGAACCTGACCTGGGAACTCGCCCCAGGGCGTGCAGGTTCCCGTCGCAGACACACAGTACTGAGACTGCTCGACGCAGCCTAGCGCCGTAGCCTCGTAGTCGGGCGAATAGTACGTGAGGTCGTCGAGAGAAGTGGATTCGGGATGCGGGATGTGTTTTTGAGTAGTTGCGAAAACCGGGTCGTAGATAGCTGTTTTGCTCTTTATGAATCCAGCGCGAAGCAGGATCGGGAACGAGGTTCCGTCGTCTCTTTGCATGTCAGAGTGCAGAGCATTGGAGCGGGATTCGGCAAACGATGGCCTTGCTCGCGGCAGAATGGTGATATCCCTGATGGCCATTTCATCTGACATTCGACGCCCCGACGCTTTGTCCGTGAAGTAATTCGGTCCGTTCATGGTCTGTAGCTCCATGGTAGTCTCCCGCGCGACCGGTCCCTGGTATTTATAGGTGTGACTCTTGTTCACTGAGATGAAACTTTGGTTGCTGAGAATTGGCATCAAATACCAAGAAGGAATCCAAATACACAGGCATGCAAGTAAGCCGATGGATGGTTGACCGCAAGCCGCACCCCCGAATTAACCCCCAGTTCAAACAGCGTGATATTCGCATGCACGATCTCGATCGGCTCGAGATGACCGGAGAATCACACGTGTCCAGCTCATGCGTATCCCCCAGACCCTCCCGTCGTCGTCGTCTCAAAACACAAAAAGCAGAAATCCAATCCCTTACCCGTTCCCTCATCGCCGGCAGTATATCCTGCACAGCCCCCGACTGCGACAGCAGCTCTAGCGGCTCTGGACCACCGCATTCCAGCCTCACAGCTTTCTTGCGCAGAACAACGAGATGCCGAGCCAGGATCCAGGATCTAGACTGCGAGAAGGCGAACAGCGCTGCAAAGGCGCTGAGGACGAACACTGCGCGTGGGGAAGTGAGAGTCCATATGTAGCGCTCCGTGTGCTCTTGCTGCCATACGCCTTCGTAGGTGTATCCGTAGAGGATGGTAGACGCGGGATCGGAATCGGTCATTGTTATGGATGGTTATAGTGGAAAAGGAAAGGAAAGGAAAGGAAGGTGTGGTTCTTCTCGAAGGATCTCGTAGATTGAGGGGGGATGAGGTAAAGGTAGATTGCTCTAGTATCACATTGCTTGATTGCTTGATTGCTTGTTTTGCATGGACATGGAACTGGACTCTTATATATATACCCTAGGCTGAAGAAGGCTGACAGACATATGGAGGAGGAACCGAGGCGTAGATAGAGCGCTGCTCGAAATATGCCCCCTCCCTCTTTCGTGAATAATCGCTTTCATACCTGTCTGCCTCAGCATTGCATTTCCCTCCCCTCGCCTTCCTTCGCAACGTCAGACAGAGCAAGGCAACGCCTCCTTACTCCGTATATGCATTCTGCGAAACCCATCTTGTACATGTATGTACACCGACCGGTACACCAAATGCAGTGCGGCTGTGCACCTACGCATGGCCCCCAGGTTACATACATAATACAGTTCACAAAAAAGGTCCTGAACGAATCCATCTCAATCCCAAGAAATCTATACTATTCTGAAATTAAAACTTATATATGTATTGGTTCGTTTGTTCCGTTCCGTTCCGTTCCGTTCTTTCTCTAACCTCATTCATAAACACAATAATCGTCATGTCATCACCAAACAGACAGACCGACCAGACTTCTAACTATGCCCGGCAAAACATCGAGAACGAAACAGAAAAGACAAAATAGAACAAGAAACAGTCAAGCCAGCCAGCCAAGCCAGGCCACCATCCGCCTCATAATAAGTCATACTTCATAAGCCCTAGCTATCTATCTATCAATCCCCCATTCATCCATCCAAAAGGTAAAAATCAAGCAAAGCGCAGGCTGGGTATAATAGTGTTACAGCAAATCAAAGCATCAACCAAAACAGAAAAGCCAGTAGCCAACAACGCCAGCGCACAATCCAAATCTGTACATATATTATACAAGTGCCTCTTTGTAAGCGCAGAAAGGAGGAAGAAGTGTTCGTGAAGTGAAGTGTTTGTTGTATGTTGTTGGTGGCGATGAAGGAGAGTGAAAAACATCAGACGTGAACATAATGTCGTGGTGCAAGCAATCCCCTTATAATGCAAAACAAAGAAAAACAAATTAAGTTGGAATTTAGTCTTCTGGGCGTAAAGTAATGTCGCCATCATCATCATCATATCCCTCTGCGACGGCCCTTTCGGCAGCCCGCTCGGTATAGATTCGTTGTTTGCCAATTTGGGCCGCGTGTAAGCAATCAATGTAGGTTCTGAATTTCACAATCTCGCGCAGAAGATATGAGGATTTCTTTTCCCAGTTTGCCATTGCTTTCTGAGAATTTGGGTGGCGGGGTGTGAACTGTTTCGCATTAGTTCTGTTCAAGAGTACAAATAAATAACTTACAGCAAGAAGCATTGGGCTTCGCAATTGGTTGTGCTTCTGAAACTCTTCTTCAATGCCGGCGACGTATGTAACCAAAGTTTGCAACTGATCTGCCTCCATCAGGTTACTAGCTCGCATGCTTTGCGTCGGTGGGGACCAGTCGGAAATCGCAATGCGGTCTCCAGGTAATTTGGACCTCACACTTCCGCTGGATTGGTCGAGACTAGATCGCAAAGAGCTTTGAATACTTGGCCGAGGACCGTTGATTGATTGTCTTGGAGCATTGGTCTCATTGATGGCAGCGACCAAGGCGTTGTTGACAATAGAATCAGACCAGCCATATTCGATATTACTAATACCTCCAACCAATGGATGATTCGAAAGTCGTGCGCTCCAATAGTTGGCTGACGATACAAACTCCTTGACAATGTCTGGGGTACCAACTTGAAAGAGATGGACTGCACCAGTAGGTAATGACAGAGCCCATACATGAGGACGTTGCTTTGAATACCCAGGTGGTGGAAGGGCACTGGCAATTGTCTGCCTAAGGAGGAACGACCCAAGATTCTGCGCATTCTCCTGCCAGTTGCCTCCACCAACAACGCCTCCAGTAGCCTTGCCCTTGCCTTTGTTGCGCATGCTTTTCGTCGAGAAAGAAAACAAACTCAAGTATCCCTTCTCAACAACAGCAAAGACCTCATTCCAGTTGCGGTCTTTGGATTTTTTGTCCAAGGCTTCAAGGTGATGCTTGTGCTTAACAATACCTTCTTTCGCCCATGGCGCACCAGCAAGCTCCAAAGACTCGTCCTCGAGAAGAGGTGCGACGCGAAGTTCTTCACGATCACTCCCATTACTGCCAGCACTGCCAACAGTCTCTTCGCGAATAATGGCCTGGCTAAGAGCATTGGCGAAACCAATAGATTGCTGATAATCGCCTTGCGGCCAATTGGATCCAAGCGAATCAACGGACATCGAAGTGTGCGTTTTTCCCAGGGAGTACTTGCTCCAAGTACTTGAAGAAACAGACGGGCTCCACATCGAGGATTGGTCATCCAGGCTAGTTCTACTAGATCCCATCCCAGAACCAGGGTACAACCGGGGTCTTGAACGGTTCTTGGTGGCCCATTTGCCATTCCCTTCACGAACTGTCTGGGCGGTCCTACCTCTTGCATAGCTTTGGGAATCGGAAGGAGCTTTGCTTAGAACACTGGGGCTGCGTCGAAGCATACCGTTGGTAAACACAGCCAAACTGCTAGTCGATGCTGGTTGGAGCTGTGGCTTCTCGATAGGAGCGCCGAATAACGGAAGGCGTTCACTACGAATAGAGTTGTAAAAGTCCTTGAGAACAATTTCAACTTGAACCTCCCAAGTGCGTGAAGTCCCATGAAATGGTGCTTTCACTAGAGGGCCGCAATCATCCTGGGGAGTATCGTAGTCAAGAGGAGTTGGAGCAATGCGGTTCCCATCCGGATCTATTCGAGGTGGAGGCTTAAAGGAGGACCGCCAAGAAGGACGTTCAGCTTCAAAAGAGGCCCTTTCTTTCTCTGGCTTCAAAGCACTATCACCAGAATCCACGCCAAAAGCCTGGTTCTTTCCTGGTAAAACAGAGGGTCTCGTCTCAAAAGCATCTGGGGCGGACTCGGAAACGCTCTTTCGAATCGTAGGCATCGTGTTTTTGACAAATTGGCTCCGAGTCATCTTCTGCTCAATATCGGCAAGATGCAAGTCAGTATTCAGTAAAAGTATCGAGTAGCAAATAGTATGAACGACATCTGCAATGCAAATTAGTAAAACATAGACCGAAGATAATGGTGCACCTACCAGTAGCTTTGAATCCATGTTTGGGGTTACATTGGCACCATCGCCGAGCAAAGGAACACAGGATGCGATCGACCTGTTGACTCTCGGCTTTCAAAACCAATTTGCCACATATATTCCGTAGAGCTGCAAGAATGTTCAGATTTGCAAATTCATACAGTTCCATATAGGCAACCAAGGTTCTTGAACGGATAGGACCTTCTTCTCCCATCCATGCAGCTGCTTTTCCTTTTAAGATAAAGTCCTCGTTTCCATCATATATCTTTTTCGCTCTTTCACGATCACCTTCCATCGGAATGGTGTTATCGACAGCAGGTGGCAGCTCGTCCAGAGATTTAATAGCCTCGGCAGCGCTAAGAAGATTTGGTTTAGATGTCTCTTCTTCGAAATCCTCTTCAGGCTCTCCCTCAATCTTAACAATCGGTAGACTTGTGGCAGACTGATAGACTGTATCGGTTGAGCCCGTATTTTTGGATATATTTGTACCAAGATTACTGTCTTCCACTTCTTCATCGTCGGATGGTTCTAACCAGACACGGTTTTCAATTTCGGCTTGGGACTCGGGCTTTGTAGGTGTAAGCATGACCCATTCCTCCTCCCTTGCAGGTTTCTTCTGCTTCGATTCTGCTTGACTCTTGGCAGACTCAATTGTGGGAGAAGTCTTTGCCGTTTCGAATTTCGCCACCGTTGGAGATCTTTTCGAGTGAATTCTCTCATACTCAGCAACAAGAGCTATATCACGGGCTACTGATGGAGTGGCTGACATGGGGGTAATGGGAGATATTGGTGACAAAGTGTTACCAACTTCCAAGTTATCTTTTGTGGCATTGTCAAATTTCGAAGCGTTACTGGGAGCATCAGGATCAACATCGCTGTTATCTTGTAGAAAAGTACCGTCTCCCATGCCTCTGTCTTGGCCGTCAATCCCCGTGCGGCGGGCTGTGATGTAAGCAGAACTTGACTGGTTAGATTCATCAGCGTCCCGCGAACTCGATTTGACAGTTCTGATCGTGGCGCTTTTGTCAGGCTCATAATCTGGAGAAAATCCTCTCACATTGCGGTCGTGCGGTTCTGGACTATCGTTCATCTGGCGATCAATGCTTATTCGAGTTTGAGGGACCATTGTAGTCCTAGCGGGAGCCCTGAGGTAGGGATTCATCACTTCCCGAAGACTGCTCACGGGGCTTGGTAGACCTTTGCTCTCGTCCCCCATTTGTGAGAGTATAGGTGGGACAATAGGAACAGGCATTGGGGGCTGAGGTTCCGTCACTGACTTCTTTCGCCGCCGGAAGAAGGACGACGTCTTTTTGGTGAGTACATGGGGCTGCTCCTTTGGTGGGGGTGGTGGTTCTCGAGGTGGTGGGACATGTTGAGACTTAGTCTGGTTGACATTGTGATGCGGTTTGCTATTTGGGCGACTCGTCGTTTCAGTAGACGCAGTGGAACCGTGTGACCCAGGAGGTTCAGGTGCAAGGTTGGTCTTGGAGGAGCCGAAAACTCTTCTGAAAAATCCAGGCTTGTCTTTGGAGGGTTGGTTCGATCCTGAGGAGACTGGCGGGCTTTTTGTCTTTCCATATCCAACTAATGGGGCTGGTGCTGGTTCTCTAATAAAAGCGGGCAGAGGTGGAAGCTGGTGGTTTTGGTCATCGAGCCCATAATCATGCCTGCCCCCTGCTGGAGGTGCAGACCCTTTGCGCGCATATGCGCTCTTGGATGACCTTGTACTCCGTTTCCGCTCCAGCTTCACCGGCTCGGGGGCCACCTGCGAACGTTCTTGCTGGGGTATCAAAATTGGTGATGCCGGACGAGGCCTTCGAGGCCCAACTGGAACTGTAGGGGTTGGCGCAGCATCGTAGTCGTATGGGGTGAAAGAAGGGCCGTTTTGCCGAGCCATCCCATCTGATTGTGAAGTCATGGTCTGCCGATTCGCACCATAGTCAAAGCTTGAAGATCTCCCATGGAACCCCGGCGCCCAGCGTTGATTGCTTGTAACCTGTGCGTATCCAAGGTCAAAACTATTGGCACTGCTTCCCTTGCTACCTTTGCCGCTGCGCGAATGTATCCCTGTTATTGGTGCGGATGGACCCCTGGAACCAAACCCCTGGCTGCCTGAATCTTTGCGAATGCTATCAATCCTTCCTAAGCTAGTTTGGAAATTCGAACTGCTATTACTTCTTCGCCCTCGAGACGCTTGGCCCGAGGAGTATCGGCTGGAGTCGTCTGCGCCCTCGTAGTCGGAACTGTAGGAATAATTGTGTCCCGTTCGGCCGTTTCTGGGCGGGAAATTCGATGTAGGTTGATAGGGTTCTTCTTCGTCAAAAGTGGAATATAATCTTTCTTCATCCACAGTAGGCCTTGTTCCAAACCCCTCGGCCTCCTGCTCATATGAAAATTGGTCGAGGGATAGTAGCATATTATCAACTAGCGAGTCGCGAGTTACTTGTCTCGGCGACAAAGAGAGATCGTGGGAATCGCGTCCGCGCTGCCCATTCTCTGGCTCATTTTCTTTGTTTCCAGCAGGATCCGTCGGTATGTTATCTTCCAAAAATGTCTCTCTTGGTTTCAGCGCCCGATTCGCAGCACCAATATTGCCTCTGTTGGACCGAGATTCGTGAGCCGCGGAGGCTGTTCGTGGGGGTGAAGCCTCAATCCTCTTCTCTCTGTAATTAGCAGTATCAACGTTCAAAGGCGGGCCGTTGCGTTTTGGCTGCGGCAATGGCGTGTTCTCGAAGGACTGCATCTTGAAGCCTCGATGATGGTAGGCAAGGCTGGCATCAGGAAGAGATCGATTAGGGGGTAGGTTTGGCGACACAAAAAGCGACAGCGACGACAACTCTTGACAGTTGCACAACGCCAGAACCTGCCTTACTGCAATCCAATCTCGGAATCTTCGACACGGTTTAACCTCGCATTCAGTCGATGGTGAAGTAGGAACCTTGTGATAATAATAACGTAGCTCGGCTCGGTGCTGGGGTGTCTGACGGGAAACGTTGGAGATGCGACCTGCTATTGAAACTGCCGAAGGGCGCGGGAGAGACCAAGGTCTTCTTTCTTCTCACTGATAGCAGACGGTAGGGACTGTGAGGATTGTACAAGTAATTGTCGACTATTCGATGTGGCAGACTTGGAATTGATTGTTGAGTACAAGGGGATAAATTCCGGTCCGGCTGGCACCGAGAAATGTTAGATTAGATCGTCGAGGGTGTTTGCTTTTACGGACTAGAGTAGTTTTTGGTGTATTCCTGGCCACGAGACGAGGCTACAAAGAATCTCAGTCGCGAAACATCTGTATTGAAATGATTTGGTGATATGTATGTTGCAGGTGATGGAGATGGAATGGAATTTTGGTAGATTTTACCAAGTAATTTACAATTGACGCCCGTTGAGTAGTAGCAGTGCACGCTTTGGGCTTTCCATTTACCAACTTACCTTATACGGAGCAAGTTCTCGTTGGGAGGTTTAATCAGCATCCAGTACGGTAGCAGCTCCAGCCTACTTGGTCCTAGCAGCCAAACTTTTAATTTTCGGAGGTTAACGAGAACGAGTACGGTAAGGCAAAGATGGGGGGATCATGCTCATGCTCGTGCACGTTGACAGCTTGTCAAGGTTTTTGCTGTCTCTTTGCTTGAGCTCGGCCGACGTGACAAAAGGTCCGTGTCGTGTCCGTACGCGCTTTCCTTATTTCTGTCGACTTTTCGATTGAGTGGTTCTTTGTTCACAGGGGGAGGGGTTTTAGTAGCATCACAGCTTCTAAATTCTCACACGTTTCTTCTTTCCTCACTTCTTTCCTCATTCTTTCCTCATTCTTTCCGCTCTCGACCACGAGGCTAGTCAAATCGAATCGAATCGTACACCTTGATTTTCCCTATAGTATCAAAAAGGGCTATTTGCTATCTGCTATCCATAATCGCTGGCAAAAGCAATGGGGCCAGGACTCGGTATGCAGGTCGTTGGCATGTACAGCATACTCCATGCGGGTTCGAGGCACTAAGAGGGGTTCCCATAGGATGCTCCATCTCAAGACAAGGACACTTGGAGTTTCAGCGAGAGGGGAACGCTACTGTACTTCGGGGATAGGTGCTACCACACGATACAGTACTGTACAGTACCACGCCCTGGCCTGACCCTTCCTTACTTGCCTTACGCTGCCTTTTCCTGTCGCTTCCCGAAGATAGTATATCATTGCACTGCAGCTGGAGGTTGCAGGAGGATGTTAGCAGCACATAAGAGCGGTGTGGCTTAAAACCCTACCTACCACAAGTCAAAGTCAAAGCACCTCATGACTCTGTCCTCAAGGAAGGCCAGATGCGATGTTGCATCCAAAGAGGCTGTTGGTTTTGATACAAGTAGATTGGGTGCATCCCCCTCCCCCTTTGGCGTGCATCGAAACTCGTTCGTCCCTGAGCTAAAACGTTGACCGTACAAGACGTCCAATCAGGCATCGACCCGCCCTGAACAGCCACGTGGCGAGTGCCTGCCGAACGGAGGTCCCGTGTCTCGTGTGGCTGAACAACCATCAAACTTACAGTACACTTACCTCCGTAAAGAAGGTTAGAAGGTCATCTATTCAGCTTCTACTGTACCGTCGTTGATTTGTTCAAAATTTCCACCTACCGAATATACTAAAGCCTTTAACTTGAAAATTGCGAAACTGGGATCGCTGCGACACGTACAGGTCGCATGAGAACCCCCTTTTGGGTACTTGTGAGGCTCATAGTCTTATTACACCCGATATAGGTAAAGGATAACCGGCAGGCGTTTGGTGACACATTTTATCAGCGCTTGCTTAGGTTAGTCACCGGTGAGATCAATACAGTACAGTAGCGCATCGAGAGATTGTAGCCTTTTACAGTACTCCGTTCCGTATCTTTACCAGCTAAAACTTGGCAAAATGTGCGTCGGAGATGTTTCGAGACAAATATCGTTGTCAATTGCCGGCTTCCAAGCTTCTATTTCTGATTTCCATACTCCGTAAATACATCTGATTAATTACATATGTATTTCAACAGAGAAAAATCCAACCCTGACCTTTACGTTTCTGTTTAGATCTTCATAGCAGTACTCAAGATCTGAGCCTCTCCTGCCATACATATATATATCATAAAACAACAATGCTGCTATACGCAATGCTCTTCTCCAGCCCTTTCTCTTTCTCTTTCTTATTCTCTTTCTCAATCAATCTTATTCCAAAAGCTAAAGTAATAATATAAACGCAAACCAATCTCGCGCTTTGGATTGCGGAATAAACTAATTATTTATTTCGAAAATGTTGAACACGTCACGTCGTAAGCGTCTCTGTGGGGCAAGAATAGCATACACGGCATAGAGTAGGCTGAAACTTCAGGAAACCTTATGCTTTCTAGTCATTTGTTTTCCTTCTGACTACTCGAGTATTCAGGATATTTTTGATTATGACTTACCTCACTCAATTATCTAAGTGAGGTTCAAGTAAGCTTATACTCACCCCTGACTTCTATGGTCTATATCAACCTACCCGCAAGGAAATCATGCGTTCGGTCACGTGTGGTGCAGGCAAACCAACACATTGCAGTATGCTCTTTCCAACTTGTAGTATACAGTATATTAGAAAACCACCTTGACTTCTAAATCCATATACGTCAAATAAGAGTAGTAAGTAGGTCTTGTCTGCGCTTGTATCACAAAATATCAACACGTGATCAGCTTCCTTCCTTCCTTCCCCCTGGCAAACCCATGCTCCCTCCGTCCCGAACACCCTATTGGAAATGATGCTAAACATTTATACGATAGTACTATTACCATTTCATTCATTCATCCATTCTCACCCTAGCATATCATATTATAATCCCACGATTCTCTATTCATTCAATCACCAAGCCGTCCGTCCAGTCTTGCTAGAAAGCTCTCACCTACAGCAAGCCACCCACCCACTCTTCTTGCTAATTAACCACTTCCCAGATATCGACAATATCCTAGCATAGAAATACGAGGCCAAGGAAAAGACGATTAGTTGCAAAGAAGCGCGGAGATGATGCGATGGTTACCAATATAACACTACACCAGTACCCTCACACTTAATCTTGTCCTTAAAGCTAGGTACGGGATGGGAATCGAACAGGGCATTTGATAAACAGTCACAATAGTAATAGTAAGTAAGGTTCCCCAGCATATACTTAAGCACGCAATGTATCCCATCATCTTCAAAGTTTCACCTCCCCACGTGCACAATCGTAACAAAAGATATCTCCATATTCAACTTCCAAATCCAACCTCCCTCGACCCCATCAATCAAGCACTTGTCGGCTTGCGCCCATAAAGAACCGTTCTATCAAGGTACCTCATGATCAGTATACTGTATATGCGGGGGACATGGCATGTTCACGTACACGGGAGAATAGGCATGGATATTCGGATTCTTCGTATCCGCATTAACTTTGGCCAAGAACGCGTCCAGCTTCTCTTGCGACCAGCCTAGCTTCATCATAAAGAGGCGTGTGGATACGGATTCCAGCATGCCGTTGTCGATCTGTGCTTGTGTCCCTGTGTATCATATTCTCTCAGTATTACTTTCTCCAACATATGCATACAGTACTTCTCACGATGATTGATTGATGGAATGGACAATCACATATTGTATTGTACTTGTACGATGAATGGTCAACAGAGAAAAGGGAAATCTTACAGGCACCCAGCAACCTCTCCTTCCTATCCCCACTCCACTGATTACTCGGCCAGCGGAAAGTAACCTCGGTGACATTTTCGAAACCGGCTTCGATGAACCAGCGTTGGTAATTCGGGACGTTCGTCCAGGGCACGCCTGTAAAGGCCGTTGCTTCTTGGACATGCTATTACATCACCCCATCAGCATGCACACAATACACACACAAACCTTCTTCACTCCTTCACTTCCCTTCACTCAATCATCCACTAACAATCGTCCCAGAATACAAAACGCGAAAAATCTTAAAAGAAAGAAAGAGAAAACGTAAACTCACCTCCTGCCACTCCTTCAAACTCGTCCCATCCATACTCCCATCATCACTCCGCTGCAAACACATATCCTGCATCTCGAACCAGCCCCCCGGGGCCAGCGCCTCGTACGCTTTCTTGAATACCGAGAGCGGGGACTTGAAACATGTGGCCAGGGTGCGGCCGTGGATGTAGTCGAATTTCTGGGCGAAGACCCAGTCATCTTCTACGTCGTCGAGTTCGAAGGATAGGTTTGGTGGGATTCTTGAGGGGGTGATTTGATTAGTGGGAGTTAAAGGGGGGGAAGGGGGAAGGGATAAGTGGAAAGAAGTACAATGCTGGCTGGATGGCTGAGAGATCAGTGCCGATGACGTTTGCAGAGGGGTAATCGTCGGCTGCATGAGATATTAGCTGAACAGGTCCTCAGCTGGAAGAGAGAGGAAGCGAAGAGAAGGGCGGACCGAAATCGATGGCCCATATTCCTGTCCCTGTCGCTATATCGAGGACGTTTTGAGGATTCGAGCCAATGGGTGCTAAATGAAGCTTCTGGTCCAACGTGATGCTCCACATTTTGTTTTGCATATCTATTCCATTCATTCGTTTCGCTATTAATTCCCGAGTACTTTGAAAGGGCTGTGAGGGAGAGGAATTCACATACCTAGTCTATTCAACTCGATCTGAGTTTCGCATTAGCAAATAGCACCAATCTCCTCGCGAATCAATGAGTGGATGAAGGAAGGAAAACTGACTTCGTCATTGGGCAACATATACTCTAGATGAAATATTCAGCATCATCTCATCTCATCTCATCTCATCTCTTCCCCAAATCAAGTCAAGGTAAATAAACAAACATACTCCCATCCTTATATACATGATACGTCCTCCCATTCTCCTCCACATTCCTATTCAGAAGACTAGAGCCAGCTGTATACGTCGAAGTCCTATCATCACACCATACCACATCAGCTCAGCTTCTCCAAACGAAGACAACGAATGATTCATTAGGTGGGATTCGCAAAGAAATGCTCCCGGCGGTACGTACGCATAACTCCCAGCCGCTCCAATAGCAGAATCGATCTCGATATCTATATCTTGCCTCTGATACACAGACACATAATCAGAATCTTCTTCCTACCCATCCCATCCCATCCCCTCGCCTCATCTCATCTCATCTCAGCTCACAAAAACTCACATGGCCCCCTCCTCCATCTACCTCGGGAATCGCCCCTCCACCATCTTCCATATCCACATCCACATCCACATCCACATCCGCTCCTCCCAACACCTCATTCTCCTATTCACCATCAGCATTAACATCAAATCTCACACCCAGACCCACACCCACACAAGAATACAGTACTCACCTGACCCACATCACTCCCCCCTCCCCCAATCTCAACGCCATCTGCCAGAACGTGAGCTTCAGAACTCATTCTTAGAAACCTTCACAGTAAGCAGACAAATCGGCAGCGGATACTCATACACAAGATAGGTTAGGGGTGAAAGGATGAATTGAGATGAAGTGAAGTTGAGAAATCTTTCCGTATTGGGAAGGTGGGGTCAATCGGCGATAAATAGTGGGGCCGAGAATGAGGGGTGGTTGACTACACATACATATATATACTTTTTTCTCTTTGGATTTTGATTGCGCTGTGGATGAAAGGGTCAAGGGGATTACGGTGTGATATCAATGATAGCCTCACCCATTAAATAGGAGCTTCGAGTTTTGAAATGTTCATAGTATCCTGAGGTAATATATTGTCTGTCACTCACAAGTGAAGCGAGTGAAGAAGGAAAAAGAAATGAAAAGAAAAGAATCTCGAATTTCCGAATTCTCCAAGTATGGAGAGATTTTTATTCCTCTAAACTAATCTACGCATCCGTGCATTCATTCATATCACCGATGCCATGCCATGCCATACTGGCTCTTTTCCCTTCCCCTATACATCAACGCGTAAATTCTCTCGAGCCATTCTCGTACAAGCAAATTGATTTAATGCCCGACGCCAATGCCAATGCCAGTAAATCCAACGCAGACAAAAACCCAATGACACTCTCCCAACTACCTGTGCATGATATGCTTCAAGCGTCAACAAAGGCTTGCTTTGGAGAACTCGGGCCATGAAAAAGAAATGCTTCGAGAGCTAAGTCTTCAGAAAGCTGATCCCTGGAGTCTGAAGACTACTAACTTTCACGGTCCAAAGCAAAAAGCTCTCCCTGCACCTGAGACTTCGTGCCAATCTTTTTAAGCTGAGTATCTTCCAACTTCTCACCTCCTGCGAGCCTCATTTCCAAATCCTCAATCGCGCGGATCTTCTTCTGCAGTCCTCGTAATTTCTTCGCATCTGGGCTGCCACCATTAGGTGATGTGACAGAGAGCTCAGGCGCAGGCACCGGCTTTGGCGGCTGTGGGGTGGAATTGATAGAGAGGTTGTTCATATTTCCCGTGGGAGCTCCGCCGTTCTGCTGACGATACTGTGGCTGTTTGCCTTGCTGGGTATTGCTGCGGAATCGTTGCTGAGATGGGGTGCGTATGTCTTGGTTTCCCTTGGATCGGCTACGTTGATGGTCGCGCCTATCTCTGCGTTCAGGGCTGCGGACATCGGGGGGAGCGGCATTTCCTCCATCGGGCGAAGGGACTAGGCCCTGGGCCTTGGCTTCTGCCTCCTTGGCTTTCTTTGCTTCTCGCTTCTTCTTATTCTTTAAAGCTGCTTTGGAGAGATTCTCATCTCCCTCGGCACCTCCTGGGACTGGTTTGCTAGGATCCGCTCCAGGTGGCAGATTTTCCACTGCTTCCGCTCCCGGGATTTGTCGTTTACCTCTGCCAAATCCGTTGGATCCTACCAGCTGAGTGCCGTTACTAACAACATGTGCGGCCCCTCCTTCGTCTTCACGCTTGTAATGCGATGGTGTTAAGGTTCCGCGAGCTCCAGGTGGCCGGTAAGCGCCCGCAGGCTTGGAAGGCGTCTTGACAGTACCTAGATACGCTAGAGCCGATGCATGAGGAGTCGGGACTGGATGCAAAGGATCCCCAGCCGTAAGCTTGTCCAGTGATTGAGGTCTCCAGGTAACGTGATACAACTCCACCATATCTTCATTGTACATAATACCTCCTCCAACATGCCACAACCGAACTCCATTTTCAACACGAAGACGGGGACTAGTAGTGGCAGTCAGGATGAATTTGCTGTCTGGACTCCACTCGCAGACACTTGGATTGCCACCCTCGATAGTGCAGATCTTCTTGTAATCCTTTTCGAGATCATAGATATCCATCTGCCCTGCAAGGTTACCAAAACCAGCAACCAAAACAAATCGACCGGTGGGGGAAAACAAGATTGTGTTTCTGGGCCTGAGATCGAACGTATGCGTTGCAACAGCTCTTTGGTTGAAGATGGTTGTCTTGGCTGGCATGTATCCGTAGACCACTCCAAACTCTTTCGAATTAGGGGACCACGATACATCATGAATTGGGCCTTCCTTGTCCAGAGTAATTCTCGAATCAAATCCACCATTTGCACTCAGCACATATAGTGTAGTTTCTCCGTAATAACTCTTGCCCGTCTTGTCGACTTCGGTTTGTGCAAGAACAATAAGGGTTGTACCCAGCTGGTTCCACTTCAACGTGACCTTGTCGCCCTTAAAGAAATTCTTTTGTGAAACCGGGCTGGCGAATTGAGGGACGTTGAAAACCTTGACGGTAGCAGGTTGACCCTGGATAAAAAGTTAGCACTTTCAGATCAGAGAAAAGGAGCTTAGGCATATATACTTTGCGCTCTGGGATGAAGACGGCAACAGCTTGGTTGTTGCCAGGTGAAATAGCAAAATCTGTAACGCCCTCGGCGCGCAGCTTGTTCCAGACCGACCCCAAGTTGTCACTCTCGTAGAACTGCACCTCATTGGTGACAGCGCGGGCGCAGTACTTCTCATCGAAAGTGTACTGCAAGTTCCACCCCGTTTGCGACTTCTGCACGAACCGCCCTACAACCTGCTTCTCCGCGCCCTCTGCAATGTCCTCCACCGTGCGCCAGACCTTTAGATTCTTCACGGCATCCCCATTCTCATCCTTGGACGGCCGCTCCCATGTGATGAGATATGAGCCCCGCGGCGAGAAACCCAATTCGTACACGTTGGGTATGGAGAGAGTGGTGATGACGTGTCCGACGGAGGCATCGACTACAGTGACTGCCTCGTTACTGACCCAGGCAAAGTACCGCCCGCACGGCGAGTACGTGCAGCAGCGAGAGGCAACATCCGGTCTCTGGAACCCGCTCAAGGGCTCATAGACGGGCGCTGCATCCACGATGCCCACCGTCTTCTGTGTCCTGTATGCAAACTGCGTAGGCTCTGCCATGACTACTGAAAGTCACAGAAGGAATGATTGATGCAGGTTTGGGATAATTCTTGTCGCGTTGAGAGTCCGCGGTCGTCGTCGTCGTCGTTGTCGAGTGTCGAGATGCCCTTTTTGAAGGTGTGGGTTGAGGCTTTTCGAGAAATCGTTCGATGTCGAGAGTCTTTGGGCGGTCTGCAAGGTGATGGAATAAATGCGGCTGCGGAACAACGAAGTATATGCAGATCCGTAAATGAAACACCGAGTATAAGGCGATCAAGAAAATCGAGGGCAGAATTGACTACACAGGTAGGTATAAATTGGCAGGTACCGTGAATCGAGGCGGGTGGAAGTGGGAGAAGAGGAGAAGAGGGGAGGAGAGAGGAGAGAGTCGTGGAGAACAAAGGCAAAGAAAGATTGATCCTTGATACACTTTTGTGTCGCTTTCTCTTCCAGGACCGGCTGTTTTAGCGAGTCAACAAGCGGGGCGCGGTCGTTGAATCAGCTCAGCGCTAGCAAGGCGGTCAGGGCGTGTCAGGGAAAAGAGATCTTCAATAAACGTCTATCATCTTTCCTTTTTCTCTCTATCATAATCCATTTCACTTGAATCGTTATTTCGAGAGCCTTAATCTACATGAGGGTGCCCATCAGAAAGCCTACCTGCTAGCAGAAGCAGAAGCTTCATTTGAAAACTCTGCCGGTAAGGCTTAGTCCACCCGGAGCAAGGCTGACTCGCGCTGCGTGCATGAAGAAGGGCTTATATTTTAGAGACCCCTCTTGAAACACGTGATGATTTATTTAGTAGAACAGGTAAGGTAGTCTTTCACGGGCAGTTTAAGTTATTGTAAAGGATATTTATAATTTAGTTGCACTCGTTACTAGCTAGGACTCGAGCTCAAATTTTCCTGTGTCTCAATTGTACTCCTTACTCTTCGGAATTTCTATATTCACTCTACTTGTCACTCAGTCAGCGATCAAGAAGTCACTTCTTGAATCAAGCTACTTTCTTTCAATTGCTTTTTATCAATATGTAAAATCCGATCTCATTACATGTTTCATATTGCTTGGGGTGTGAATCGACTTGAGCAGGAAATTCAGCGCCAATCAAGTAAAGAAAATAGCTGGTGGAACTATTCATTGTGTATACTATAGGCGCATGTTCAATACTGTATTGGTGTTGATATCATATTGAATCATGTCAGTAGACAGACAATTCTGTTTCGATTGCCCATTGGCGCTCTGAATCTCAAGCCGGAAACGCCTCCAGTGGATATTAATCCAAGACCCCACAGCAAACGTGTGCTGAAATCCATTTCGACGCCTCTCAACCTGCTATGTCCATGGTTCTATCTATATGCTTCAACGCCGAAAATGACTCTTCGTCTCGCTCATCCTGTGAATCTCTCCTGGCCCATCCATCTTTCCTTCTGCTGCCTCGTCATTGATTCCTTGATGGATCGGAGTATATCGACTAAGCCAAGCTGCACTTCTTGACATTCCGTTCACTGAGGCAGAAGCCTCTTCTCTGCATCCAAATCTTCATTCGGCTCCTGAAAAACGCACTTCACCAATTTTTCCGTCACCCTCGCACACCATGCATCGACGTACTTGGTCCAGAGATTCGCCAACGAATACAACATAACAAACCAAATCGGCAACCAAAACCAGAACCTCGCCCTTCCACAGATAGGCAACATTCCTGGCTCTAGCTTATCCTCAACCATAGTATCTGCAGGCACATGCACGCCGTAATACAGCCACACAAGCACAGTCCTCAAAAGGGTACCGTGTATCAGGTAAACCGCAAACGAGTTCTTCCCAAACCACAGCAGGTACTTGTTCGAAAGGCCGTTCTTGACAGAGGGGGAGAAATGGATACCGAGCGTGACAAATTGCAGGCCAATGCCAGAGTAGAATCGAGCGGTCTTAGCATCGCCTGGAAATATCCAAGCTGCGATTCTCTTCATGACTTCAGACCAGCGGATCCATTGAGGTTCGTCTTCGGGGTAAGATGCGAGAATGAGACCGAGGAAGATCAGAAGTGGTGCCAGGAATCTAGACGTCCATTTGCGGGCTTGGCACCAGGATATGTGGCCAGGACACTGCGACAAATCCGAGAGGAAGGCGCCGTAGAAGAATTGCATTCCGAATGCTGTTCTCACGAGTCAGCTTTTGTCCCTTGTCAGGTTATCGTTGATGGACTTACGGTCGTTGCAGATATAGAAGTAGGTGAAGAATGCCATTTCCACCATCATTCGGTACCTTGGCTTGACGTATGCCGTTGCAATCATCAACATGAATATCCATATACTTCCTTTGAGCAGAGGAAGCATTGTCCACTGATTGGCATCGTAAATATTCCATTGATTCGTCCAAGTCGTAATAATGTGATATATTAATTGCTTCAAAGCTTCCCCAATGTTCGAAGAGGAATTAGGCGATGTATGATCGATCCACCAACTATCACTGTGCTTTGCCACATTAAAAGCCCCCAATTGACAGATGAACCATATGATGACCGTCGCGATTGTCGTGGGTAGAAAAAGCCTTGGTATCCGTCGCAAGGCACTTTTCGAGATGGAGGTGAACGCAGCCTCATGATTCCCCGCTCGGAATTGCCGGATTGGTTTCAGAGCGCACACATATCCCGTAACAAGTGAGAAAATGGTCACTCCGACTCTTCCTTGGAATAGGATGCGGATGATGGGTAGCTGGACTATGCGCGGTGATGCTCCATCGGCGGACGTCGGTTTGAATATATCTTCATCGAAAGAACGGCAAAGGTGTGTAAATACCACGAGGAGAGATGCGAAACCTCGAACGCCCTTTGAGAAACCATTTTGTTAGTTGGGGCGAAGAGAGGTAGGTCTAAGACAATATTTCGTTGAGACCGTTGCGAATATCAGGGTAAGGCATAAATTCTTACATCAACCCATTTGACATTCTCCTGTTTAGTGGTACTCATTCTGTCTTCTCCAGCCCACCTAATCAGAAGCGGTGTATCTCCGCTGCATACACCAGTAACTTCAAGACGTACTAGAAGGCGAAAGACAAACAGACTATTCGAGGTATGACCCGCGAGAAATGGAGAGCGGGAGTTGTAGATGCGAGGAGAGGCATGTAGATTTACAGTACATGGAGGGGCTGGCTATACATATGATTGACAGACAAGGAGATGCAGACCTGTTGGCTTGTGAAATTGTGGGAGGGTGGGATGGTACTGGGGTACTGGGATCTCTACCTCGTGCAGTACTGTATCACCCTGCAAGGGTCCTTTATCCATGACTTCGGATCTTGGACAGCTTTCCAAAACGGTAACTCGTTTGTGGCTTCAATTGGCATCATCGCCGGCTGCCAAGACTGCCAAGCTGTGAGATGACTTGGTGTACTCTTTCTCTAAGACTGCCCAATTCCGAGTTCAAATCTTGAGCCAGCCGACAAGATTCGCGCGACTGTGTGGTATCCCCATACGACACAGACAGACAGACAGAAGCTGGTATTCGTATCACACTCTGTATATACAATACGTACGGGGCATCCCGTGTGGTGCAGGTATGAAGTCACTTGGATGCAGAAGAGATGCAGTTGATAGAGGCGGTAAAATGGCATGTTGATCAAGAGAGGAAGGTAACGGTCTCCTAGTCTCTCATTGGATGCGGAAATATTGACCCCGCGACGTTGAGAATTGCGGAGCCTGTGGTGTCCACGACCTTACTGGATTGGGTAAGCGCACCCGGGTTTAGCACTGTTTCGGGGATTTCTCTTGCATATATGAAATAAACATGAATCGGCGTTGTTAACTTGCAACGCCACGTATTGAGTGGAATCTATTAAACTTGTTACGACTGTATTAGTTGTTAAGTGAAGGGATACATTTTATCATTTCAATACAGCTTTTAGTACGAAACTTCGATTAGCGCTGAGAGCGAGGGGGCGGCATGCAAGGTCGGGGGGTCGCTGGGACGCGCCTTGGCGTACTTGCCAATCCATTTCAGATTTTAACTTGGACTTGCTAATATTCTAATCGGAAAGATTTCTATTCTATTACAGCGGTGAACGAGTTTTACTAGTATTTCGCTTGAAAGTGGTGGCAATCATGGTATAAATCTAGACATCATAGAATACAGCAAAGGCCACATGCCAGAGCGAAACCACCGAGAAATGGAGATTAGGAGAAGAAGATAGCAAGACGGCGCATAACGAAAATATATTGAAACGAATCCGCAATTTGCCGTTTAATGCAAGCCTAGGTATTACTATCTCCACGAGAATCATTAATATCGAATTTTCGAACACCGCATTTAAACAATCTCTAACATTATATGCTTCGCACTTGGCGAGAACTGGTTAGACGACTGTAAGAAGAAACCGTCAATCACCAACTCAACGACTTCTCTTTGTACTGTTTTTCGAGTTCGTATATTAAGGTGCTAAAAGAATCTAGGTATCTAATCCCCAAGTCATAATTTCCTTGCCTGGAATGTGCTTTCAAGCGGGCGGTGAATAAAACGCATCACTTCACCTCCGGATGGTTGTCCGCCACAATAGCAACCTGCAGGATATTCTTCTGTGTCAGTTCACTCTCATCGTTTGCTGAGACTACTCTTCCCTCACCCAGCACACCAGTAGCATCCAGGCCCCTTGCGCGAATTTTTCTAGATCGCTGTACAAGAGCTATAAGAAATGCGTTGCCGAGGAACAGTGCACTTATACAGGCAGCCTAGACGCGCAGAATGTTAGCTTTGACAAACCCCAAACAGAATAATCACCAGTTGAGACATACCCAGATGAACCCACCCCGGAAACTAGGAGCATGCGAAACCTGCCACGCAACTAGGGGCACGACCAGACCCGCAACTTCGCCAAAGGTATTCTGCACAGCAAAGACGATAGACCGCGTCTCCAAATCATCCGCAAGGGCTTCACCTGTCCATGTGACGAGCAAAGGCCCAATACCATGCGCAGCACCGAGCGCAATGTATGAGAAGAAGTGAAGTCCGTACGGCACCTTCCACACCGCGAGAACAACATTACTGAACAAGCAAACGACGCCGGCGAGCAGCGCAGCCTCCCAGCGTGACCCGCTGATATCAGTATAATATGACACGGAAATCGCGGTGACTACGCCAACTGCAGACGAGACCGTCCCGAGGTTGTTGACCATTGGGATGGTGTATTTTTTCTTCGAGGAGTTGGGCTTCTTTAGGGACTTGAGCCACAGGATGTAGGGAGTGTTGTAGCCATATAGACACGTGAAGAAGATGACTGTGAGCGGTACGAAGATGTAGAAGTCTAGTCGCTTTAGACAACGTTTGAAGAGACCTAGGTTTACGCCTTTGGAAGGCATGAATCCATCAGCTTGGATGCGACTCTTTGCAAGGGCTTTCTCATCATCGCTCAACCATCGGGTTGTGGTGGTATCTGCAGTGTCTGGGAAAAAGAAGAAGCCGCTATAGGGATATATCAGTCAGCCTTGGATAGGTAGGAAAGTGAAATAACAATGTAGTGCAACATACACGAATGCAATTGGTATGGTTATGACGGTGCATATGATGAAAAGCCATCTATGTCAAGTCAGTTCTCATTCACTATAAGCGTATAGCCTGTGATAACGGGATTCTGACCTCCATCCCTGCAGTCCGCTATGGCCATCGAGATTGGTATACGCAGCAGCCTGCAGATATCCAGCAAACATTGTCCCGAGAGGATTGGCGCACCAGAATAGAGCATTGCGTCTACCGAGCTCATTCTTTTTATACCAGCTATAAACAATTAGTATAACTCCCCTACGGTAGGAATCGTTTGGGACGTACGAGCTGATGACAGTCAAGCAACCGATATAGCAAGCTGTGGAACTGAGGCCAACGAAGAAGCGCATAACCACAAGTTGCTCATACGTTGTGACGAAAGCGGTCCCCAAGGTAAAAATACCCCAGAAGATTTCAACAGCGGGTAGATAATAGTGGGCTGGGTATTTTGTAACCAGAATGTTAGACGGGACCTGGAAAACAACATATCCGACCTCGTCTAAGTGCCACAACAAAAACGTCAGCAAGAATCTTCAATGAGATCTCTTAGGAAGTGTGCTTACATGCTGCATTGATATAATTCAATCTATTTCCAGTCAAATGCAGATCTTCCTTCATCCCAGACACATAGGCATTGGCTTTGAAAGTGCACGTATTAGTCCATGTAATAAAAGCCACCAAAGGCTGGAACTGATTAACTTACTCAGAGCAGACACGTCCAGATACTTTGTGAAGAAAGAGAGACAAGCGTAGATCAGAACGAGGCAATCGACTTTGAAGACCAGGCGTCTCTCTTCAGCGGGCATCCCACGCGGGTACCATTTAATGAACTCGGCAAACTTAACCAGAAGCCCCATCGTGACAGAGGGATTCCAAGAAGCTCAAACGTTTCGTATCCTTGGAAATATCCACCCTCAAAAAAATGATACCCGCAAAACCGAGAATCTGTCACGCTCTTCTTATGCTTCCAGCAGCAGGAAGACCCTTTCCGATATCTGTCGCAGAGCTCCATAACAGATTGCGTGCTTGCAGCCTCAAATTGTTATCTTGTACTAAAACCGGGTCGAAACCCACGGACTTGTTCGAAATTTCGGTCTGGGTGGTCGATATAAACGCGGCTTTCTTGAATTTCGAGCCTTGAAAGTGGGATGTTGGAAATTAAGACCGGTCTGAACACGGCTCGAGTAAGTCTTTTGCCGAGCTCGTCCCTGGTTCACGGCCCACGTGAGAACCAAAACTTTGATCAGCCAAAGGAAATCAAGCAAAGTATGGGTCTAGGGTTCTACGGAACAAATCTCCGCTATTTTGTACTTAAAACTCAGACCAGGCGACCCGGTGGGATGGGATGGGTCGATGGGATAGATCGCGACACGCGCGCAAAACACTGGGATTTAGAAAGACAGGGATGGTCTTAATACGTTGACAAGAAAGACTTTCGCATTTTGTGTATCACGCCATTTTACGGTTGCAGTATGAGTGACTATTAGTGGCTGGATGATCAAGAGAGCTTCGTTTTAATGTCACATTCTAAAGCCGTCCCGTTGAAATCTACCATATTTTGCCCTAGATCAATAGTGGCATCCTCAGACCTCACTACTTCTGAAAGGTCACATGTGATTGGATTTTGGAAATATGTCTAACTCTGGGAATAGATCGGTTATTATTGTTGGTACGTACTACAGCCTCAAGAATTCTTTCTTGATATCGACCTAAATTCAGAAATGTAGGTGCCGGAGCTTTTGGCTTGTCAACAGCTCTTCATCTCCTTGAAGGCGGATATAAAGATGTTACGATCTTCGACCACCAGAATTTCAACGAATCCGAGTACTCCGCTTTCCAAGGAGCCGATTCTGCATCCGCAGGTAAACAAAATCCCATCAAAAGGTGGTGGAGTCCAGTGGATGTATATAAAAACTAATGCATGCAAGTAGATACAATGAAAGTCATCAGGTCAGCGTACGGGTCCGAGTCGGCTCATACAACTCTGGCCACAGAAGCGATTGCAAAATGGAAGCAGTGGAACACCGAGTCTGAAACCCCTCTATTTGTAAACTGCGGCTGGACTCGCATGCACGGTTCTGGAACGATAGCTGAAGCCGAAATCGCTACGCTGAAGACCCTGGAAGTAAGTGGCCAAGGAAACTCGCAGTACAGAATCACCGACTCTTCCGAGCGACAGCGAGCGATTCAGAATGGATGGGCGAGAGAGAAATGCGACCCCTTTGACCGCCTAGGCAGAGGGCTTCCGGTAGATGGCGTTTTGGATACTCTTGCTGGTTTCGTGTACGCAGATGCTGCCTGTCTCTTTGCGTTGCGGAAAATACAACAATTAGGTGCCAAAATCATCCTAGACAGCGTGGCTGGGAAGTTTGAGACATTTCTATATGCGCTGACGTCTGACGGCCAGAGCGGTGATACCAAACGTGCTACTGGTATC